CGCATGACCAGAACTGGTCAATACCTTTAAAGGTAAAGACCAGTATTGGCAACGCCCCAATTTCAAAAAATGAAATGGAAGCTCTCATTACCAATCATGTGAAAGAATATGTTTTGACTAATACATGATGATAAAAAATTTGCCGGGAAACCGCCTACTAATTCATATATTTGGTAAATTTATTTCTCTCATGGTCTGGTGAGAGAGATAGGGTAGTCCCATATACATCTTTCTGTGTATAGTGCTTGTAACTTTACGAAGAATGAGCCAAATTTCTTATCATTTTGATGATTCCAGAACCTTGCAGATGCTAGATGCTAGATGATCGACCTTTTCTGATCGATTCCACAACGTTTCTTTCACAATGCAATCGCATGACCATTACTGGTCTTTACCTTTAAGATGAAATCAAGTGATTTGGTGTCACATAATTCTGACTCACAGAGGGAGATAAATACTATGTCAACTGAGCACTGATTATGTGGTAAAAGGTACTGTACATGTACATTTAAGTTCAAGCAAAACACAAACAGTATTAGTAAAAGAATATCCAAAGTTCCAAACAAACCGCCCCATGCTTGACTGCCTGTGCTGAACCATTCCTCTCGCTGAAAGGCAATTACACACCTTTTGTCATATTAAAGTGTTGAATGGTTGACAGCTTGACATACAGACCAAAGTGAAACAAAAACAAAAGACTCCCACGCTAATTTCTGCAAGGGGGTTTACAAAATATCATGCACCAGTTCTGTAGTTCATCAGTGTAAAATTGCTAGTTACACAGTTCGGCCATGCTGAGCAAAAGAGCATTCATAATTTACTTTCTTTTTGTATTTTTTTTTCTGAGCAAAAATGTTACATTCCGGTTCATGTAGTTCAGCAAAGGAAAGTTCAACACACTTTTAAAACTTTACAATCATGGGCTAAGGCTCATCAATCAATTTCTGCTATAATCCTCAAATAAAAACTGCAATACATTGGATTATAATGATGATGAGCCATCAAGCTAGACATCCAATTTTTTATTTTATTTTTTGCTTAAGAAGATTTGACCTTCCGATCTACCCGCCTGATGGGATCAACCACATGATACATATAATAAGCAATACAAATTATTTCTTCCTTCCTCGTCATAACAAGAAACTTGATTCCCGGACCGTACAATGACGATTCTTGGCAAGGCACAGCAAGTTGTGGTGATTACAACACATCTTGTGATCATTTCTCATGCTATTCTGACTCATCACAACAATCCCTCTAGTTGGGAATGTCTGTTATCAATGCCAACAAACACCCGTTTTTAATGGGTGTGTATCGGGAGTACCATTACAACCTCCGCAGTCATGAAGTCACATTAAATCCTGAAATGTTGTAAACAATTAAAAAGAGAAACTACACATAACTAACAAATATACAGGAGAAATACCAATCTACAGTATGATGATATGCAATTGTGTGAGGAACAGTACTCAGGCTCGATAAGATATTTGTTTAGTAATCTATCATTTCTTCTATGCAAAGAAAAGAAATGACTCCAGAAAGACAGACCTCTTTGATAACTGGATGCTGAGTTTTTTTTTTCTTTCTTTGTTTGCTTTCTGTTTATTATTAATTTTTTGATGCAAATTAAGGGCAGTTATATATATTTCATATTCTATTGGATATTTTGCTAAATATGACTCTGATCTGACGTATGTTTGAAAACAATTAAGCCTCTAAATAATCGTGTCTGAATTCTACATATCTGTTTAAAAAAAAAATTAAAAATTAAAAAAAAAATCTATACAAAACTTTTTTAAAATGTGCATGTACATGTAGTATGTACAGCTACATGTACATGTACAAACACACATGTTATCTAAAATGTCTTCTACGGTCACATAAAAAGGCCACAAAACCCGTCACAAATGCTAAGCAAATATTACATGAGCCATTCACAGGAAAGATCATTGTGCAACTGAGCATGTAATTATCAGTATCCCTTAGAGAATGCATACAAATGCAATACACTGGTGACCTTTTCAATTCGCATAATGATGTGCATTATTCCCACGCAAAAGTTGAACATCAACACAGCCCCTTTCAACATGAACTTTTCATATTACAACGGATGAGAAACACTGAGAATCACAGTGAAAACATACAAAAGGAAGGAAATACCCTTTCAATGTTTAATACAAAAGGTGTCCTTTCAGCCCACTCTCCAAAGTCTCTATGAATGTTTCTCTCTAACAGGTATAAGGAAACAAAACCTCAACTACGGTTAGGTATCATATCTTTAGGTATCATATCTTTTGGTATAATTTCTCTGTCACAGTGAAAACATACAAAAGGAAGGAAATACCCTTTCAATGTTTAATACAAAGGTGTCCTTTCAGCCCATTCTCTAAAGTTTCTATGAATGTTTCTCTATAACAAGTATAAGGAAACAAAACCTCAACTACGGTACATGTAGGTATCATATCTTTTGGTATAATTTCTCTGTCACGCAATCTTGTGGTAAATGAACATGTGATTCAAACTTTGAATCACAAGTTTTGATTTCACAATCCATATAAATCATGTACATGACAAGATATCTATCTACATGTATGCAGTAATCCTCCTTGTGCAAATTATAGGAATTTTGAATATTTGGAATACCGGTATGGAATACAAGTCTAGACCTAGAGGATATTCTTTTTATGGTCTGGGCTTTCTAAATTCAAGAAACAACTTGTTAGAGGTTCTAATGAGATACAAGTCCTCCACGTGGAGGTCATGCTCTACGTTGGAAAATGAAAGCTTCATGTTGCATTCATATTCAGACAGTTTGGGGCTCATAGAAGTGTGAGACTTCTCCGCAGTTGGGAAGGGAAAAAAAATTAGTTTGTTAGGACAACTAACGACTGTTGGGGAATGTTGCCAATCAGGAATGGTCGAAACTGGGATTTGTGACTTTCAAGGCTTCATGGTTGATGAGTGTTCATGCTTTTTTTATAACCTTTATCAAAAAAAAAAAAAATAATAACAAATACCAAGTGACCGATATTTGCTTTTGAATACCGGTATATTTCCACGAACTATAGAACCTTGAACCCTTTAACCATAAAATCAAAGTCTTCTGGGCTGCGTCTCACGAAACCGTCATAAGTACAAGTTCAGCGACATCCCATTGAAATGCGTGTATTAAGTTTAACACGCGTTTCAATGGGATGTTGCTGAACTTGTACTTATGACGGTTTCGTGAGACACAGCCCTGGATGACTGTTCCTGTAAACAAAACCTGTAAAGTGCTGGCAAAAGAAATGAAAAAGAAGAAACACCTGTGTTCACAATTCTACACAACAGCTTTAAATGGTCATGTGATTGTGATAATTCATGTGAGAGACAACCGACCTTGGAGCTAAATCCAGTTAGTCGGATTAGTCTATAGCTAAATGTACAGGCATGTTCACACAGGTCAGAAGTTATAAACAACATCCATTATTAAATAACAATGAGGGTTGGTTGGGTTCCCAATGGACAGGAAAAAAAATGAGTATTCAGAGTTATAACTAATACCTGGGGAAAGGATTCATTTTAACCACAAGCTAGTGTAAGTCTTAAAGTTAATTGCATTTACACAACACAGCACATGTAACTGTGAATGAGAACACCGCTCCTCCTGCTACTTGTAGCTTTTCCCGCTAAGGCGCTAAGTTCCGCTAACCTTAATATTTGCGGTCTGTTTTAACTTCGAGTTACATGTACAAATGTAACTGGAAGTCTTGTAAAATTCTACAGGTGAGTCCCCACGGTTCCTAACTGCAATACAACTTAAGTAAACAGACCTGTCATGTGAGCCCTTCACTATTGTTGAGAATGATACTCTCTGTAGAAACCATATATGGTATGCTACCACATGATGGCTCTGCGGTAACTATCTTGATTATGATAATCCTATTCCTATTGAACGATTAGTTAAGGTTGTTCTTGGAAAACATCCATATTTGAAGCAATAACTTTGATGTTATATTTTGTCTAATATTCTAAACTCAGATCAGGGATATTAGCTATATTTTCAATTCAATTCAATTCAATTCAATTTTATTTTGCAATATAAAAATCAAAATATACAAAGTAACAGTAAATTTTAACTATGTTTACAAAGGTTATATGCGGGGCTTTCCATGAAGGTTGCGAAAACCTGTGAAGTTGGATCGCCCATTAAAGAATGTGCATGTAGACATGCAAGGGCAATTTTCAGCAAAAACAAAGAAATTTGTTGTTGTTGTTGTTGCTTCGTTTAGCACCCATTGCAACACATACAATAATGTACAAATGATGAAAAATATATGTTCATGTAATTTAGAATTTGTCTACAGTTCTCTAGTTTAGCCAAATGTATCGGCACGAAAAGACACGTTTTGAATACAAAATGCACATATTCGTTGAAGTTCTCACAGATATGGAACCACAACGCTAAGATATGGACCTTGTATATACATGTACTATGACGATTATAAAGCTTTTATCCTAAAATATCACAAAAGACTCTTTAATTATTGCGTTTATGGACGCGTCTTTCATCCCACTACATTTCGCTATGTTACCTTATTATCTACAAGCATCGTGCCATTTCTTGTATTGGCCCTCGGGGGCAGGCCGGGGCTAATCCATGCAGAGGCTGCTCGGAGATTGTACGGACATCGTGCAATTTCAATGCAGTAGCCGTGTCGTCTCCAGTCTCCACGGGCTCCGTAGACTAATCGCAGGCCAAATGTAATCCAGGCATTAGCAAGATACATGTAACATGTAGCACGCATTTCCTGACTTTTATCATTGGTGAGTTGAGTGGGCAAACTAGACACTAATTAGCATACAACTCAACTGAGTGCTTAATTTGTATGTTAACTGAGACCAACTGTAAAGTTCATTTGCTTTCCATAAATGGACTTTTTATTTTAGTTACATTTTAGGTGAAAATCTGTCAATTCTATTATGATGCATGGCTGACAAAACTACTAAATAAAACTTACCATTTATGAGAAACCAGCACTTCTGGTGATCTGTAACGAAAAAGTTAAAAATGCATTTTTTTATAACTATGAGTAATAATTTACCAACACTTCTGTCATCATCTATAACCAAAATAGTTTTAAAAATGTATTTTGTTATATTTAATATCGGTCGCCCGCCCAGAACCCACTTGTATTGTGTGGTGGTTTGCAGTGAAACCTGTGAGAAAGTGTTTATAATAATGTCTTTGTTTTTAGGAAAAATACTCCCAAAAAGATAAGTAAATTGACCCGAAACAGGTAAGAATTATAACAACTTTTATTAAATCATGACTATATTTCAACAATTGTTGAAGATTTAGTTGATTTTTGGTATAGTAGAGTATCTCCACGCCAGAGTCACGAGTCAAAGTTTGGATACGATTATGAACCAACACTGCATGCTTCATCCTGTTAGGCGTTACATGCAAGTTATATGCAGAAACGAAACAATGGAGCGGCAATGAAGAAACCATGTGATAATGATTGATGCAAGATATTGCAATTGACCATATTCGTTGTCGGGTCTAAACTCTAAAGTAAAAGTTAACATCGAAAAAGTCACAGCTTAGCCTGTGTGTTCAGTTAGCGACTGTAAACTAAAGCCCCAGTCCCATATAAAGCCGGACCAGCACGGACGAGCACTGACCACTCCGGACCATCCCGGACCATGGTCTGGGGTGATCCGGGATGGTCCGGGATGTTTTGTTCAAAAAAGTGTGATGCTTTAAAAGCTACAGTCCCATATACGTCCCGGACCGTCCCGGACCATCCCGGACCCCATCCGGGGTGATCCGGGATTCGGTCCGTGTTGACACCGTGTTGGCACCGGGGTGGTCCTGGATGGTCCTGGATGGTCCTGGATGGTCCTGGATGGTCCTGGATGGTCCTGGGCGGTCAATAACTCACTCCCGGACTGCCACGGATCAACACGGACCGCCCCGGCGCCACTACGGATGACCCCGGACCCAGCACGGTGGCTACACGGATCACCCCGGATCAAACTATTGTCCCGGACCGTCCCGGACCACCCCGGCAGTTTTTGACCGTCAAAAACATCCGGGGTCGACTCCCGGACCGCCCAGGACCATCCAGGACCATCCAGGACCATCCAGGACCACCCCGGTGCCAACACGGTGTCAACACGGACCGAATCCCGGATCACCCCGGATGGGGTCCGGGATGGTCCGGGACGGTCCGGGACGTATATGGGACTGTAGCTTAAGATTACAGTCGCTAACTGAACACACGCACGCGCCCGCTCCCCACCGTCGGTACGGTATGCAATTGTAGTGTGCTGCAAGCTGCAGTTTGCCTAACTCCAGGAAGCTCCAACGCCGATGCCGAAGGGCGTTGGAGCTTCCTGGAGCTAGAGTTACAGTTTGTCGTGAATCCTGTGAGAAAGTGCATATTATAAGTCTTTGTTTTTAGGAAAAATACTCTGAAAAAGATAAGAAAATAACACGAATCAGGTAACAAACATAGATCTATTTACTTTTAAATAATGACCTTTATTTGGGTAGTTGATGAATATTTACTTCCTTTTATTTTAGGTATGTTTTAGTAGGTCTATCTCCACGCCGGAGTTACGGGTCAAATTTTGGCTAGACTTCTGAACTAGGCCTAGATCAGTAGATGATGATAGATCTAGATGATCTAGGCCTAGCTAGGGCGGGGTCTAGATCTAGATCGAGATCTAACTTAGACCTAGAGAAAGTGGCCGTGGAGTAGTCGGAGTAGACTCTAGTCTAGTGCCTGAAATTGTTGTGAATGAGTATTTCTATGTGACGTGATCTAAAGTCTACAACCCTAGTAACATCTTAATCTTATGAATGTTTAATAGTCTACGTTTTTGAATGAAATGACTGTTGTTATGTTGTCAAAAAAAATGAGTCTGTGAATTTTGTGATTCTATTTTGTCTGCACTGCACTGGTGCCCGGTGTGTGAACCGACATTTCTTGACTGATCACATCACCCGGCACCCATTCTTCACGTTCACTGCACTGGACTTACTCTAAATTCTCCTTCCTTGAAGCTCCGCATCCCCAGGTGCAATTGGAGCGCCTCTTTTCACGAGAAGTTTGGAAAAGTCGATGAATTAAAGCCATTTTCACATCATGATCGTTGCTTGAAACTTGAAAAATCTCCTCTCGCTGCACTAATTATCTATGTAGTTTACCGTATGGGCTTCGCGTTGCATGCCCAAAAGTGTATACGATAGTATTATAGTTCAATGACTGCATACTACTCGTACTAGTGCTTGTGTTGTTTATAAAAGTCACATGACGATCTTTCAGAGTCGGGGCGCCTGAATGTGATTCACTTCGTACACAGAACGTGATTGGCTAACTGCGTTTCAGTCAGTGCTATTATCAAGAGTATTGATTGGTCGGTGTCGAGTATGGTATGCACTCGTACCTGAAAATGCCAGCCAAGCAAGCAGTCTAGTCATGTGAATTATTTTCTTTTGTTGATACGATAAAATCCGTGCTGATACACATACCGCTTTAATCATGCACGTATGTATGTAGCATCACGTGCAGATGAATAGAAAAGAGCCTGGCAAGATTTGAAAGTTTGTGCAACTAGTTTAATTAACCAGCTGTAAAGCTTAGGCAAATTTCTGAAGTTCTTCCACCAACGCCTTTCTCCCTCTCGCGTTCATTATCCTTGTTTTTTCCCTGTTTTTTCCCTCTTTTAATATAGGCCCTTTACTCTTCTCTTTCTTTATTCATTTCATAAGCCCTTTTCTATTTGTTGCTAAATTTTGCCCCCGGCCTCCCCCCCCCCCCCCCCCCCTCTGTCTGTCTCTTTATCTTTCCAATTCCTCTCGATCTGATCGAGGAATCTGATTGTGGCTGTACTAATCAGTCATCTATGGTGCTAGTGACTTTGTCATATAAATTATTGATTCGTCATTTCAGTTTAAAAAAATACTTGTACCTCCTCCTTGCTTCCATCTCCCCCCTCTCTCTCTCTCTCTCTCTCTCTCTCTCTCTCTCTCCATCTCTCTTTTTCCACTTCCCCTCTCCCTATCTTTCTCTCTAGTCTCTCCCCTATCTTGTAGCCTCTTCTATTCCCCACTATAATTAGTTTTCAGTGACCCATAATCTGTCTCTGATACTTGCATCCACTTGAGATTCTTATTTTCTCTTTCATCTCTCATATCATGTTTAAAACTATTCTTTACTTCTATTCTTTATTTGCTTTAATTATACAGGTATAATGGACAGTGGAAACAAATATATCAATAGCCAGACATCGAGCATTGTCAAAAATTTACAATTTTATTTACAATAACATCATTTAAAAAATGAGATTTGTTGTTTTCAAATCTTGATTAGGAATGGGCATCCCAATTAAGTCTAGCTGATGAAAAATCTTTATAGAAGAAATAACTAAAAATTCAAAAAAATAAAAAACACTATGACAATAGCAGTGATTCAAAAAATTACTTAGCATTTTGAAAGGGCTATGAAATTACTTGAATTTTTATCAATTTGTTGTAAAATATTTTTTTATCAGACCATATTATCTTTAATTTTCAAGCGAAACGGAAAACGAATTTTACATTCGAACTACCATAATAAACAAACGTCATATTGCTGCTGAAAAATAATGCTATCTCAGCTTAAATGTATCTCAAGGAAAGGCTTCTATGTGGCCATTTACAAACTTTCAAATTAAAACCTGTCAAGCATTAAGCAAAAGCATACATATATTGAAATGTAATTTCCTTTCCCCCAGATGAACTTGATCATAACTTCATTTCATCCATATATTCATGTAGTAGTAATACTTATGGTTTGATTTATTTAAATGAATGAACATTCTTGTTTCAAATTCTCTTATTGAAAGGAAGTAAGGTAAACATGAAGATATTTTGTTGCAGTAATAGTTTTTGACAATATGTTAATGGTTGTGGCTGCAAGAAAACAAGTTCGATAACGTTTACATTTGAGTGCACTCCAGTAAATGTTTGTTAAATATTTCACGAGTGATGTCACATAAATAATAAATCCATGTAGTTCTGAACATATATGCAAAGAGTGTTACATATTATTTTTCAGAAATGAATCATTATAATTAATGATCCTTGGATGATGCATTGATAAATGTTCATTGGAATCCAAAACTTCTTAATAAGGTACCAGGAATCCAAGGACGTAACCAACAACTTTTCTGAATAAATCTAGAAATCCTGTTATAACATAAATAAATTCAACAAGGGTTACTACATTTTTGTCAAGTCTTTGTGATATATTGGTCTTGCTAAAACATTAGAAATGACAATCTTGAACCTACAATTTAAGTTTTATAAAAATCTATTTTCTAAAACAGGAGACAACAAATATCATGGATGATAAAAAACTTCTTGTGTAGTTTAGATGAGCTCATTCATCTCATCAACAGTGTTTGTTTACACAATCGTTTTTACAATGGGTATTTCGTGAAATTATCACTTGGGACAAATTACTGTATCATACAAAATACACAGAAACAGGCTCAATAAACATCTGAAGTTCGTCACTGTTAAGATATCCTATTCCAATCTAAATTTGACCCCATCCTGAGCAGCTGAAGAGGTTCTCCATTGTTGGTTGGCTTATCTTGAGATAACAAGCTGAAATCAACAGTCAAAATAAAAGTCTAACAATTCACAAACATGATTTAAACGTAGCACATGATGTAAACCTGCTATTTACTATGGCCCAACCAAGGTAAAATATGGGCAAAAACAAAAAACATGTATTTTAAATGTGCCTTCAAGTTGTGAAAAATAAGGAACCAATCTTTTTTGTTTCTACCTTTATATTTTCTGCCTATATATTTCAAAGACAGTGAGGGGGCATATATTTTGTTTGCTTTGTCTTCTTATTTTAAGGACTTTTGGGACTGTCAATAATAAATAAACCAGTGTTTAGGCTGTGGGATTCAGACTATCATGCCCAGGATAATGCAACAAGTACTATACAGTGAAACCTGTCTATAAAGACCACCTAAGGGAGACAAGAAAAGTGGTCTATATAGGCAAGAGGTCTTTATATACAGGTTCCTTTAGTACATTTGCATGATAGTTCAATGAGAACCCAGCTTCAAGGGAAACAAAAAATGTGGTCTTTGTAGACAGGTGGTCACTAAATCAGGTTTTGCTGTATAATGGAAGCAGATCTGAACCAGAAGATATAGACTGCAAGACATAAAGGTCACAGTCCAATCTACAAGACAGGAAAGTTGTAGTGCTCAGCAAATTAAAAATATAAACATGCAGAAGAAATGTCCATTCTTGAGAGGTCCATCGGTCCTTGAGATGCTCTGTTTCTTAACCCTCTGGCTATTGACTTCTCTCATTCCCATATGCTTAATACAGGGACCAATCAGTTCCAGTAGGCAAAGGGTTAATATGATGTTACTGTCCTTGGTGAAGACTTGGTGGATGGAGATCAAAAGACACTCAAAGAACCTTATACCTCCCTTTGTTGGTAGGTTGATACGAGTTTTGCTGGAGAAAAAAAATATGAATAAGACAGATAAGTGATTAAATAATCAAAACTAAACAATAATAATATAAACACTTATAATGCACTGGTATCCATAGAGTAGAAATAGTCACATAAACATGAACAGGAGTGTACAAACAATAAACATGAAATTGTATGAAACACTAAACGTAATACTTAAGTGTAATGAAAGTAGTGTATCAATTACCAGTGAATTCATCGTACTCATTACACCATTTCTGAATATCTCTTTTCCCCCCACAGATTTGTAATTGTACATGCAGAAATAGAGTTTGAATTGTAATACATGGCTTAGCCAAACTTCGATGAGTACCATAAGCATGCATGCAGTGTTTAGATTCAATCACACATAGGATGGGTGAAAAGGTGATTAAAGGCACAGTTTGGTGATGCAACTGCCTTTCAAGAACTTTCCAAAACCAGTTATTATCTTTACTAAATTTTGAAAATTCAGTTTAAGTTTGGTTTGTATATGTAAAACTGCATTTTTCTATCATTAACAAAATATAAAAATAAATCTTATATTTTGCTTGTGTGTGTTTTGTTATTCTTCTTTATTGTCATTATTTTTTTGTTCCTTATATTCATGTATATTGTAACTTTTGATTTGGTACAGTGATGAACTATGGGGAGTAGCCTTGACAGGTCAATGGCCTTTGCTACTCTCTCACACCCACTTCATCACAGTGTACGCATCTTTTTCTCATTTGTATCATTTGTCTATTTTTTTAACAATGTTGTTCTAAAATTGTCTATATCTTCATACATTGTATTTTTTTAAGGGATGTGAAATAAATGAATTTGTATGTGAATGTGAATGAGAATTTCATTTCTTACCAGCCTGACTAGTTCATCCTTGACTAATCTTGTGATCTCAGCTTTGGCCTTTGACACAGCTCTGTCACTGACACCTGAAAATTGACACAAAAAAAAAAAGAGAGACTTAATATGTCAGAATTCACATAGGATTTATTATATCTATTTTCACTTCATTGAAACATACATTCTAGTTACACTCTCTCTCACTCTCTCACTCTCTCACTCTCTCTCTCTCTCTCTCTCTCTCTCTCTTGCTCTGCTGTGCAGCAGGTTTAAAGCATGAACATTGAGTCTCAATGTTATCTGACATTCATCAACTACAATTTTATCAATGTAAAGTATTTTTTTTACAATATGGTACTTAATTCAATATGTTTAATTCACAATTGCAATTTTTATTTACAATATATTTTTATCTTTGTATAACATGTATAATTAAGTCTTTGTACTGCGAAACATGTTCAAATAAACCTTTATTGAATTGAATTGAAAAAGAAAATTATGAAATGAAAGTAAGAAAGAATAATTACAAAATCAACTACAGGATAATACAGATTGTGTTGAATTACATTCGGGAATTCAGGAATTCAGTTTCACATTTCTTCAACAAAAAAACTGATTGTTTAGTCTACTTCATAATTATGTTGATGCTAATATTGATTGTTTAGTCATCACAGTACTCTATAAACATAACCAATATTTAGATAGGTAGAGGATCTTACTTTCGATAGCCAGATAAAGCTTTCTTTCTCCTTCCTTGGGTTCTTTGCCAGGAGCAAAGTACGTCCCTCTGATCGTGATCCCTGCTTCGCTGTAGTCCTGGATCTGGGCTAGGTTCTCCTGAAATACAAAGGACAAGAATAAATCAATGTGACTTCTACTTCTATGACAATACTCAGCAGGATCCATAAGTGAGGATGTAGTGCTGAGGATGTAGTGCTGAGGATTCAACTTAGGTGCTCATTTGCAGTGCATGCTTGTTGGTGCATTTAAAAGGTTGTGTAAGTAAAAATCTAGTTCCTTAGTCTAGAAGGTGCTGGGTGGAAGCACTTCTTTGAAGGCCTCCAATGTCATTGTCTATCCAGCAGATATGTCTGTTGAGAGCCAGAAGGGTGTTAACTCTGTGTATTACAGATAATGAAATAAAATGCCTTTCTAGCTCTGAGCTGAGGAGACACGAGGGCTCAGTGGTAGAGCAGGTCTTATAAGCACGAGGTCCTGGGTTCAAACCAAGTCAATGTGCTAGTGCCCTTGGTATTTATCAAGGCATTTATCCTCATTACCAAGTTCCTCAGAGAGGACTAAAGCCATCAGGCCCCTGGCTCCATACTTACAAACATACACAGACTTTTAGCAGTCAAGTAATAAATGTTAAGATGATATGGATAGGGCTCATTGGGACCTATACAGGAATTTACAATAAGGATGTTTTTAGCCAGGAGAACATGCAGAATAAAGCCCTTATACATAGAAAACATCATATACACATCTTAACTGCCACCCCCCTATAGGATTGTTATCTAATATATTATTTATGACAAATTGTATTCCACGTTGGAGGTTTAAAACATGTATTAGGCCACAATTTGAATTTAAATTTCTATTATTTTGGGCAAAAGAGCGTTAACTTGGCTGTTTCACTTGTAACTATCCCTGCAGTCCCACATATAGAATTCAGTGTGGCCCCTGAAACCAAACATTTAGTCCCATTCATTACCTTTGATGTAACCTTCCACCTGGCAGTTTGAGGGAAGTCATTGATCTCCAATTCCTCCTCGTATTTCCTGAAGGTTGGTTTAGGCTGTTCCTCCTCCTTCTCTTCTTCATTAATCTTAGGAATGTAGTTGAGCTTGGCGTTAAGTTTGGCAGCCATTTGCTCGGCCCTAGTGAATGTCTGTGTCAAAAGTCATCAAAAATTGAAAAGTGATGGTCAGGTACATGTACATCATTGATTTAGGTCATAAAATAACCTATTTAAACAAAAATATAAATAAAATATCCTTTGTATGTAGGCTTATAGACATCTGATTGTGGATTATCAAAAATAGATTCAAAGTGCATTCATTGATAAACCTGTCGGATGTAGGGGTTTCCTTTATTCTATCTCTCTCTCTCTCTTATTTTCTCTTCCTCTCTATTGAAGACTTTACGACATACACTGGTTACGGAACATTGACCATGAGCAGCTCCTTTCATCATTTTCTCCTTTTCTGCCCCCCCCCCCCCCTCTCTCTTTCTGTCTATCTCCCTCAACCCCTATCTCACTATCTCCCTCGCTATTTATGTCTCATGTACGCTCTACAATGAGAACTTACCGATACTGCAGGTTGTCCTAGCGTGGCTCCTTTCATCACAGCATGCGTTGCTTGCTGAACCATATCCACACCCCTCTCACTCTCCAGGTTCTTATTAATCTTGGCTGCCATTCGCTTAGCCAGACTCAGCATAGCCTGGTTGGCCCCAGCGGGCAGGGTAGTGGCGGCTCCAGCCGGGGCCGCGCCCGGTGCCGCTCCCGGTGTGGCAGAGTTCGCCTGCGGTTGCTGGACGACGGGGATCTCATCAGCTGTTACGTCCTTGACGCGTCGCTTTGATGCAAACATGGTCTCGATCTTCTCGTCGATCTGCAGAAATGTGAAAGTATAGTATATAAATAATACACAGCAGTGAGGGCATTAGTAGGAATTACCCAGACTAGCAGCCTTTTCACACACAGCTAAAATTCATCGTATCTAGAGATGATTAGTATAAACATGTTTAACTCAACAGTTTTAAACACCTTTAAAGAAAATTTTCCCTGTGTGAACATCTTATATACGATGTTCGGATAGATACGAAGTCGCGATTCATACGCCCCTCAAAGCAGGCTGCAGAAACGAAGTTCGTATCTAGAGAGCTTGACATTTTGTGTGTGAACGGTTTAAACGTGTTTAAACAAGGTGGAGCGTTTACTTTGTTTGATATGACCTAACCTTCAATGCGCAATGGCACTACTGCGCATTTTAAGAGCAGTAGTTAATCACAAAACGATTAAAGATCGAACCAAAATTTCTGTGTGTGAATGATGTCGTATGTACAGCTGATTAGTTTAAAGCCCTTTAACCCTTACTGTACTGGGCTATTTTGAGCACCCACTGACTGGGGGGGGGGGCCTGGGAGGCCCCCCCCTATGATCTCGGCCGTCGATTGTCCGATGAACACGAAAATTTGCATGTTTGTAGATATTTACGTAAGGAACAAGATGGTATAATTAGTTTTTTCCGAATATGCAAATTTTTCTCATTAGCCTAATTAATTATGCAAAATGCGCTAATTTTATGCATTTTACCGAAAACGTGTCAAACTCCACTTTTTGAATGTTGAAACTCATTATTCATATGAAACTTCTTTTCTAACACAAAAAAGTTATTTTAATGTAATTAATAATGATAATTTATGCAAATTTTGATGCGATTTTCATTTTTTTTTTTTTTTTTTTGATGACATGCGCATACTAATTGTTATGTAACGCCTTACAGGAATATCCGATTTCGACGAAAATGGTATCAAAATGTGCGTAAGACTTGAGGGAAAAAAGTCATGAAACGACAATTCAAAATTCCAAGCGGTTGCAGCGCAATCTCCGAAAATGTAAGGGTTAAACTAATCATGTTTATAGAATTTTAGCTGTGTGTGAAAAGGCTGTCAGTACCTTTGGAACAGTCTAACACGCCCGAGGCAGTAGCCGAGGGTGTTTGGACTGTTTTGAAGGTACCGAGTGTGGGTAATTTTACTAATGCCCGAACAAAATTATATGTATTATTTGATTAATAAATTATGTTAATTTCTTTTATAAAATGATATTTTTTAACATGATTTTACTAATGACCGGTCATTAGAATTGGATAATGACTGGTCATTATCCAAATTACGCATCAGGCAAAATAAATGCCTGGTCACGTGTAGGCTTTCAACCAATCATTTGATTAGAGTCCATGTCATCTTACAATGTATCATACCTATTGGTATAGCTTCTTCCTGGGTCTCACCTTATAACGAGTGATCTATGAAAGTCAAGTGCAAGTTCTTGAGGCAATGGATCAGGCATGGATTTGTGCTTGATTCGGGTCAATAGAGACACTTTACTACGGTCACAATAAAGATGGTCCATATTTTACAATAAATATATATCACAAGATCCCCCTCAAATCAAGTTATACAAAATTCTTTTTGATTTTCAATTTCAAGTGATCTGGGATTACAATGTACATTCCTATTTGTTATACAGTGAATTACTATAATGACAATAACAGCTATTAAAGGTGATATTGAACAATATCCTTTCAAATCATTACTATTACCCTGGCTTTAGCCTAGCTGTCCTAAGGAAGTAAAATTACTTTCTACCAGGTATCCATTAAAATGTAGATTGATGTCTTGCCAAGGACATTGTGCTAGATGATTATGTACCAGAATTTTTGATAAATGAATCTCTTTTACAAGCCGATCGCCTGTCTGATTATCAAGATATGATTGGAAATCAAAACCAAACGGTTTTCATAACTCTACAGTCTATTGGGGAAAACGAGTATGCCAAAACCGGTCACTCAAAGATTTTTTACTTTTTTGAGGCACTTCTTGATCTTTATGAAGCGCAATTTTTTTTTTAGGGCTTCAATATTACACCATATCACAGACACTGATAAAACGTAGGGCCATGCATCTCAGATTTAACACTGTTACACGATCCCTTTAAGGTTTGGATTTCCCGAAGGAGTGTGAAGTAGTTTTTGAGGGATATATTCTTACATCCATTCCTGCATCTTCATCATCAGAGTCTTGTAGACCTAGAGCGGCCCTCTGTAGTTTCTTCTTCTCGTTGGCTAGCTCTCTCTCAGTGTCGTCAAACTTGAAGCCTTTCCCACTGAAGCCACTGTTTTTGGTCACCTCTTTTCCTTCCTAAAAAACAGGGGATAAAGAAAATAAACATGTTCCAATTGAATCCCAAATCAGTATCTGAAATTCTTAAAATCTAAATTTTCATATCAAACCATGAATTACAGAAATCAGAATTACTCTGTTTCCAATAAACCAGCTATTTCAGAGCCATCAAACTTTCAACATAAATTCTTTTGTAGCTGTTATTTCTGATTACCTATTTTCTTTCTTTAACAAAATTTAAGACTTAGACAGGATTTAAAGATATATCCAAAATGTGTATATGCATTATCAACATTCAACATATACAATCATTTTACTTTTCTTCGGCATTTACCTTTACCTTGTATTGTTTTTTGAAACTCAAACATGTTTGGAAGAAACCTTTCCTTCCTGAACAATATCAACAATATTGGCATGATAAATTCAAATCCAAATTTAAATAATCTTCACCAAAGTTCAACTACAATCAAACCTGTCTATAAAGACCACCCAAGGAAGACGTAAATAATCATATCTGATTGGTACACATCTGTAAAAACCCAATACACACACACACACAAACACGCACACACTCAAGAAAAGTGGTCTTTATAGGCAGGTGGCCTTTAAGTAAAGGTACCTTTGGTACATGTTTCAATGAGAAACCATTTTCAAGGGGAACAAAAAATGTGATCTTTGTAGAGAGGTGGTCACTAAAGCAGGTTTGACTGTACCAGTGAAATTCAAGGTTGTAAGGAGGCCCTGATTTCTACTCACAGATTTCTGCTGATTGCAATAGAGGCTCCACATCTCAGTCAGCTCCTCAGGTACCTTAGCACCGCTCAGCTCAAACGCCTTGATCACATCTCCAGCATACTTAGCCTGTTCAGGCATTAGGAAGGTGTATGAGAACCCCTTGTTTCCCGCTCGCCCTGTGCGCCTGAAATACACAGGATAACAATCACAGTCCTGTAAATCAATACTTGAATCCTTGACGGATGTATAATAGATTTGGCCTTAGAACTACTCAGCTCAAACGGCTTGATGACATCTCCAGCATACTTGGCCTGTTCAGGGGTTAGGAAGGTGTAGGAGAACCCCTTGTTTCCGGCTGGCCCTGTGCGTCTTTAATACATACAGTACAAAGACAACTGCTACCAATAGCACTCGTCCTAAATGTACTGTATTTGGGAGTTTGGTCAAACTAGGTATTCTTTGGTTACTATTATACAGGCATAAAACAAACTGATAAAGAAATTTCTACATAATGCACTACTGTTTTTGAAAAATAGGAACGTGATTCAGATTATGTGACCAAGTTGGTTGAAATTGCTGATTAAAATTGCACATTTTGTTCATTTTTTTAAACAAAACATAGAAACGACTGAAGCCAAACTCACTAACCCAACCTAATCTAATTTAAATGTAATAAATTTCAGTTCAACTTAATCCAATCAAACCCAATATAATTCCAGTAATTCAATCATTCATGAACCAACACTATAGAAACCAATGAAACCTAACTCACTAACCCAACCTAATCTGACTTAAATGTAATCAATTTCAGTCCAATCTAATCCAATCCAACCCAATATAATTCCAGTCATTCAATCATTCTTGAACCAACAATGATTGGGGCAATCCAACCAGACACAATCTAATATCTAATCCAATCCAATCCCAATTCAAGCTAATCCAATTTGATCCAATCTAATATGGTGTCTTTCAGTCCAAATCAATATCATTCCATCCAAGTAAAAGAATTTCCATCATTCTTACCCAACTCTGTGCACGTAATCCTCGTAGTGGTTAGGACAATCATAGTTGATAACAAGGACAAGGTTCTTCACATCCAAGCCTCTGGCTGCCACAGAGGTTGCAACCAGGATCTTCACATTAGCAGCTTTGAAATCCTGAATATAAGGCAGTAACAAGGTGGACATTATTCACTGCCACTGCACTAATGTCCTTTGGCAAGACATTGATCTGCATTTGTCACACTCAGCCCAGGTGATGTAAATGGGTACCTGGCAGGAATTAGTTCCTTGAAATGCTACAGCGCCGTAATGGCAGCCGTGCCAAAGCCAGGGTAATAATCTCCCTCTGGCCCTCAGAATAGTTTACTAGATCGATGGCACATTACAAATGCTGGCATATTAGTATTATCATACATGTAGCTCAACTATGCACAACACTATGATATCACCAAGATTAAAGTGTCAAAATCATAGTGAAATAAGTAACTCAGAGAAAGAAAAAAATCAAATGGTCTTGAGCAGTAGGTTCGCAGACTAATCTTTCTCAATTCAATCCAGTGCAACTCAACCCAACCTAACCTAATCTAATCTATTCTAAATAAACAGACCATCGGAGCAAAGTTTTAATGGTGTCCGTCGTACCGATCTATACCACCATGCAGGGCTAGGCAAGGATAGGACACCTTCATGAGGTCTTTGAGCAGCAGATCTGCAAGACTTCTCTCTCTTACCAAGTCAACCCATCCTAACCCAATTCAACCCAAACAACTCTAAACTACTAGGTTCTAAAGCAAATTAATTACCTGAATGATGGAGTCTCTGTCGTACTGATCTATACCTCCATGAAGAGCGAGACAAGGGTAAGATGCCTTCATGAGGTCTTTGAGTAGCAGATCTGCAGACTCTTGCTTCTCCACAAAGACTAGGATCTGGCCTTCATCATAGTAACCCAAAAGCTCAAGTAGCTTCAGGAACTTCTGATCCTCCTCCAGAATCATCTGCAAGATACAGGATGAGAAAATAAAAATTTATTGCAATAAATGCCATTTCAATGTTATGATCATAAAAATCACCATCATAAAAAATAAAAATAAAAATTGCCATCATAAAAAATACAAGCACTAGTATCTTCTCAATCGTAATCAATACTTATAACCATACGAATAAACCCACTATTTTACCAATAACATCTCCATCTCAGTTATTACCAACTCCACTATAAACCCTCACCGGTTCCTCAATCACTTATAGAATGTAGAGAAATGGTCATAAAATTACTTTGTAAAAAGGAACACTCCAGATTTTATCATAAATAGTTTATCAAGTAGAATGGCATATGAAGTTTATGGCATCATAAATATTTTAATAAATTGACTGAATCTAGATGAATGGGACAGCACAAACATTTGGCATCAGAGTTTTGTATAAATGTGTAAGCTATTTTTAGTCATATCTGAAATATCACACCACTTCAAGGGCAAGCCTTTTAAAGGTAAAGACCAGTATTGGAAAAGCCCCAATTTCAAAAAATGAAATGGAAGCTCTTATTACCAATCATGTGAAAGAATATGTTTTGATTTATACATGATGATAACAATTTTGCCGGGAAACCGCCTACTAATTGATATATTTGGTAAATTAGTTTATCTATTGGTGTGAGAGAGATAAAAACGCATGTGTCGCTCACGTGTGCGTAGTCCCATATACATCTTTCTGTGTACAGTGCTTGTAACTTTATGAAGACTGGGCCAAATTTCTTATCATTTTGATGATTCCAGAACCTTGCAGTACATCTATGCTAGATGATCAACCTTTTCTGATCGATTTCACAATGCAATCGCATGACCATAACTGGTCTTTATCTTTAATGGGATATGCTGATCTGATGTTCTTCCACACTGGAATATAAATGATGACAAAACACACAAATTATTTTTCACTTTAACAAGAACTCCAACTTCTTCCTAAATCTGACTTACAGCATGTTGAGTGACGTCGGAGCACACCACACTACGACCTCCAACTTGGACTTCAATAGGCTTGGTCAAGATCTTCCTGGCTAAGGCCTCCATCTGTCTGGGAAACGTGGCTGAGAACAGAACCGTCTGTCTATCAGGGCGGATGTTCTCTACAATCTTCATCACCTGGTGGATTGGAAGAAAAATTCAAAGGCTTATCATTGAACTCTACATGTAAAAGCACCTTCTTACAAGTTTGACAATTGTTTAAAACTTCTTGTGATGATAATGTGCCTTCAAAAACAAACATGAACATTCTTCACGTTTCTCAAATTTCCACTTCTTAAACCAGAATTAAAAAAGAACCTAATATCATAAGCTTTATAACTCTTAATTATTCACTTATTCTATTATCATCAGAAGCGGATCTAGAGGGGGGTTGGGGGGGTTGCAACCCCCCCCCCTTGGGCGGCCCCCAAAAAAAAAAAAAAAAAAAAAAAGGAAAAAAAAAGAAAAAAAGAAAGAAAAAAAGAAAGAAAAAAAGAAAGAAAAAAGAACGCACGCTGGAGAGAAACCCTTTCAAGTGCAAATATTGTGAGAAGATATTCAACTCATCTGGTAACTTAACCAAACACATGATAACTCTGGATATAACTATGTATTAAACTGTTACTTGATTTAAAAAGACGTTATCATGCACTGCTTTTTATGGTCTCCATTGTGTTAATAGATGCCAGGAAAACATCACTTACGGGGTTCAAATAAACACCCCCCAAAAAATCGGCTCGCCGCTTCGCGGCTCGTGGACGATGCTCCGCATCGTCATTATTTTGGTCAAACCCCCCCCTTAGCAAAAAGCTAGATCCGCCCCTGATCATTTATGTTATAAATGTACATGATTCCTTATATGACATTTTGTTAAACTTGCTTTAAACTGTGATGTAAAGAATCACAGAAAATTGGAGTACCGTAATGTGCTTTTAGACTAACAACCATCTTAAAGTTTATTGATTGCGTAAATGGAAATAAATATTTGTTTCAATGTAAGAAAAACTAAACAATCCAAAGCAAAGGTTGTTATGCTCTTCACATAAAGCAATCAGTGGTCTAGTGGTTTTGATTTACCTGGGGTTCAAAACCCATGTCAAACATTCTATCAGCTTCATCCAAGACAAGGTATGTACATCGACGAAGATTTGTGACGCGACCTGCAAATATTTACAGATGTCAAAGATAGAAATGAAAGAGAATGGAAAAGAATTAGCATGGCCTGAAATAATATATTTCTACAAGCTTTTACAATAACTAATAGTCATATTTGTAACAAATATTATTTATCATTCCTCAGTATTGAATGTGGACATGTCTAATCTTAGGCTAGTGTCAAATTTTAGAGTAGTTTTGTTGCTCTATATTGGGACATATAAATACTTTACAAACAAACATTAGATATATTAAATATCTTAAAGTCTAGACATCACATTTTCCATGTTGAAGTTTTACCAACAAATCTACTTATTTGAATAAAATGCTATAATGCTCAATATCATAAATAGTTGCTTCACTAGTGAGAATACACTCAAGCATAAGGAAACTGAAATGCCATCTAATTCAACCCAGTCATTCTTAATCAGCGTACTTCACAATTATCATAATTCTAAGGGTTCAGTGCTCCACCCAAAGGGTCACATGACCAAAGAGCTCCTCCGATGATCTATTCCTCTGCGTCTGAGTGCCCTTTGGCACCCGACCTTTGACCCTTAAAAGCAGCTGCATCATCAATGTCATCATCACCATCATCTAGAGTTCAGGGAGGGAAACGCAAGAGAAACATTACTCCTCGCATGTGTGGATAATTCAACCTTAAAATTTAAAAACCAAGAACATCTTCTCTTTTCTTGAGTTACATACCAAAAAAGTTAATTTTCCAATCATATATCACACCTTCAGTGGATTAATCAACCACCTTTAAATAAAAACAAAGATCATCTTTTTCCTTGCATTACATACAAAGGTTATGTTCCAAATAAAAAAATATACCTAAATGTTCCCAGGTTATCAATCAACTTACATGTATATCATGGGAACCTTTATAAATAATAGACAGATCTCAAATTCAATTTAGGAAGAAAATCATCGTGGTCTAGTATTGGAACTCTAATGTAGAATTTTGATGTAATGCCTATATGGCGTAATATGTTACAAAATGGATTTTTAAGATGACAAAATGTCTTGATGACTGCTCCATTACTCTTACTCCAGTGCTGAAATGAAAACAATATTTCATTAATAAGGTGTCATTGTAAACTCTTGTACATTGCAAAAAGATTTAAAAATACAGATTTCATTTACCCAATTCACATTTTACTACCTCTGTCATACTGACAAGAATAATACTAGACAAACAACAGTCAAAATAAAACATCTCGATACTCTCTCAATGGCCGAAATGGGTCTGATTTGAGTCGGTTTGGCGGTGTGACTGATATAAGACACACTACATCTTATAATACAAAGCAAACAATTGTAAGCCTTTAAGAGAACTAAAACATGATTACTGGTTCTTATCAATCTAATAACTATGGATGCTTATTGAACATGTGTCTAGCTACAATGTCTAGCATCACAATGTCTTTTCCCTACTAAATGTTACAGACCTTTATATGATGCAACTATGCATGTGAACCCAACAAAATTTTCTTTGTCTCTGTTTTACTTACTATTCAGAGTTAATTAACATATTATACTTGGAAATTATAAATATGTACAAGTGTAAAAACCAAATCTGATCATGATAGTTACACAGCAGTATGATATCTATGTATTGACAGGTGAGTTCCCCTATACAAAAATTGCGTTACCAGTCTTGGAACTGATAAGAATGCTTACAATATACCATATTTCATATCTTTAAACATACAACACTCCAGCAATAAACCATCATGAGACAAAATGTAAATAACCAATTTCTGTCTATACTATTCAGTTTATTGTTGAAATGTGTAAAAGTAATAAACATCAAAAGTTGATGCAAATTTATTTGTCTTCAACAACTTACATGTACATGTATTTTTAGAGTACAATAATTCCCTATGGGGACCTTATGTGAGGATTACCAATGATATGACGAAATGCTATTCATACATGAAACATGTCATTACTGAGAGATATGGTACCATTCTGCCAACCTACCATTATTAGAGTACACTCACTCCCTATGAGGACCTTATGTGAGGGTTACCAATGATTTGACAAAATGCTATTCATACATTATATGTCATTACTGAGAGATATGGTACCATTCTGCCAACCTACCATTATTAGCTCCCAGCATGTCTATCATCCTCCCCGGTGTACACACAATGATCTCTGCTCCACGTTTCAACTCTGCAATCTAGTCAGGAGGAAGAAGAAAGAAAAAACAGTGATATCGATGAGTTCATCCATCGGAAGGACACTTTACATTATGTCTCAAATTTCCTCTCATTCATTCATTCATTTTATTTCCAATTCTCGATAAAAATAAATTCAACAATATATTATACATACGAGACCATATATATAAACAATACAAAGAATATGGAGGAGCCAGAAGAGGCCAATAGCCTTTCAAAGGCTGGGCTCCAATGATCATTATACAAAGTAAAGAGAAAAGAGAAAAGAAAGGGTTGGTAGTCCATTTCAACAGATCTATGAATGGGACTTCACTGGAAGAACCTGCCTTTTTCAAAAAGTTTTGATAACGAGCATGGTGCCAAATAATTCCTGTAAATCATCACGATCATCATCATAAGCTGCATTTACACTGCAACCAAAATCATTGATTTTTATCACATTCTGGTGTTTTGCCGGTAGTTGCAATAGGAATAGCAACTACCGTCACACAGGATGAAAAAAAGAAATTGAAAAATCCACCGCTGGAGTGTGGTTTTTTAAATAGCTGCCAAAGTTTCACTGCTTTTTGCAGTGTAATTGCAAACTTTGGTCAGATACCAATTTTTGCTCATGTGACTCTTCTCTCTTCCATACTAATGCATGCAGGGCATAGCTCAGTCGCACATGCGCACTACTCACCCCGAAATCAGTATGAGCAAACTTCCTCGTTTTTTAATGGATTTTTACAGTAGTGTAAATGGAATTCCAAAAATTTAAAGATTTTTCAAAATGGTGTTTGGGATGAATAAATGGGCATAAAATCACCATCAGCATCATCATCAACTACACAAAGGAAAATCTAATGGACATGTACATTGTCCTAAACTTTACCAACCACATAAAAGATACCTGATCATTGTATTACGCTGATTACTATAGCATACCTGCCAACATTTGAAAAATAAGAATTAGGAATTTTTAGCACGGTATGCCCTTGAAAATAAGAAATCGCACTTGCAGCAGCAGTGTTACTGGTAATAAGCGGTAAATCTGTACCAGAAAGCAAATACAAACTCGCTGTTCAATCATGCAGTCATTCAACGCATGCATTACGTTAACTCTCAAATCGCGGCACAACCAAAAAAAAATATTTTTTTTTAAAAATCAGAATTTAAAACAAGGGAAACGCTCTCGGCGGTCTCGCCTGCATAACGCAATTCAATATGATTAACCAGAACGTCAATGATGTAGTGCTCATCCGCATCTCGCAACAACAAATATCTTAAATTTTAAGTGGTACACTTTTGAACTGGTCAAAAAATAAAAATTTGATGCCCTGGAAGGGACATAATTTCATTTCATTTGCATAAAGTACCATAAATAATCAATGGAGCAAAATCTCACAATTCTGTGTAGAAGTTTAGTGTTCCAAATTTAGCTTTACCAAATAAGGCAAACCAAATCAAAATCGGTCAAGAAATGAGGGAAAAGAAGCAATTTTTGTTATTTTTGGAATAAATTTGCATAAATTACCATAATTAATTAATGGAGAACAATTTCAAAATTCTGTGTAGAAGTTTAGTGTACCAAAGTTAGCTCTACTAAATAAAGCAAACCAAATCAAAATCAGTCGAGAAATGAAGGAGAGGAAGCCTTTTTTGTGATTTCGAATAAATTTGCATAAATTAGCATAGATAATGAATTTCACGATTCAGTGTAGAAATTTTAAATCCCCCTCCTAGCCCTATCATATGAAACAATCAGAATCAAAATCGGTTGAAAAATAACGAAGAAGAAGCATTTTGAAAATCTTGATGTTGATGCCACAACAAAGTCTAAGTTTGTTGACCTTAAATGACCTTTGACCTTAACTTAGTGACCTGAAATTCTACTCACATGATTGGGGAGACTTGATAACCCTATAGTCTAAGTTTCATTGACTAAGAACTTATACTTTCAAAATTATATCAAAAATTCAAAAACTTAACCTTAGGTTAAGTTTGCGATGATGATGCTACAACATAGTCCAAGTCTGTTGACCTGAAATGACCTTTGACCTTGACTTTGTGATCTGAAATTCTACTCACATGATTATAGTCAAAGTTTCATTGACTAAGAACCTATACTTAAAACTTAACCTTAGGTTAAGTTTTTGATGTTGACGCCGCCGCCGCCGCCGTCGCTGTCACCGTCACCGGAAAAGCGGCGCCTATGTCTCGCTTTTTGCTACGCAGGCGAGACAAAAATCAGAATATTCTGAATTTTCAGGTCCTAAAGATCCAGAAAATCTGAATATTACAGATTATTCTGAAGGGCTGGCAGGTATGCTATAGTTGGGATTAGTCCTCATATCAAGGATAATTATAGTTCCAATGTAACATACATGTATGGTAAACTGAATGGCCATTTACCTAGGACTTGCCCACAACTATACACGTATTGCTTTTCCTTTTCGAAACATTCAGGTGAATTTTGCTTGAGTCTAGCACTTCATTCATACTGTACCTGTTCACTGATGCCTGTGCCTCCGTACACGCATACCGCCCTCAGTCCCATCGATTTGGTGAACTTCTTGCACTCCTTGAAAATTTGCATGGCTAATTCTCTGGTAGGAGTCATTATCAAAGCTAAAATGTGTTGAAAAACAAGAAAAGGTCATAGTATTGACAACTCTTGGATGACAAGATACATGTTTAATGAAAGAGATATGGGTGTCAAAGAAACATAAGTACAAAAAGGTGGTATGCAGACTTCAAGCTAATCTTGAATTCTAAGTATACGCAGGTTCTCTAATGACGGGTGACCTTTATACAAAAGTGGTCACTATGACAGTTTAAATGAAGTGCACTCTGCCACTCGTTTGTTCGTGTCTCCTTAGATCAAGATTAATGTATCTTGATCTTCGGAGTAGTTGCTACAACCGGCCGTGTCAGACATGTTGCCCCGGGGTGCAAGATAGGACTCTTGTAGCGTGCCCCCATTTAAAACAATTATACAATAACAATTAATATTACATTTAATTAATAGTATGAAACTATTAAAATTACTCTCATGTTACGGGGAAAAAAAATTATATATATATTAAAAATCAATTGATTTGGTCGATCAAGTTCGATGGCACAAACACGGCACTACTGGACAGAGATCCTAATAATTACAGAGCTTGGTCTTGTTGCTCTGTTCGTCACTTGAACAGGAAATTAGAAGAAGTTCCTTATGTGAATGCCACCCTATGGAAGTTAAGAACCTACTGCACTCTTTGAAGAGAGAAGGGAGAAACCTCAGGGTATAGGTACACATGCACTTTCAAATCCTATACGTCATTTGAGACCATTGGGGGGGGGGGTTGTTTCACAAAGATTCCAAGTCAAACTTAACTATGGAGAGCCATTTGTAGCCTTAAAATAAAATATATTCAAAAAGCAAAAATTCAAGTATTTTAGACTTTTCATAAATTCCACATCAAGAATATGAAATCTCATATGAATGAATTTATCAACATTTTATGCCTTTTAAAATATCTTTTACAAAATATTTCAAAGATGCTTACAGCTTTCCATAATTGTTAAGCCCAACTTAGAGTTAAGCTCGACCTAGGATCTTTGTGAAACACCCCCCAGAAGGTCATAACAGAGTAGGTTTATGGCTATAAAGGCTTGATTTATCCCTTCAGCAAAAGGTGAAACCAAATTATCCACCCGTTGAAGAGTATTAGGCTCGTTCAGATATGACACGGTAAACCCAAGGAAAAGGCACTACATCTTGTTTAAATGTAAATGAATGGCAACTGCGTGCAACAAACCACTTGAGTGTAATCAGTGAGCTCTGCATTTATAAGATACAGAATGTGAAGCATATTACACTTACATTATCATAAAAACCTGCCGAGTCTTGCTGCGTCATCGCTTGGGTTGGAGCTTATAAAAATGTGTCATTTTGAGGGTTCAGTGACACAAAGAAGTAACTACATATTTTGCCGAAATGAGTATTTGATATCAGAATGTTCAGAAAAATGTGGGCTTTCCAGGAAACACAGAGACTTAACTCGACCCAACACCCCATTGAAGTCAATGGTTAGTGAAACATAGACTTAACTCCTTAAGGCCCAATGTGCTCAGTAACACATAAACCACTTTTTCTCAAAATGGCCAAAAAAGAGTTATGTCTTTGTGTCACTGACCCCTCGAATTGTAACTTACTAATAGGTCCATCCTCTGCCTCCAGAGGATCTTGATCCATGATGTGTCTGAACATGGGTAGGAGGAAGGCCATCGTCTTCCCACTCCCCGTCTTGGCGATACCAATGAGGTCACGCCCAGACATGATGGCTGGGATGGCTTGGCACTGGATGGGAGTCGGCTTCTCGTAGTTATTCCTGATAATTATATGCAAGCGAATGAAAATATCACAGAAAAATAAGGGAAACCCAGGTGATGTAAATGGGTACCTGACAGGAATTAATTCTTTGAAATGCTACAGCGCCGTAATGGCAGCACAACTAAGGCCGGGGTAATAATTTCCAAGTTTGGCAGCGCTTAGTGATTGTAATAAGAGTTATACATGTATAAAAACTGAGTATTTTTATCATTATTATTAAGCTACATGTATGCCCAGACGATGTGTGTCTGAACAGGTTGTGTATCTGGACAGCTGATTTAAAAACAGCACTTTGAAGAAGTTTCATAAATCTTCTACAACTTTTGTTGGGCAATATTAAAAAGGACAAATATTCGTACAGGTTAGTATGATGACGAAAGCCTCTGTGGCTCAGGACAATTACCCCCTGAATGTTAGACATGTATACCTGCATTCTGAACAGCTTGGCTGAATGAATAATTAATAAGGTACTTAGTCTAGCAAGCCTCTACATGTAAAGAGAACTTGATAAGAGAAATGAATAATAACTAGATTCCAGTGTACTAAAATATTCTTACCACCAGATACAATCTAACAAGGCTAAAGGCCCCATGTCCCTTTTGCAGACTGCACCAAATTCACTAACGCTTTGCCTAAATCACATGGATGTCATGTAGGTCCTGTCTCTGAAATTTAACAGTGATCTAGTTTTCAAATGAAGCATGGAAAACTGACATTTTCATAGGCTTCCTGTCAAACCCAGTTCTTCTATTTTTTCTTTGAATATGGCATACAAAAGGCTACCCATGGTTTATATTTCTTACAATGGATTAATCAAAATATTTTGTGTTCAAATGACACTGAAAATAAGTTCCATATGGATATTTTGTTCCCAACTGTAAACAAGATTGCACCCATGCAGTAACAAGGGTCTGAAACCACCTGACATAGTTTTCTACGGTTAGATGAAAAATCTCATCTCGGAAGCAAATTGAATGATATTTTCACAAAGACTGCTTTGATCGGCCTAATACTTTATAGGTACAGTCAAACCTGTCTATAGCGACCACCCAAGGGAAACACACAAAGTGGCCTTTGTAGACAGGTGCATCTTTGTAGACAGGTTCCTTTAGTACATGATTCAATGAGAAACCATTTTCAAGAGAAACAACAAATGTGGCCATTGTAGACAGGTGGTCACTAAAGCAGGTTTGACTGTACTTTAGAAACTGCATTTTCCAGAAAATAGTAAAGTATTTGGAGCAACTCCAGATTTTCTTAAGCATAAGGGGCACACTGTCTTAGAGCTGAAGGAACAACTTACTTCTTTAGGATTGTTAGAACTCTCATAGACACGCCACACTGCACCCATGAGTCTACAGGTTTGGGGCATCCTTTACCACGCACCTTAACACCTTCCAGATCTGAACGTCTCTTGTCAACCTCTGTGTAAATACAAAGAAGAGTCCTTTTAAAGTCACATTTTTATATGATATAATATTCAATTTAATCTAGTGCTTCCAGTCAGCGACAATCTGGCAATATTTTATGTTGCACATTGCTAGGTCGGACAATCCTTGAGCTATTCGACCTGTCAACGGCAGATTGATGTGCAGAATTTGATGCACGCTGATGATGGTCTAGTACATAATTTATACTGGGAATCTCACTCAACAAGCCTAGCTTTTCTGAGATTCCCTTTTTTACCCTTTCAATTAAATCAAGAATTATAAAATACTTTGTCTTATTCTCAACTTAAATGTTCTCTGTAAACTTATTCTATTACGTACATAATTATCAGTATTTCGTTACTTGTATAATTCATTTGTTCTATTATATATTGTATTACTGTATGGTTTACATATGTCATTTAATCTTGTGGATATTTGAGTGGAAAAATAAATCAAATCAAATCAAATCAAATGAACTTCTCAGAGTTAAACTCAAAGATAAATTTGAAGCGTATCCATGGCAGACCAAACGGCACGTCAATTGCCCAGTGTCGGGTTGACCAAAAGGTATGGCAGATCCCAAAAAATAGAAACTAAAGTCGTTGACTCTAAGTTGCAAAAGGCACAGCAACTTTTCCTGACAGCAGGCAGCTGGTCAGATATGTCTGGTCATGAGCTTGCGAAGCTCATCCTCGACAGTATTATTTCCATTGGCTCGGCAAATGGAAAACTCAACATGATACGAATCAGGCCAGGGCTTAATGCTAATTTCAGGCCCCTTTTTTCGGGTGAAACAGACAAGCAGGCTTCGGGCGTACTCTTCGGAGATATCCTTCCCCTTAGGTGCAAGGAATTGCATGATACGCAGAAGCTAGGTCTTGGGACACGTTCCCTCTTTTTCCAGCCATTGACACACAGATCTAAATCTGGCTCAAGAGGAGGTTACTCTGTAAAACGCTTCGTCCAGTACAACCCGGGATACAAGAACCAGAACAAAGAGGTCAATCTGATTTCCGTCCCCCAAACTTGCAACAGAAAAAATATCAAGGCCCCAAGAACAACGGATGGTCTACTGGACAACGCAGACCCAACTCCTAATGACAGCATTTCTTTTGAGAAACTAACTCTGAAACTTCTGATGCTCATCTCTGGTAGACGATCACAAACAATTGCTCATATCTTTACGCAAGACTGGAAAAACCATGGAAAAAACATGCTCTAGCCCTGATCTTTAAACTAGTAAACAATTTGCTTCCTAAGTCATTATGCAAACGCATTTCCCTAACAGAATACACTTACGGGCTCTGGAATTCTGATAATAAGCTCACTTTAGAAAAACCCAACACCAACTTTAAACAAGTGTGATTTATCTATTCAATTGTTCAATTATTCAACGCCTTATCTGGAAGAATTTTTCTGATGTCAAATACCTGGCAATTTGAACTGGAGGTAGACGCATTGTACTAGTCCATCACTCTCACCCTCTTCTTCTATCTCTCTTTTCTCACATTATCTCTTTATTTTTTAAATTCCCATTATACTCTTCCCCTATGCCCATTGATTCAAATGACACTTTTTATAACACTTGTCAATGTCTGTTGTTTGCATTTAATGTTAGCTTTTTACTTAATTTTGTTCTTCCTAATTTATTGATATGAAACTTTTTACATCATATAGCTTTATCCTTGTTATTTTTATTTGATGCGTTAGCTTTTTATTCAAGTTTGTTTTGTATACATGTATGTCATCTTTAAGTAGTTTTTCCTATTGTATTTATATTCAGTTTGGAGTCTATATGATCTGTTTTATGTTTTTTACACAAACTTGATGAAAAGCAGTCTTTTAAAGCTGATGTGAGTTTTACCGTGAATGAATACATTCAAATCAATTCAAGACTTTACTATATCAAGTTTGTCAGTTTCCTTTTACATCAAGCAGCTGATAAAAACCAGCACACCTAGTCAGCCGGCGCCTGTCATACAGCTACCGGACTATCCGGAGGACGAGCGGATATGTGTATATCTAAGTATATATCTGAGTATATCTAAAAAGGACATCGCACTGTAGACATAATAGTTGATACCTCTTTGTGTCCATTAATCGTCCTCATCGTAACGTTTCACTGCAAACTGTGAGCCGGTGGCTGAAAAAGATCATTCATCTTCGATGTTTAAGGGACATAGTACTCGTGCAGCATCGACCAACTACTGCCTTTCAAAATGGCACAGCGATTGACACTATTCTTCATACGGCAGTATGGAATTCTGTAAGAACATTTGCACATTTCTACAACAAACCTCTGAATTTGATGAGAAACTCAAGTGAAATTGCATCGTTTTTTTCTCGAACTCCAAGAATATTATTTACTCTGACAAGCTGGTCAGCATGTGCTTAGCCTACATGTTTATGCCAATTTTTTATTCATACATGTACTCTGTGATGAGGCGGAAAATAAGTGTGCCTTATACCCAGAGATTAATACGGTATGTAATGATTATCATGCTTATGTGCCATGTGAATGAAGTATTCTAATAACTACAGAATACAAGCAGGGGGAGGGGGGTGTTTCACAAAGATCCTTAGTTGAACTTATCTCTAAGTTGGACTTAAAAATTATGGAAAGCTGTTAGCATCTTTGAATATATTTTGTCAAATTTATTTTAAAAGGCATAAAATGTTAATTCAAATCATTCATATTTTCTATTATCAAGGAGATTTCATGTTCTTGATGTGAAATTTATGAAAAGTCTAAAATACTTGAATTTTTTTATTTGAATATATTTTATTTTTAAGGCTACAAATGGCTCTCCATAATATCTAAGTCCAACTAAGAGTTAAGGTCGGCTAAGGATCTTTGTGAAACACCCCCCTGGAAACTCACCTTCAGGGGTAAGACGAGCTAGCTCCGGCACCTCTACATAGAAGTCCTTCCTATAGGGTGGGTAATCAATCTTTGAATGATCAACCTTGGCCAGTTCTTTCTTCTTCTTCTGCTCCAGAGCTGCCATTGTGTCCATCAGATTACTCTCCTTCTCTTCTTCAGAAGAATACTGCCGTGGGATAGAAGGTCAAAGGTCAATATAATTACTTAGGTTACATGTACAGTCAGACACAGAGAAACACAAAAAGTGGCCTTTGTAGACAGGTTCCTTTAGTACATGATTCAATGAGAAAGCATCTTTAAGGGAAACAACAAATGTGGCCATTCTAGACAAGTGGTCTTTGTAGACAGGTGGTCACTAAAGCAGGTTTGACTGTACTATTGAAATTTTGTGGTTAAAATTGTGCTAAAACATATTAATTTAAAGGTAATACAAAGTTTTGGTATGGGGTCATGAATTTGGTTCAATGAACATATTTGAAGCATATGCGGTCCTACAATATTCAGAGATCGTTGTCGTGGTTGAAATCGAGTCTAAAGTTATGAAATTGTAAATAATAAACTCTCATTAACTTTCTGCCATTCCGATATGTTTTTTCCTGTTGAGATGGGCCTGGATGTCATTTAGGGAAAAACATAATGTTGGCAGCTCTGTAGTACTTTTAAGGTTTAGCCATTTTAACCACATCAAGAGTAAAATTTCTTTACCACAATAAGGAATTATAATTTTGTTTTTCATAATGAACTTTAATTAAAAAACAAATCACCGCATTGCAAATTAAACCATTAGTTTGGTCATTTCTAATTCAAGAAGAAGAAAGACAAGTTATTTTCACTCAAAAATGAATTACCACATGGCAATGGTTAAAACACACACATCTCTAAAAGGGTTCAATTATTGTCAGGTTTATGCTTCATTTGTTATACCTTGTCTTTATAAGTGCATGGAATCAAACCTTTGACTAAATTTTAGTTTTTTAAACTTCCATTCTTCTAAGAATATCACAAATGACGATAACTGACACTATTCATTTACACAAGTCATGTAGTGGTTAATATTTTACAAAGTTATTTCACATTTTGAAAACTATGCACTTGATGTGTGCATATGCACCTAACGTTTCATTCACTTCAGACAACAAAGATTTGAATTGAATGTAACCTACCTCCATGGCATCTTGATCATTCTCCATGAGTTCACCTTTCTTTCCTGATGTCACGATGACCGGCATCGGCACCGGAACACTCTTCTTCTTCACCACTCCTGTCACGATGCTAAACTTAGGGGCCTAAGAAGAAATAGGGCCAAGGAGTTCATGAAGTCATTAGCACTCTTTATGAATGATAGATTGAGGAGGTGCAATAGCCCAGTTAGTAGAGCAGTGGTCTCATAATCCGGCGACCCGGGTTCGAAACCAGTGCCCTTTGGTAAGGCATTAATCCTCATTACCAGGTCCCTCTGAGAGGACCTAAAGCCGTCAGCCCTCTGGCTGCTTACTAACAAGCATTTATGCTTTCTTAGCAGCCACGTAAAATAACCACCACCACTACCACTACCATAGTGCAGTGAAAGAATGGTTTCAATCCACAGTGAGAGCAGAACATACATGGAACTGAATTAACTGTCAATTATATTGTAGCATACGTGGATATACATTTACTTGTAGCTATTCTCAATAAATTGGAATCCCATCTAAAAAGTATACCATGATTTCTGCTAGCAACCTCTATACAAGTCTCACAATAAACTTTGTTAATCATATAGACATGATCAAATTCTTTTTTTGAACACAGCCCTGTATAAAAGTGATACATGATGTTACTAATATTAATGTTTTAAAAGATCAAATAAACCATATTTCACACCTTTTTCTGATCATCTTAAAACTAGTCACAAGAATTTGAATAGATGTCCTTGATAGGTTCCAATGGACAATGCGCATTCACAATTCACAGATATTCACAATAGAAATAAACTGAAAGAAAAGATATTGAACATAAGTTGAATATAACTCTGACACCACACCAGTAACAAATAAATTATTCACTAAGAAATGCAATTCAGTTAAAGGACTTGTTTATTTTGTTTCTCTTGCTTTTACCCAAGCTTTTGATTAGATTGCCATATCAATTTAGAGCTATCTAAAGCTACATGTAAGGTACTTATCACTCCTGGGCCCGTCTTACAAAGAGTTGCGATTGATCCGAATCAATCCCAAGTTTGCAGTTTGCAGTCTCTTATGAACATACTTGCGATTGATATGTACTCTTTGAAATACGGGGCCCTGGGCCCTGATATGTATTTTTTAAAACCTGTACCTGGGGGGAGGGGGGAAGGGTGTTTCATAAAGCTGTTCGTAAAGTTACGCATGACTTTACGATGACTTAAATATGAAAAGCCAAATGGATTGCTCAATCATTAACTGCATTAACTAAAGTTGAACTGTGCAGATATAGATCAACATTCATATTATAACAAACATTTTTAATGCTAAGTATATTTTTTTGCCATAATTTAATTGAGGTTATTGGAAATATAGTCACACTTTGTTAAAACATCAGGGAAAACTTTGGGCATCCAATCTGGCACTTCATATACAAGTCGTTTGTAAAGTCATGCGTAACTTTACAAACAGCTTTATGAAACATCCCCCAGGCTTTTTTTGGATAGTGTGTTTTCTCACCTCTCCTCCTGTTCCGTTTCCAGGGGTAGGTTTGACTGCCTTCTCCACAGCTGGTGGCCCTTTCTTGTCCTTACTGCCAATCTTCTTAACCTCCGCATGAACACCCATCATGAAAGCATCCAGAGGGTCAACGTCGTCATCATCATCCTCCTCCGCCTCCATCTTCACCTCATCATCTTCCTTGTCATCATCCATCTTCTCACCACCATCCTTGCCTTCTTGACCACCGGGGCCCGGTTCCTTGGATTCTTTTGCTTCCTGTACGTAATTATACAATGAATTATTTAGTTCCAGCAATGAATACCAAATGAATTCTTACACAATTGAATAGAATTTTCACTGGCTCTTCAAGAATATAAGTAAATGACATCTGCCAAATGATTAAAAACAAGAAAAGTGTAATGGCAGAGTATGGAAGAAATATTTTGTGGGTATTTGTTAACATCATCATTTTTCTCATCACCTTCAAAACACTTCAATCAAAATCATTCCAGAAAGAACCTCCTCTAATTTAACTTAACATTTCCTATACATACCTGCAAAAACAAATCATCACTTTTACAGGGATTGTGGGTGTTCGTTTTTTTTTAGAACAAGTGAATTTTTCAATAACATCATTTCAAATTTACTCAAAGAATACCTCTTTGAGTAAAAAAAAATAAAGTACAGTATCTAGCTTCCAAACACCTGACTCAAGAAGAAAAAGTAATGTATTGAAAAGCATACGTAAATTCATTATCCTGTGCAACATCACATGTCTCAAAAAGTAATTAACTTCTAAGAGCCAGAAGGGTATAAACTCTGTGTTACAGTATATGAAATAACGCCCTTCTGGCTCCAAACAGTCTTATATGTAGACTTGAGTAAATAAAAGGGGGCAACACTTTCACCTTTGAACTTACATCCTCTTCCTCTGCCTCTGCTTCATCATCAGCATCATCATCATCCTCCAGACTCCACTTCTTGCCTGGCTTCTGGGGCGGGGCATCGGCCTTCTCCCCCTCTCCTTCCGTCTTTGATGGTCCTGCTGCCGCCTCCATGGTCTTCTTTCTCTCCATCCTCCATCTCTCAATCCGCTCACGTCTCTTCTGCATCTCCTCTTCAAGTCGTCTTTGCTCCTGCAATTATAATAATAATAATAATAGTGGTTTCTTGTATAGCGCTCATTTCTGTCAGATTTGACACTCCTGGCACTCTCGATTATTACCCTGGCTTTAGCACAGCTAGCATTTCAAGGGATTAATTCCTGCCAGGTACCCATTTACATCACCTGGGTGGAGTGTGGCAAATGTCGATCAATGTCTTGCCAAAGGGCATTAATGCCGCGGCGGGACTCGAACCGCGGACCTTGTGATCGACAGTCCGGTGACATATCCACTCGACCACGACACCTCTACATTATATATGCAGACATTGTAAATCTTCAACATACTGTGTGGTTTCCTAGAAATTGCAGAAGTTATCATATGAAGATCAAACTCAGAATATGTGGCACATGCACCATATTGAATAATACTTTGTAAATACTGCCGAGTCGAAATAGCTAACCATTCCAATATTCTTTAAAGCATAATTGTTTATGCTTTTGCAAATCATGTAACTGAAAAATTAGGAATGTTATTGTAAAGTTATAAACAAGTCTGTCCACTTTTCAAATGGTAGAAACGGTTAAAAAAAAATTAAAGTGGTATCGCATAGCCCTAGTAAATGCACACACAATGTACAGCAGTATTTCAACCACACTGCATTTGGGCCTCGTCCATCAAAATGAATCCAAAGTGAAGAAAATAGTTAGACACTCATACAAGCAATAGAGATCAATTTGGCATACATATGTCAATCTTACCAAGACTAAGCCTTTCTCCTCCTTGACCTCCTTAGTCTCCTCCTTTTCTTCCTTTATCTCTTGCTTCACCTCTACTTCCTTCTTCACCTCTGCCTCCGTCTTCACCTCCACTTTTACAGTCCCTTCAGTCTTAACAGCAGATGATGATGATGATGATCCTTTTGATTTGCTGTCCTTGTTTGGAGATCTCGAGCGAGACCTGAAAGAAATATTTATGTCTTTATTTTTAGATTCAAATAATTTTTTTTCCATAAACGTCTAAACGCAGATTGTGATATCTCTGGGTGCTATATAAAAGAAGTACCATGTCTCTTGTGAAAGACAACATTTTTACCACTTTTATATCTTTGTATCCAAAATGTGGGATTTTTTTCTGTTAAAGAGCATTACCGGTAATCATTTTTTTTGCGAAGAAAATGAAATGTGGAAGAAAAAATTCTAGACTACCAACCATTTTAAAGACTCTTTAGTTATTTACTACTTGCACGTCTTCTAATTCATACCGTTTAGAAATGTGTTGTTTCTTAAGAATAAATTATACTTCAGGAGCTGCACATTTCATTGCATATATAAAAACATTAAATGATATAATCCAGCTATGAACATTCTATAGATACATCCTGCTACTTCTTCGAGAAAGGAATGATAAGGGGGCTTACCTAGATGCTCGCTCTACCGACTGTGACCTTCGACCCTTGCTCCGCTTGGGACTCCTAGAGCGAGACCTGGTTCTACGCCTCCTGTTCCTGTCTCTACTCCGGCTCCTTGAGCGCCGGGATCTCCTATCTCGCTCCCTGACCCGATCTCTTTCTATATCTCTGTCTCTGCGAGGTGGACTCCTTCGATCTCTGCAATTACATAAATGTGGGAAACAAGAGAGGGGATGCTCTTTTTAAAGATAAAATGTAGCGCATGTGTCTGGTAGATATCTATAAGTATATTCAACTACTTACTTTGATACTAGTGAAGCTACTATTACAAATGCTACTTCTAATTGTATAATTTTTTCTCTTATATCTAATACTACACATTACTGGTTATGTTCCACGACTATGATCATGGTATTTACAATTAGGATGATGGTGTCAATAATGTCTACAGTTACTGTAGTTCCATTATAACGTTAATATTTTGAAAGTTACAGACAAACTTCACAATAAAAATATTAACAGCAATTTTAGAGTATTTTCAAGGGTTACAATGTCAATGCATAATTTAGCCTGTTAAATTGTTTTAGTCATCCAAAACCACGTCCCTGAGTTTCCAATATGCCATGTTCAAGTCCCTTTCGACGCAATGAAAACTTTCAACTTGCAAAAATTGATTTGGTACTCTCAAATTACACCCTGGCATACGTCAATACCATATTCCTCTAAATTTATACAAAACGGTACAACAATGTTCTGCTGAGGAGCATGCTTGTACTAACCTTCTCCTATCTCTATCCCTGGATCTCGATCTTGATTTCCTTGACCTATCACGTTCTCTCTCCTTGCTACGTGACCTCCGTGACCTCTCCCTGCTCTTTGACCTGGACCGCGACCTCCTCCTTTCTTTCTCCTTGTCCTTCTCCTTGGACCTCTCTGGGGATCGCTTCTTCTTGGAGCTGTCATTGTCAGCATCAGGAGATTTTGATCTGGACCTTTTGCGGTATTGCCTGTAAAAAAGAAATGAAATCTTTGATATCATTACTTGTTATGCTTGTCTAAACGCTCCTATTTACTGAGACCCGCTTATATATGTCCATTCACCTTTAACGGAACTTGGTCACATTGTTCAGATGAGGGAAAATGTTGCCAAGGTAGTGACTTCACGGCAAACCGCTGCACAAATACGACGCTGGGGTGCAAGTACGTATGAAGTTAGCGACTGTAATCTCAGATCTTCATAAAACTCATGTCCTAGCAGGGCTCAAATTAATTTTTTGTCCACGGGGCTCTTCCAAAAAAAAAGAGCCCCTGTGAGACTTCCCACGGGGGCTCTTTTTGTTTTTGGTGCTCTTTTTTTAATACAAATTTCCATTGAATTGGTTGTACCCATGATACTCCTAAATTCTTTGCTATTTCATCATTATCTGTATTATTTCCCTCTTACAACTTTACAAGTTATAACATGCAGCTAATGGTCAGATCTCTTTCCTCTGTACGAAATTTCTGGTCCAAGCCCGTACAGTCGCCTCCTCGCCAACTGGTTTCCTTTTACTAAATTTAGCTTTCGGTTGATTTACTGGTCGAGGTTCATTATTTGCTGGTACATGTACATGTATTTCAAATCACCAGAATTCAGAGGATTCATGATTTTTACAACGAAAAACTTCTTATTTCTACTTAGATTAAACGTAGGATGGTTAGGGGTAAGACCGGATAACATTATAAAAAATATAAACTGCCACCCTGCCATATCCAAGTTTTGGGCTGATTAGTGCCGACTACCACATTTCTGTATGCACGCGAAGCACCCTTTAGTGACCCATGAATGTGCCTAACACTGTTTATCAGCGACATTAGTGTTTATGTGAATTATTGGACAAATGGCGAGCCATAGCGCATGTGTTTACCTATTATCAACGTAAGAGGGCGCTGCCGGGCCACTTATTATAATACGTACTGTAGGTAACATTAGAAAATGGAGGTACAGAGTTGAGAACGATGGACCCAATCAGAAGTCTTGCTAGAGTAAAGGAGGGGGTTTTCGGCCACTTAAGACAAAATCCTATTTTTTAGTACCTTTTAGTACTCTTTACGACCTATTTATTATAATTTCTTGTTCAAATCATGAAGCAAATATTATTATTATTTAAACAAAAAAAGAATCCCAGGAAAAAATCATGAATTGCCATGACAATATTCATTTCAATTTTCACTGTTTCGGAGTCAGTTATCGGCAAAGCGAACCAGTTTTCGGTCGTATGTACAAAGTCAATAGGAAGCGCGCGCGCCGTGCGTTTCCGCGCTGATCTATAGCACTAGCAGGCAGAGCAGGTCTCCCACGCCGAAGCTAGTACTGCGGTGATCGGAAATTGTAATCTGAATTAGACAGAGATATCGTGTGTGCGTTGCGGTGTCCGGCTGCATTGATTTAATACATGCGATGAGAAACTTTGAGCTTGCGACTCACACAAAATCGGGCTCTAAATCTGAAAAATACTTGAAATAAAGCTCATTTTATGGTACCCATATTTCTTACAGACATGTGTAAGAAACACGATTTTTCAGATTCGGGTAGCGGGACCGCCGATTACATCGCTACAATGTGATATTTTAGGATATATTTTCCATTGCAAATGTGGTTCTTCAGTGACTCTGGCATGGTATGGAATGCGTGGGATATGTGATATGCTATTATGCGATGTATTTTAAAGGGATTTTACCATGCATCCAACGGATCGGCCGAAAACTGGTGATGGTCGATTACCCCCTCCTTTACTCTATAGTCTATGCTAGAATTACTGGTGGAAACTCAAGTAAAATTCATAAACGAATCTTGCACAAATCAGGCAGCTGAACAACTTTTCTTAACTCTCAAAATTAAATCAGATTTAGGGCCTCGGTAAGATCTCCAACTTAGCTCGAAATTGGTCAGTGTCGCACAACTTTCTGCACTTCCGCGTTCTCTTAGCACATGCGCTAACATGCATAGCCATATGTAGAAGTCTATTGCGAAACAACTACGTGTGCTGTCGCAATGAATTTAGTATGGGTGTGAAGAGGAGCTCTTCCGTGTTCGCTCCATCACAGCGAATTTGCAAATGATGCACTTGCCGATGTGCAAGAGGTATTTATAGCCTTAAGGGCTCCCTTGAAATGTTTTTCATGATATTATTCAAGGGAGCCTTAATTTGCTCCCATAGGGTCCCATGGAGAGGTAGGTAAACAACATCTCAAATGTGTCCAAAATCACACTTTCCCGCACCTGACCAACATTGGACAGTGGATTTGATGAATTTTATGTTAGTTGAAATCATAATTACATCCTGAATTTAAAAATCGGAGGTAAAAATAAGGAAATAATAGCAATAATAACACTCATACAGCGCATTATACGGAAACAGCACAATCACGGAAGTGCCAGTCAGAGGTTATCACCATTGTGCAGAGATCGTGAATTCACACGGTACACGTGAAAAGGGAGCTGAGTTGTATCGGTCTGGTAAGAAAATTGCTATTATTGCGCAAATACGCTTCGCTCCTTGGCAGCGGAGATACCACGCACAAATTGCGTGACCAAATTCTATTCGGCACGACCAAATTCTGGGCAGAAAAATGCTCCGTCTTCTTTCAGAAGTATTTTGCTTATTAATATTATCATCATTCTATTTTTAAGTGACTATAAAATCCTGTTAGAGGAATAAATTTCTTTTCTTTGCATACCATTGCAGAATTATACAACAGCTGCTCAAGCAAGGTGTTTTGGGACCATTCTGTAGGACCCTCTTTTCGTGTGCTGCAAGGAGTGAGGCAAGGAGGTGTTTTATCTCCCACTCTCTACACACTCTACATTGATGACCTCATCAAGCTCCTGAGAGAATGCCATCTAGGTTGCACAATAAGGAACGTCTATGTAGGTGTCATAGCATTTGCTGATGATATTGCTCTCCTTAGTAATGACCCAAAAGAGCTCCAACAAATGCTTAACATCACATTCCAGTACACCCAAGAATGGAGGTACAAGATCAACCCCACTAAGAGTGCTGTCATCGTGCTGAACCAACATCGTACAATCAGGGGACATTCCTGGCATATCGATTGCGAGCCAATAGATGAGGTATCCTCCTACAAGCACCTTGGTATAACCAGGACATGTGACCCTCAACATGATTATGCAGCAGATACGATCACCAAAGGTTACAGAGCCTTTTATGCCCTAGTTAGAACCTCTCCACTCGGAGCAAGGGTTGTACCTCACATCGCGGCAAAGCTCTGGACAACATTCTGTGTGCCACGGACGCTGTATGGCTGCTCCAGCGTGCAGTGTTGCCCTCACTGAAAAGACTTCTTTATCCCTGTGGACCAGGAGACCTAAACCTAAGGCCAAGGATCTGTATCCTGGGCATATCGCCAACTGATTTTGGTCATTTCTTTAATAAAACTGACATTTGTTGACATTCCCCAATACAGATGGTAACCCAGAGATCTCGTACCGTGGGGGTAGCTAGAGCCAACAATGTACATCCTTTCGTTCAAAACATTTTCTCCCCGATTTTCTTTATTTAGATCTAATTTTCTGATTTCTAAATCAGATGTAAATTAGGTCAGTATGTCATTTGTCCTAATTGCAGTTATCAAAATTTAATGACTTAATATTAAATGTATAATTTACAGACTTACTTATACGAATTATCCAATTTGTATCTCAGAACTGTGTTACAGTACGTTCATGCACTCGAACATAGGGCTATATGACTTACAGACACGCGTAAGATACTCGATTTTTCAGATTCGGGTAGCGGGACCGCCGATTACATCGCTAAAATGTGATATTTTAGGATATATTTTTCATTGCAAATGTGGTTCTTCAGTGACACTGGCATGGTCTATGGTATGTGTGGGATATGTGTTAGGCCTATGCTATTATGCGATGTATTTTAGAGTGATTTTACCTTGCATCCAACCAATCGGCCGAAAACTGGAGCTGGCCGATTACCGGCTCCTTTACTTTAGAGTTTAGGCTTTACTCTACATTCAAGTTATTGGAGTTGAGCCCTGAGGAGTCGTGCACCCTATGATGTAAAAATTGTAAGTACTCCCTATGCAGATTTAACGATGATATCACCCAATCGGCTGTTTTACTAGCCCCCACGAGAAACCAACGAAACCACCCGAAGCTCCGACGCCTGCGGCGCCGGTGTTGGAGCTTCCCGGAGTTACCCAACGTGATGTCGAACATGCGGGACTGAAGCAAACTCTTCGAAAGAAGTTGGCTGTTGGCTTGTTGCTGTAGCTCAATCTTGGGCCTTTCCACGAGTGGATAACTCTACTTAATGCAACTGAGACTGAATACAGTACGTTTCATTTGCACTTACCTGCTCTCTCTAGGCATTCTTGTTTATTTTTTTAAGGAAATACGTCCTAAAATTTACGAAGAAAGACGTCCTCGATCGTTCGTATAACGCACGATAATAATAGTCTACTTTCCAGACGTTAGAAGATCTGTAGGGTATAAGAAAGAAAAACAACAACAAAAACAAAAGTATTCATCGATTCTTTTTAGGTTTCTGTTGCAGTTGCAAAGTGAAGGACAAAGTTCAATTAATATAAGTCACAATGGGTTGAGTTTCTTGCAGAAAGTTTTGATTATGCAGGACTTGGGAACGTCTGGTGATAGAGCTCATGACATCAGACGCTAGCTGCTTTGGCTTAAAAACATTCCTAATCATTCCATGTCCCTTTTATATCATTATGTGTCGCCTGAAATTGAGCATCTTAGCAGCACGTAGGATTGAAGTAAGAGTATTCCGATAAATAGAATATTTCCTATGAGAAGACTGAGATTTACTAATAGACATGGGTGTCGATCCCGGGGGGGATGGGGGGGGGATATACCCCCCCCCCCCCCAATATTTCAGGTGGTGGGGGGGGGCCGGGATGGCCTGTACAATCACCCCCCCCCCCCCCAATAATTCACCATAAAAAAAAGAGAGAGAGAGAGAGAAATTAATGATGAGAGCCCGATGAGAGTAGTTAATGGTTATTACTCGCAAGATGACCATCAATATACACATTTTGCTATCTCATTTTCATAATACATACATATATAAATAGAAAACGAAGTAAATGAGACGACCGTATATGAGACAAGTATAAATTTAATTCTCGCGCGGCTTCATCAGGAATTGATGAATTTATTCAATTTATTCAATCAACAGCATCGTAGAAATGCAGTGCGCCAAATGCAAAGCCGCAGCGTTAAAAAGCAACGAGCTTAGTAAATGTTAAGCGCGAAGCGCAAAAGTGCAAAAAAGCAGAAGAGAGTGGGAGAGAGAGATAATGAGAGACAGAGAGGATACAGGCGCGTAGCCAGGGGGTGGTGGGGGCGGTCGCCCCCCCCCCCCCCCAAAAAAGAGAGAGAGAAAGAGGATAGGAAGATGACGTAGGAAGAAAAAGGATTAAGAGTCGAGAACAGTACAACGAATCGTCTTCTTTCTCTAATAATTTAATGAAACGTCGAAGCTTCCGCGCTTCGCGCGGGAAGGGGGGGGGGGGGGGACTGAATTCAGCAAGGATTAAGAGTCGAGAATGGTACAACGAATTGCTTCTTTCTCTAATAATTTAAAGAAACGTCGAAGCTTCCGCGCTTCGCGCGGGAAGGGGGGGGGGAACTGAATTCAGACAAGGATTAAGAGTCGAGAATGGTACAACGAATCGTCTTCTTTCTCTAATAATTATAATTTAATGAAACGTCAAAGCTTCCGCGCTTCGCGCGGGAAGGGGGAACTGAATTCAGCAAGAATTAAGAGTCGAGAATAAGAATCGTCTTCTTTCTTTAATAATTTAATGAAATGTCACAGCTTCCGCGCTTCACGTGGGAGGGGGGGAACTGAATTCAGACAAGGATTAAGAGTCGAGAATGGTACAACGAATCGTCTTCCCTGCACCCACCCCTAGGAGGTGCTCACTACCGCCCCCCCCCCCCTAAATTAAAATCCTGCCTATATGCTTGAGAGGATAATAACCCAGGTAGCAAGCCCATGTGGGACTCACATGGGTCCCATATTCTCTAAAATGTTATCTTTATTGAGGGTGACTTGAAAAAGTTAATAACTTGGAAGGGAGGGGGTGCAACCTGCCACACGCCTCTACCTCTTGGTTGCTTTGATCCATTGCCGAAAATATTTTGGCACCTATCACCCCCCCCCCCCCCCCCAACCGAGGATACAAATCGACATTTCTTGCTTATAGACCTCGTACAACTTGTTTTTCCTATTTGACCTCAATATAGAATTAGTAATCCATGGCAATCGAGGGGTTGTTCCATACGATTTCTACTATAAGGCCTACATTTACATAAAGGTAAATTTGAATCATACAGCTAGCAAAAAGAATTTATTTAAGAATTTACCATATGAGCTTTCAACATCATAATTACGTAATACTTCTCTCCAATCAGTTGCTAACAACTCATCTCTCAATTTTTTTTTCGAACATTACTAGAAGTATTACGGATATTCCTACCAAAAGACATCCTCGCATATATACTGGAAAGTGGTCAGACAAATCTGCAATTATAATACCCGCATCTGGTAAAGGTCGTACATTACTAAATATGTTATCAATGCGAGTAGAAAAAGTGTCTGTATCTCCGATAGGTTTAGTAATTAAGGGCAATAAAGAGAAAGATCAGTATAAACACTGGTTCGAAAAGTCACAAACGTATGCATTCTCATCGTGCTGAAGAAGATTAATATTATAATCACCCATGACTGTTTTATGTAAAAAAAAAAAATGTTGAATTTGACATCATTCATTACATTATAACTTCATTTCAAACTCGGTAATTCAACTGCGTGGGGACATACAACACGACACCTCCTCCCCTCCTATTGTCGATTATTCATAATTAAATTACTTCCTGGAAGAAAAAATACATTTCCTTCAGTTTCACTCGATAACCAAGTTTCAGAGATTCCTATAATCGTAGAACTGTAGCACATGTTCCAAAAAAAAATACATTTAATTTATCAAAGTTTGCTTGCATACTACGAACATTAAAATGTAGAAAAGAAAGCTCGTTATCACCAGAATTACCCATTTTTGAGAGAATTGGCTTTCTGTACAATAATTACAGTGACTCGTGACAGCGTCATTGCCTTCACCAAGATCATACTCTGGCGAGTCAGCGCGAGATTCTAGATAGTTACTAGTTGATATTTTCATCATTTGTATTAATAATTTACAGATTCATACATATAGAAAGGCAGCCCGTACTACGTGCAAAAGAAAGGACATATACAGGCGCGGATCAGGGATTTTCCGATAAGGGGGGGGGGGGGGGGGGGGCGCGGATCCAGGATTTCTCAGAGGAGGGGGCCCATTTTTTTTTTTTTTCTCCCGAAAATTTGAAAATCTCGCCGACCGAAAAGTCGCTCAGCGGGGGGAGGGGGGGGGGGTTTGGAGGAACCCCCCCCCTCCATTAAAAAAACAATTGTGGTAATGGGTGACCCAAAAAAGGTTACCTTAACCACCCCCTTCCCCCCACCCCCCCCCCCCCAACGAAACGAATTATTGATCGGCAAAATTTTCAAATTTTGGGACACAAATAAAGAAGGAAGAAAATGTGCTCTAAACCAAAGAAGCAATTCGTTGTACCATTCTCGACTCTTAATCCGTGTCTGAATTCAGGCCCCCTCACGCGCGAAGCGTGGAAGCTATGTTTTTTTTTAATTATTAGAGAAAGAAGAGGATTTGTTGTACCATTCTCGACTATTAATCCTTGTCTGAATTAAGTTTCCCCCTCTTCCGCGCGAAGCGAGGAAGCTTTGACCTTTCATTAATTTAGAGGAAAAAAAAGATGATTTATTATATCATTCTCGACTCTTATTTCTTGTCTGAATTCAGACCCCCCCCCCCCCCTCCTGTGCAAAGCGCGTAGGCTTTGATCTTTCATAGTTTACTGAAATTATTAGAGAAAAAAGACGAATCGTTGTATTTACCTTTCTCGACCCTTTTTCCTTGTCTGAATGTGGTTCTCCCCCCCCCCTCCCGCGCGAAGCGTGGAAGCTTTGATGTTTCATTAAATTATTAGAGAAAGAAGATGATTCGTTGTTCCATTCTCGACTCTTACTCCTTGTCTGAATTCAGGCCCCCTCCCACGCGAAGCTTGGAAGCTTTGATTTTTCATTAAATTATTAAAGAGAGAAGTGGATTTTTTTTACCATCATCGACTATTAATCCATGTCTGAATCAAGTTTCCACCCCCCCCCTCCTTTCGCGCGAAGCGCGGAAGCTTTGACGTTACATTAAATTCTTAAAGAAAGAAGACGATTCGTTGTACCATTCTCGATCCGTCCTTGTCTGAATTCAGTTCCCCCCCCCCCTCCCGCGCGAAGCGCGGAAGCTTGGATGTTTCATTAAATTATTAGAGAAAGAAGAGGATTTGTTGTACCATTCTCGATCCGTAATCCTTGTCTGAATGCAGTCCCCCCCCCCTCCCCCTTCCCGCGCGAAGCGTTGAAGCTTTGATTTTTCATTAAATTATTAGAGAAAGAAGTGGATTTGTTGTACCATCATCGACTATTAATCCTTGTCTGAATCCAGTTTCCCCCCTCCTCCGCGCGAAGCGCGGAAGCTTTGACCTTTCATAGTTTAATGAAATTATTAGAGAAAGAAGACGATTCGTCGTTCCGTTCTCGACTCTCGCTACGTACGCACCTGCTTTAAAGGGAAAATGAAACAATCATTGTGATAGCACACAATTATGTTAGTAGAAATGAAAAAGAAAAAAAATTATTACACCAACCATTGGATAAATCACGGCCGGGAGCGTGGGTGGAGTGTTGTATCATAGTTTTGTGTGATTAGGCGAGGGGGCGTAGCGACCAAGCGAGATTTTGAAATGTTCGATGTTATACGCAGATGATACCCAAATTTATGTGACTTACTCCGGAAGCAGTAAGCAAGCAGCCATTATGAAAGTTAATAACTGTCTTAGTGACATAGTTTCATGGGCTCATACTAACATGTTAAAGATCAATGCTGGCAAGACTGAGCTTATTCATTTCTCATCAAAGTTTAGCCCATCGCCTTGGACCCTGCTTCTGTAGTAGTTATGGTCTAAATGTCGTTGATAGAGCAGGAGCGAGGAACCTGGGTGTATATAATTATGGATTATCAACTGCAACTTAAAGATCATCTTAAGATGACATGCCGTTCAGCAATGTGTGCAATCAGAAAAATTGGACAAATACGAAATTTCCTAGATAAAAAAAACACTGAGATATTAATTCATGCATTTGTTTCCTCTATTGATTGCTGTAATGCTCTATTGTTTGGTTTAGCTGAGAAAGATATAAGAAAATTGCAAATTGTCCCTCTGTCGGGTCCAGGATCGCCGCCCCGTGTCCATGATTACTACCAACATGAGCTCAAACACAAGCTCAAGCGAGTTGGTATGAGCTGAAGCCAAATGAAGGGATAATTAAGAGTTGTGAAGCGGCCCCTATATGCGCTCTACCGTATACTTTGTAGCACAGGGGCCTGTTTTTAACGTTTAACTTTGGATCTGTGTTTTTTCTGGTTCTTAATTTTCCCTTCTTTCTTTTTTCTTCTCCTTTCTTTTCTCTTCCCCTTTTTTCTCTTCTCTTTTCTTTTTTTCTTCATTCTCATGAGTCTTTTTTCCTTCCTTTTTTTTATGCCGCAAATAGGGGGGGGGGGGGGGCGGTCGTTTCGACCCCCTGGATCCGCCACTGATATATATATATATATATATATATATATATATATATATATATAACAAAAACGGTTGAGTATACTCAAAAATATGCATTAATAGGAAGAACAGGATAAAAACACTGAAAAAAGTGAGAGAAAAATTGGCAAGAAAAAGAAAAACAGCGGAAGAGGGATAGAGAGTGGAAAAGATAAACAAAAATGAAACAAGCAGTAGAACACTGGAAAAAAGATTAAAAGGTAACAAAAATACATATATATATATATATATATATATATATATACATGCATAACAACTGACAGTAAAACCCTCACCTTAAATTATGTACTTTTTACAAAAGAAAAGCTAACACGAATATTACAAAAGAATCCACATTTTTAGAATTTATAACGTCTCGAAAGTAGACTATGATAGATGCGTTACGCACGCACATGGCGCGTAGGCCTAAACATAATTCTGAAAAAACGCCTGTAAACTCAAACAACAACAACACGGACGAAGACGTCTCTTTCTTCTCCTTGTACTTCTATTCTTCGTGAATTTCAGGACGTATTTCCTTTAAAAAATAAACAAGAATGCCCGGAGTGAGCAGGTAAGTGCAAGTGAAACGTACTGTATTCAGCCTCAATGGCATTAAGAAGAGTTTCTATCAATATCCACTCCTGGAAAGGTCCAAAATTGAGCTACAACCACCGCCAATGGCTTAACTGCAGAATACCCCGCACATTTAGACTACCACAGCGAGCCCGTGCTATAGCATCAGCCGGCTAAAGCACGGGGCGCTCTCGCTACTGACTACGTACGTTCATGCGGCCGAAAACTACCTCCGAAACAGTGTAGGGGTCTAGACTACATGAAAAAGAATATTGTCATGGCAATTCATGATTTTGTTCTGAGATTCTTTTTTTGTTTAAATAATAATAGTATTTTCTTCATGATTTGAACAAGAAATGTTAATAAATATGAAGTAAAGAGTCCAAAAATCAGATTTTGTTTAATAGGTGGCGGTGGCCAAAAAACTCGCTCCTTTACTCGACTATAGATCCAGACTAGAGGGCCATTTGCTCGAAAATGCTGAATATGCAAGAGGTTGTGAAGGACCGAGGGACCTTCGAGTCGTGCATATTCAGCATTTGCGAGCGGACGGCTCGGGTGCTTGTGCAGGTACAGAGATGCCAACCGTTAATACTAGGGTGTCTGATCGCGCACCCGATGTTGTGTGCTAAAATTCTTCCCATAGAGATTACACGCATCCCTATGCAGTCTACGTGCATTGCGCGACCATGCAAAAAAAGTCAATTTTTTTTTTTCAAATCGAGATTCAAACTAACCAAACCTTTATCTGTTGTGATCCTGAAGGTGATAATCAATGAATGAGGTGTCATATGAAAGAGCAGGTAAATTCCAATATTTCCAAAGGGGCGTAGAGTAGAGTCTCCGGTTTGCGGCATCGCCCGGTTTGCGGCCAGGGGTATTTGTTTTAAAAATAAAATGAATATGACTCGATAATAATCATTGAAACCTACCGTGGATTCCACGGTAAGTTCTGCTTTGCCGAAAACGTCCGTAGCAGGTGCTCCTGTCGGTACGGAGTATCCGTCAGCGATGTCGGAAATCTACGGCATCAGTCGCCGATGAAAATTCCAGCAGGTGCTAACTTTTAAGTTAAGAGATCGAGGCATGACTAGATCAATATTGTAGCTCTATTTGTCCGATATTTGTCCGATTGGAGGTGAAATTTGATGTTTTTGTGGAAGTATGATGGCTGTGGTCTGTCTCCTATCGCAGATATTTTGATTGTGCCACCGCATGGCCAGTTGCATGGGGTGGCCGCAAACCGGCACGTAATTACGTGTTTTTTCTGGTTTGCGGCGGGGGGTGTAAATACACACATAACATGCGGGATCGTGTATGATGGTATGTGTGCTGATGTGTGTACCCGCTATGACCCGATAGTTTCTAGTAGTACTTACCCCCGGATGGGATGATCCATTCGAGGAAAAGGTGAAATTGTTTAAAACTTGACAAATTTACCGTAGCAACAGATAAACATGAGAATTTGGGTTACCCGTAGTAATTTGGTACATGCTTTCATCGTGACGTAGCGCACAAAGCTTTGTGACGTACGCGTGCCGCAAACCGGTAATGCGTGCCCGCAAACCGGGGAACTCAAAGCATTTCGAAACGTGGTCAATGCTGACCACGCTGTGGGTCAGTTAGGCTATTTGTGACTTCTATTTAATAAGTAAGTATATGGACTCTTTATTGAGGGTATTGAAGTATTCTGTGAGTATTCCAATAAAAATAGAATCGGCAGTTCCCGCCGATCGGCCGCAGACCGGAGCCACTACTCTAGCCCCCGAAATTCTAAAAATATCTTGGTCAAAACAGCAATTTAAACATTGTGTCCTGGCTAACTCTGAGGTTTGTCACTTTTGAGATATGACGCCCCGATCGATAAGTAGTCCCAGTCCTAAGGAACAATTCTATGTGATTATATTTTCGCTAGCCCCCAGGGATCACAACTGATAACAGTTTAAAAATACCCTTCTCGCTATTTGGTGGATCAGCTAATTAGGGGGCGTTCGCTCCGCTCAGTCCAAACCATGGTTACATCGCGTAACATCTCCGCGCACGAACGAAACCCCAAATTCAATTACACATTATAGTGACTGAAATTATGGTTGGCAATTCCCTCCATAAACCCGGAAGTGAATACACGTTATAGTCAATGGCAATATCGCGGAGACAACGTGCGTTGTCTCCGCGATATTGCCGTTGACTACAACGTGTATTCACTTCCGGGTTCTACGGCGAGAATTGCCAACCATACTAGTCAATGGCACATATCGCGGAGACAGCGTGGCTCAAGCTGCAAGTCGCGCATTGGCTTAGCAACATGCGTACTATATGCATACGCTTGCATATCGCGCGATACAGCTGTTTGTCTGAATTTAGCAAAACAACATCACTCTGCGTGGACGTCTTTTTCGTCGATTTTGACCAAAATGATATGAATATACCAGCGTTTTGGAGGGGCGGTAACTTTTGATAGAAACATCGATGAGACTTGAAATTTGAAATGTATTATTCTGATAACATTTTTTATTCAAATATCAAACAAAAATGGTGAAAAACGATCCAAAATTGAAAATTGAAAAATCGTTCAGACACCCTACCGTTACGGTTTCGCCGTATTTGTTACGGTATTAATGCTCTTGTTACGGCGTTACGGTAAACAATCAAAAGGTTACGGGAAACTATAAATAAAAGTACATTAGAGTAAAGGAGTCGGTAATCGGCCAGCTCCAGTTTTCGGCCGATTGGTTGGATGCAAGGTAAAATCACTCTAAAATACATCGCATAATAGCATAACACATATCCCACACATACCATACCATGCCAGTGTCACTGAAGAACCACATTTGCAATGGAAAATATATCCTAAAATATCACATTTTAGCGATGTAATCGCCGGTCCCGCTACCCAAATCTGAAAAATCGAGTTTCTTACGCGTGTATGTAAGAAATATGGGTACCATAAAATTAGCTTTATTTCAAGTATTTTTCAGATTAAGAGCCCGATTTTGTGTTAGTCGCAAGCTCAAAAGTATCTCATCGCATGTATTAAATCAATGCAGCCGGACCCTGCCACGCACACACGATATGTCTGTCTAATTCAGATTCCAACTTCCAATCACCGCTGTGCCTGTCTTCGGCCAGGCGAGCACCAGGGAGCTCCGGCGTGGGATACCTGCTCCGCCCGCTTGTGCTGTACATCAGCGCGGAAACGCACGGCGCGCGCGAGCGCTTCCTATTGACTTTGTACATGCGGCCGTAAACTGAAACGCTCGGCCGATAACTGGCTCCAAAACAGTGAAAATTGAAATGAATATTGTCATGGCAATTCGTGATTTTTTTCTGGGATTCTTTTTTTGTTTAAATAATAATATTTGCTTCATGATTTGAACAAGAAATGATAATAAATAGGAAGTAAAGAGTCCTAAAAATAGGATTTTGTCTTAAGTGGCCGAAAACGGGCTCCTTTACTCTATAGCAAATGCCGCCTTATCACATAGCCTCCGTACACAGCGCTGCATGTCGCACGCATTTACCTATAATTTCACTGAATTTGACTACACTGGATAGGCACTTTCGCACACATGGTCCGTCCGCCGCCATCTTGTTTAATTCTGAAACAACACGGCCGCCGTTATTACTGTTTTGATACTGGTATGCTACGTGCGGTCGTGCCTTTTGGGGGGAGCATGGTGGTAGATGATCGTGCGCGCGGCGCCTGCTGCAGTTAAGCCACCCATTCAAAGTATAGTAGCGAAGACTTCGGTGATTCAGCGGGCGCATTGCAAGTGCAGTATACGGTGTGTTGTTGTTCATGAACGCCGGGCCTAGCGGCCTGGGCTGGTGTGTCTGTGGTACCGGTGAGTGTACATGTGCGTGTGTAGGATACGAGTTCTGCTATTTGACTGTCGATTCGAATTTGCCATTCGACGCTTGAACGAGGTGTTTTCTTCCTGGGGCCCGTTCCTACAAACCGTCATAAGTCTAACTTCTCGACTAAATCAGCGTTAGTGAGCAACTTGTCCGCTACGTGTTTCACCAAGCCCTCTTTGCCAAGATCAACGACAACACCCTGACTAAGGAGTTATGACGCCTCTGACACCGTCGTATCTCTGTCATAACTATTTAGTCGATGGGCAGCGCCATCACATGTCATTTATTGGGTAGACTATGGCTGGCAAAAAAGGACAATAAATCCTACAACTATGATTTATCAACACATTCACTTAAACAGGAAGTTATCATTTTTTACATTAGAAAATCTGTTGAAAATATGCCATGTTTATATTTTAGGTTTTTTCCACTTAAATAAACTGATAATACGCGTTTCTTTTCACATTGTAAAATCGTCGAAAGGATAGCTATTTTGCCACAGCATGCAAGCCATAGTTTGAAGTGTATTCTTTAGTTTTCAGACCCATATTGCTTTTTTTTCTTCAAATGTGTAAAATGCACAGTTTAAAAAATGTGTTTTAACCTTTGGAATGTTGAAGTTTTGTCATTTGATTATTCAACTGATACCTAAAACATTGGACATAAAGTTCATTACATCGTATTTTTCTAAAAATAATATATTGGTGTATTTTTATAAACTATCAAACTAAAATATCCGGGGGGTACCCATCTCAAGAACCAAACTGATTCACCGGTCATATAATGAAATACTCACAATTATATGTTAAAAGTACTTCTATTGTACAATCTACATACATTTGGAAGTATATTGCATCTCTTATTTCTTGGTATCATTTTCAATCTTTTTTATTACTAATTCATTTAAATAATTGCATTTTCCCTAATATTAATTTTGTAATAATCCGGTGGTATTGCGACTAAGGCTAAGTTTTGGCTCCTCTTCTCGCCGATAGTATCGATCTCACGAGATACTAGCTAGTAAGCTCTTCGTGAAACGGTTTAGGAAGATCAGAGACATCTCCGTAGTTGGCGGATAAAGTTATGACTGTCTTGTCGTTGGTTTCTAGGAACGAGCCCCTGAATATTATCATGGATTCATTAAAAAGAGCGAGTACCCGAGGAGGAGATCCTTTGACTGGAAACAGATTTTTAAAAACGTTTTTATGCACATCTTTATTTTGGACTTAAACTGGTAGGTTCGAAATGCAGTAAGACTGATTGGGTGTTTGTGTACGTTTTGCGCGAAAATTATGCTGCGGTGTCTTGCGTTACGGAAGGACCCCCATTTGTTACGGACAAATATGGTAAATGTTACTGACAGCCATCCTATAGGGTTGGCATCTCTGCAGGTAGTTATTAGAGTAAAGGAGCCGGTAATCGGCCAGCTCCAGTTTTCGGCCGATTGGTTGGATGCAAGGTAAAATCACTCTAAAATACATTGCATAATAGCATAACACATATCCCACACATACCATACCATGCCAGTGCCAGTGTCACTGAAGAACCACATTTGCAATGAAAAATATATCCTAAAATATCACATTTTAGCAATGTAATCGGCGGTCCCGCTACCCGAATCTGAAAAATCGAGTATCTTACGCGTGTCTGTAAGAAATATGGGTACTATAAAATGAGCTTTATTTCAAGTATTTTTCAGATTTAGAGCCCGATTTTGTGCTAGTCGCAAGCTCAAAAGTATCTCATCGCATGTATTAAATCAATGCAGCCGCACACCGCAACGCACACACGATATCTAATTCAGATTCCAATATCTGATCACCACAGTACTAGTTTTCGGCCTGGCGAGCTCCGGGGAGCTCCGGCGTGGGATATCTGCTCCGCCCGCTAGTGCTATAGATCAGTGCGGAAACGCACGGCGCGTGCGCGCGCTTCCTAATGACTTTGTACATGCGGCCGAAAACTGGTACGCTATGCCGAAAACTGACTCCGAAACAGTGAAAATTGAATGAATATTGTCATGGCAATTCGTGATTTTTTTCTGGGATTCTTGTTTTGTTTAAATAATAATAATATTTGCTTCATGATTTGAACAAAAATAGGAAGTAAAGGGTCCTAAAAATAGGATTTTGTCTTAAGTGGCCGAAAACGGGCTCCTTTACTCTAGCTCAATTTAGAGAACTCTGTGCATATGCGCCTTTATTTACTATAAATAATAATCGCCATTATTAGGGTGTCTGATCGCGCACCCGATGTTGTGTGCCAAGGCCAAATAAAAAAAAAAACATGTTTAGGAAGGAGGATGCCCTTTTTTTTTTTTCTTTCAAAATGGCCGCTCAAAATGGCTGCTCGGTACATTTTCCCTGACAGTCGGGCTATTTTTCAAGATGGCCGCCGACATTTTTTTAATTTTATTTTTTTAATCAGAAATAGACCCATCTTAGCAGTGTTTTTCATGTTTTTTTTCTTTAAAAAAAAAAAAATCCAAAAAAAATTTCAAAAAAAAAAAAAATAGGAGGCGGCCCCCAAAAAGGAAGCAGGCGGGGACGCTAAACATGGATATTTTTTTATAAATGGCCTGAAATGCTCCCCATTGAGATTGCACGCATCCCTATGTGGTCTACGTGCATTGCGGGAGTGTTGTGGTCGAGTGGTTTAAGGCGCTTAACTGTAGATGCGAAGGTCGAGGGTTCGAATCCCGACACGGCACTAATATCCTTTGACAAGATATTTACCTGCACTTGCTACTCTACACCCAGGTGTTAAATGGGTACCCGGTAGGATGCGAACGTTCATGTGGTTGAATGAGCAAGTGTGCGCCTGTAAAATGGCGACTGGCTGGGTAATAATATATCTGTAAAGCGCTTAGGTACATGTACATTGTTGGATCGGTGTATTGAGCGCTATATAAAAAACCGGATTATTATTATTATTGCGCGACCATGCAAAATTGGTCAATGATTTTATGAAGAAATTGAAATTCACAGGCCTGATAAAAACCTGAATCAAATCGGTTTCCCAATTTTTTTTATTGTTACCAAATTTTTTTCTTCCCGATTTAGAAAAGAAAAAAAAGATTGAAATGTTGTTTGCATCCTAGCTCAAAAATTTGCCACTTTCCTGAGCTGCGCCCCCGCGGCTTAAGTGGGGCTAGACATAAGGATAATATCCAGGTGCTTTTTTTTTTCGCTAGCCCCAAGGGATCATTCGCCACAACAGTTTGAAAATACCCTTCCCCCATTTTTTGAATCAGCTAATTAGGGAGGCGTGAGCTCAGCTCAGTCCAAACCATGGTTACATCGCGTGACATCTGCACGTATAGTGAATGAAAGTATGGATAGCCGTTCGCACAGTAAAACCCGGAAGTGAATACACGTTATAGTCAATGGCAATATTGCTGAGACAACGTGCATGTTGTCTCCGCGATATTGCCATTGACTATAACGTGTACATTCACTTCCTTTTTTTTTTTTGCGTGAACAGCTAGCCATATAGTCAATAGCAAGTATCGTGGAGACAACGTGGCTCAAGCTGCAAGTTGCGCATAACATTCGTATGCTATGCATACGCTTGCATATCGCGCGATACAGCTGTTTGGCTAAATTTAGCAAAACAACATAACTCTGCATGTACGTCTTTTTCGTCGATTCTGATCAAAATGCCATGAATATTGCAGCGTTTCGAAGGGGCTGTATCTTTTGATAGAAACATCGGTGAGACTTAAAATTATTCGGTATTCGGTCACTTACGGGGAAATCGCTAATATTTTGAATTCTTACCTCTTTTATTTGGCAATCCACCCATGAAAAGAAAAGAAAATTATTCCTCTAACAGGATTTTATAGTCACTTAAAATATAGAATGATGATAAGCAAAATATTTCCGCAAGAAGACGACGCATTTTTCTGCCCAGAATTCAGTCGCGCCGAATAGAATACGATCACACGATTTGTGCGTGGTATCTCCATTGCCAAGGAGCGAAGCGTACCGTATTTGCCAGCGTAAAGGCCGCAGTATTTTTGGAAGAGAAAATATCAAAAATTTGGGGTGCGGCCTATGCGACGAAAGAGTAACAAAATTTTAAAAAGTAAGTCAAAACCAGCACGAAATTTGCACATATGGGACAAGATCTACGAACGGTACAATAACTATACATTTCCACACATCTTACCGACAATTTTATCTTGCATTGTTGACATGAAGACGAAAATAAACTTCCAAAAACAACATCTGCCGATAGATCTTGATCTAAGTTCGTGCCAATGCATTGCAAAAGTAAAAGAAGGGCCGTTTAACGGAGCTGCCGCGAAACATCCAGCACGGGAAGTCGCTATTTTGAATCCATTTCAATACACAAGAGAGAGGCGCAATGTATACATCACAAAAAACTACATAAGCTAACAATTGTGCGACAAAGCACTGAATGTCAATGCGTTGACTGAATACTGGACGAGCGCAAGTGTGTTTGTACACTCTCGTTACAGTGATTATTTCATGAGAAGGCAAAACATATTATCAAGTATTGTCCAATATTGTTTCACAGATAGCATGGCGATGAAGCAAGGAATCGATTGTCGGACGTCTCTCTCAAGTACAGATGGAGTAGGAGATGGAACTCTTCAGTCATCACATGAACATGATGAAGGTATGGAGTGTTTCAATGTGTTCTGCTTTGTTTGGTAATGTTTCTGATGAGTAATGACAATATAAGTTCAGTATATGCTCCCTCTCATCTATTTCAAAATATTTGCTCTGTGAGTGTGATTTCTTTTGTTTTTGTTTGTGTTGCTGTGAGATTGAAATTTGCTTTGAAGTCTAATGTTACACATAAACATTACATACAAAGATGTGAAGAGGAAACATATTGCAAGTCTGAAAAATTTAAAAACCTTAACAAGGAGTCGAACCTTATATTAAAGATGGTACCTCCAGTACACGAATTGTGCAAAAATAGGGAACGATAGTATAAGATAGGCAACGAGGAGATCCCTTACACCTTTGGGTAAATAGTAAAGAAAGCTCTCTTTCAAAAGAAAAGAAAAGAAAAATAATAAGGATGCACATAATATACAGATAATTTTCATCTCTGCACTGATTTAAAAAAAAATTAAAGCTATATTGAATACAATGAAAAAAGTATTGTCATTCACGAGTGTTACCATACTCATAGGCATAAGCAATTGAAAATTTAAAGGGGGGTTGCTGGCAGTTTCCATGTGCAGAAGGTCCCATCAAGAAATACCCCCTAGTTGTTCCGAGAGTCTTTGGGTGTGGAAAATGTAAGATAATGGCTTTACCATATATGAAGATGGGTGGAATAAGCACAGCATTACATAAGGCTTGTTGGTCATAAACCTGGAGGCTAATCCTGGTGATTGACAACACTTATCATTGGTAAACGCCCAAATGGTGTCAAATTCCCCAGTGAGAGCCCACTACAATGCATCTTTAATTAATACAACCAGAAGCTTCACCTTACACATCAAATTATGAAGAACAAAAAATAAGTAAGATTTATTCAAAACAAGTCAATCCACTAGCTCAGAATCAAGAATGTTTATTTGCACCAAACAACCTCTAAACAGATGCCTATTATGGTAATACATAAATATTCAAAAACACAATTTGCATACCGTATTCTTAAATAACATGTCTCTACTTCACTCCATATTATAGAAATGATAAGTCTATAGTGATCAAGAGTTTTAATGATTTTTATTTTTACATGTACAGGAAACATCTGCATCAAGAAGGAAGGAGAAGTTGAGTGTCTTTCCATTCCAGGTGCAGATGGATTGAGATATGAGGGTCAGCTTGTAACTCAAGACGGTATGCTATAGGTTCTTAAAGGAAAATCATACATTGATAGCAAATCAACAACATTGAGAGAAAGCAGCAAAATAAGTGGATTGGTGAAATCATACAAAATAATAAGAAAGTTATGAGTGTTTATAATATGATGTCACTAAGTCTGTGCAAATCTCAAAATTAATGATTTGGTTACTGGATTGTGACGTACATGTAGTCACAGATAACTCCCCCGTTTGTTGTGTACAAAAATACCATAAATTTCAGTTTTTCTCTAAAAATATATTGTGTATAATTTATTATTAAAGGTTCTCTAAAAAGAAAAGACACTCCTGGGTCATAGATTTTGAAAAATTGATGTTTTAGTCATTTTGTGCGTTGGAACAAATGGGAAAGTTGTCCAGCAGTTCGTCATAGTGACTTCACTTGTCTGCTTCTGAGATATTTCTGCTTTCTTTTAGAGTAGTTTGCTATCAGGGATTAATATCCCTTAAAAGCAAAATCAATTGAGCCAACCAGAAAATAAGAATGTTTGTTGTGAATAGGAAGGATGCATCTGTGGGGCACACTCCTTGGTGGATTCTGAACCCTGTGTTATCTCTAATATTGTTGTATCTTTGAAGTTAAGATAAAGTTGGTATTTTGAAAATTGTTGTAACTTTTGTTGTATCTTTTCTCTCATCTCTTTGGCCACGCCTGCGCTCAAACTTTTGTGCGCTGTAATAGTGCGTGTTGTTGATAAAATGGCGCTTAATCCTCGTTTGCATATGCCCATGGGAGATAATATGACAAGGTGATTGGTATTCAGAAAATTGTTGTATCTTATCTTATCTTGCATAGTATTAACAACAATATTAACAATAGGAAGGGGGTTGTTGTATCTTTCGTGGTGATATAATGGCGGCAATCTTCCTTGCTCAGAACCAACTTCGTGCCAATAGACGAGTTAGAAGAAGATTGTGTGTTGACCGGAAACATCATATATAAGAACTTTTAAAGAAATTACATGATATGATATGACGATTTCAATGCTCTCATCTCTGTGATGTTTCTTAACCACTAAGTGCAAGCTTGACTTGTCTTCATGATCCACATGTCACAGCGCATATAATGAAGCACGTAATAAGCGCTCAACTAACTAATTACGCCCCAAATTAGCATGGCTAGGTGCATCTTCAGACATTGCATGAAGTATTCCTATTGGACCTACTTATCATGTTTATATAAAATAGATCTTGATTGGTCAGGTCCATACAAATGGGCGTGTCAAAGAGTAATTTGGTATCCTGAAAACCAAATTACAACAGTATTAGCGCTGTGTTATCTCTGGAAGATACAACAAAAGATAACACAAAACTTACAACAATGTTCAGATTACCGCCCTTGCTTGCAAAGTCCAATTAAAAAAAAGAACTGAAAATATCCATATTATAGATCTTACTGCATAGATCTATAGATGTCCTTCAATGCTCTTTTCCCTCCGTTTCATACTATGACATTCATTCTTGTGAGTTATTGGCATATCATTTTTTATTTGGTTATAAAATTCATTATTCTCTTTGTAGCCAGTAATAGGTAACCAGATCAAATTTTACTTCTCAGATAATATGAAAATATTTCTTCTTTGTTCCTTTATAGGTCTGGTCATCACCATCAAACAAGAAGTTGACACTGACACGTTTGAATCTCTCTCAAGTACAGAAGGACAAGACCCATCGACTGAACAAGGTATGGTATCATGTAGTTATCAAGAGAATTCTATTGTACAATGGCGCTCAGGGTGGTCAACAACAAACAAAAAATAAATCAAGGTGTAAAATTGGAACATGAAATTAGTATGTACTGATGCATGCAATGAATTAAGTCCTATATGGCTGGGCTCTAGTGTTAGCTTGAGGGCTATAGGGTTCATTGATGCACACTGGTGCAATGTGATCCTTATTTCGAAGCATTTCAAAGAAATTTTGTACCTCATATTATTGAATGATTTTGGGTGGGGATGAATTCTGTTACTGAATTTGTTAAAGCCCCTTGTGGACTCGACAAGGAAGTCGGTGATTTTAATGATCTTGATGTGAACCAAATTTTAGAAAATGATACCTTCTGTCAAGTTAATTAATTTACCTATTAGTGATCTCGTTATTGCTTATACTGGATACATAAGACCAATATTAGAGTACTGTGCACCACTTTTTCATTCCAACCTAACGAGTAAACAAACAGATAATATTGAACGAATACAAAAATGGGCATGTAGAATTATTTTGGGACTTAATTATGTAACATATCATCATGCTCTAGAATTGTGCAATTTGTTAACGGAAGAACGTAGGAATAAACTTTGTTTTGATTTCGCCATTAACTTAGAAAAGCATGAATTGTGCTCTTTATGGCTACCAAGTCAAAGAATTGTTAAATTTAATTTACGAAATGTACAGAAATATTCTCAATTTATTTGTAAAACCAATCGCTTTAATAATAGCTCTATTCCCTATTTTGTTCGTATCTTAAACGATTATTATTCAAAAAAGTAAGCTTCATGTATTTTTTATATGTTTATGTTTAATGATGTTGCCTATTATGTGTATAAATGTATCTAGTATATTTATCCTTTTATACAGTATGTCATTAATTTTATTTCATGTTAACATGTATAATGATCAGTGTATTTTAAATATGATGTTTTTATCTTGTATAAATGACCTGCAATTCAGCTTCGGCTTCCAGATTGTCATATGAATAAACCCTTATTGAATTGAATTGAATTGAATGAAGTAAATTAGTTAAGACGTAATGTAAGTATTAACCACCAGGGCATCCTTTCACAAAAACCGTCCACAGAACAAGTTCACCGACCTCCCCTTGAAATACATGTATGTGTTAGTATACAAATAATAGGTGTGAGTGCGTTATGGTCGATGCAGCGCATGAGGGTATTCACTATAGTGCAATAAAATTCACGAGGCGTAGCCAAGTGAATTTTGTGCCATTAGGGACTTTTTGATTTGCTCGTTCATAAATAGACTGCGACGTATGCAATCATTTTTAAGCAGGGTTGACGACGCACGCTGACTGTTGTTTGTTACCTTTTCGATTTTACACAACGACGATGCTCGCTTAGCGAGCGCGATGGAATGTTCTCAAAACTTATGCTGCAACAGATTAGCGATGCATGGGAATGTTCTCAAAACTTATGCTGCAACAGATTAGCGATGCATAAATAAAATGTGTTCATTTTATGAATTATTCTGCCTTGTGAGCGCGAAATTTGATCGAAAAACTAAAGATCCAACACACCAACTTCGGTGCATGGGACTGATCTCGAAAATTATGCTGCAACAGATTGGCGATGCATAAATATAAAAAAATAATAATAAAAATCATTTTATGAATTATTCTGCAACAATTTTGATTTTAGGGAAATTACAGACTCGGAAATGTGTTAATTTAAGAGAATTCACGCTTCCACTACTCTCCAGTTCTAGAATTAAGTCAATTGGGTCTATTTTGTGACTTCAGTGTGATGTTTTGTGCCCGTTTCGTGCGTACAAAAGATTGCTTATGAACATGTACCGTCACAGTTTGCGAACGACGGCAAAACAAGGGCGAACGCATTCGAGAATTCTGCTATGAACGATGAGCTCGTCGATGAGCATGCGCACTGCTTCAAAAGTGACCGCATACGTCGCAGTCCACTAGTGAACGTGCAAATTAAAAAAGTCCCTATTGTGAATAGCGGTGCATCGCCATAACGTCACAAACGAAAAACCTTTGTATTATTTGTTTTATAAAAATAGGTCTACTATCACATCTCTTCAGAAAGTAGCTGAAAGTTCGGCTTCTAGAGGCTGCCATCCTGCAACAGGGCCACTCGTAGCTAGCTCAGTCATCGCACACAATTGCAGAAATTTGTTGCGATTTATTTTGATGGGCACTGAAGGGCTGCATCTTGGCTTTCTTCTGCTCAAGCAGCTTTTCATGCATTTAAATGCTTTGAGTGCCGCGGGCGTCTTAGCAGTGGGATATATCTCCCCGCAACCACATAACAAATAACGTGCGCCCACAGCAATCGCGACAGCAGTGGCTGTGGATTGTATGGTGCAACTTCTCGTAAACATCCATTGAATTGCACGTAGCGTGCACAGCTGTTATCATCAAACACACAATTCAGTGACAATTGCTCTGTGATCAGTATCATACGCCAACCAACCAAACTTCGATCTTGGATCAAACACTATAACCTAAGTCTGACCCTTACCCTGAATCTTAACTCACCTGAAATTTGATTGCCACCCTAACCCTAATCTAGAACTTGGGGTAATTGATATTGGAGCATGTGTAGGATAAGTCTATTCATTTACTGCCCGTAACTTTAAAGTAATTAATTGGGGGGGGGGGGGGGGGGTCATTGGCTTGAAAAAAACCTAAAATGTAAAGCATGATGACTAGACCTATATTCAGAAGGAAAGAAAAAAATTGAGAATTAACCTCTTGACTACGAAGCATTATCATGACATAAGAGTAAAACAACGTTTTATTTGATATAAAAAGCATTACTGTAGGTCAAATAATATTGTTTTGCAAGGACAATAAAGAGACCCTATTTTGCCATATTAACGACGTCGTCTGCTGCCCATGGAAGCTGCCATTTTGTCGAAATTTCCCTTGAAAACTTCCTAGTTGTGACGTATCGCAAGGAGAACTGGGGAGTGTTTCACAAAGACTAAGATAGACTTTAATTTGGACTTAACTATGGCAGGCCATTCATGTCACTGTTTGCTCTCTCCATTTACTGGCATTGGTCTCTCAGGGGACGTTCAAATCATGGTCACAAATCTACAGAATTTAACTTTTTTGATAATTCATTATTGAAGAAAAAGATATTATCTAAAGATTATAATGGTGAGAGGAAACCGTGGCATGAACGGTCTGCCATAGTTAAGTCCAACTTAAAGTCAATCTTAGTCTTTGTGAAACACTTCCCTGATGTAGCAGGGCAATATGCCTAGAAGCGTGCATTATACATTGTATATGCAATACACGTCAAACATGGTGTACTGCCAAGTGTTAGGCACTGTGGCTGCTGAAAAAGGATGCAGTTCCGTCAATTTTTGCCAATAGACCGGTTCCAATAATCCTGTCAGTCAACAGAAAAGAGGATAGTTGAGATTGAGGCAAAAAGAGTATGTCATTTATATCGTAATTGAATTGTGACATTTGTGTGCAATGTTGTTACAAATTGGGGTGGTTATTGACAAATCTTATTTTTATTGTGCATGCTCGAGCTGGCTGCAACGTGAGTGTAATGTGTATGTAGCTTATAGCAGGTAAACGTATGTACAAAATCCAATGTACTAGTTGACTCCATGCGATACGTCACAGAACAGGCCAAGTGCAAACACAATAGCGATGTTCTTAAAATACTCAGATCTCAGAAAGACAAAGGATTCTAAAGAAGAGTTACGTCCTACCTTTCGTCAAATGTACGATGTTTTATATTTTTCAGAGGCCTACGAACTAAAATTAACATGAATTTTGAGGTTAATTCCCCTTTAATAAGTAAATAACATTTTCCCTATTTTCCAGTTTAATATCTTGAACATCAAATTAAACCACAAGAATTGACATGGTCTGAAAAAAAAGTTCAAAAACCTCAAATAATTAGCAAATGCACAGCTGTTAAGAAAAATGATGTTGAACATTTCTTCTTGATTTCCCTTTCTTATAGAAATGGTCTATGCCACCATAAAGCAAGATGAGGAAGAGATATTTGAACCTATTACAACTCAAGGTGAAGGAGGAGGAGAAACTGAGCAATCAATTACTGCAGGTATGATCAACATTCTTTCATCTTCAAGTCAAATCAAATCACAATCTAGGGTCTAGATCTATTATGTTACAGTTATTGCATCAAATCAATGCATGAAATCTTAGTTATTGAACTAGAAAAAGGGGTTTCTTTTTTAATAGGCAATTATGAAGCAGGAAGCCTGAAACCTTATCCTACTAAACAAATCTCGACAAACTGTAGGCCTATCCTTTTATCAATTAATGAAAAAGTAGCCCCAGAAAAAAGAGCCCCCGAAAGTTGAAATAGTAGCCCCCGAAAATTTTTCAAAAAATTTGAAATGGAGCCTCCAAAATGAAAAACTTAATTTTTTGCCTGGACAGATTACCATCAAACTCAGGACATGTATGTATCTTGCAGAGCCAATGAACTGATTAGATTTTGGGTCAAAGGTCATGGGGCTCATCTATTAAAACAGAGCTTGTGAACGCATTCTCATCAGAACTGATGGATGGATTACTATTAAACTCAGGAGATGTATGTCTCTTGCAGAGCCAATGAACTGATTAGATTTTAGGGTCATGAGGTTAAAGAGCAAAGGGTCATACATGTATATGAAAAAAAGCTAGAAATCACGATATTGTGAGAACCTGTTAATGAATTACGATCGAACTTGAACTCAAATGCAAAGGAGAATGCATACGTTGATCACTCCTAAAGAACACTAGACATTCAGGAAAGACTTCTTGCAAATGCCCAAGAACATTTAAAAAAAAATCAAAAGTGGTTAGAGATATTCAGAGATTTGCAACCTCTATCCAGCTGTCTGAAATTTGAGGTTGAAAAAACAGATATTCTGTTTTATGATATAAAATTCACTGCAGGGACTCTATTACCAATGGGAGTGTATATATTGAATTTCAAATTGTTATAATGCTTTATTCAATGTGGCTGATAGACCTTTTCATGAATGAATGTAATAATAGATTTCAATTGAAGGTATGAATTGTAATTTATTTTCACCACAAACGTGACTGACACTGTATACACTATACACACAAAAATTATTCTTAATTTTTATTGCAGTTCTTTAAAAGGCTCTTCAAAGTGGAGCTGATTTTGTTTATAGGGTATATTTTCTCTTTTTCATTGTTTAAGGAGCTAAGTTGTTTTGAAAAGGGTAACCATTTTCTCCAAAGGTCTATTATTACAGGCTCAAATCCAAACAATCCCATTATTAAAGGTTGTAAACATTTTAGTAGGTCTTTCATATATTTGAAAAGGTTGATGACAGCGCATTTTTACCATCCGTAAGTTGCGTCAGTCGAAATCTGGTCACGTAATTGCTATGTCCTCATCTTTGCAGCCTCCCTGAATACTTATTTCCACACTTGCTCCGCTCGCTTTAAGGATCCGTTCGACATGGTTTACGAAGAGAAAATTAATTACAAAATTGTACAACAGAATCATGAATCACTTTCTTTTCCCTCCCCAGAGTTGGACAATGGACAAGACGAGATAAACTCACTTATTACGGCATGCAGTGGAGAGAAGTCCCATCTGTGTTTACATTGCAGTAAGACATTTACTGAAATGAACTGTATTGAAAATCCTTATAAATGTTCTCATTTTGACAAGATTTTTTCTTGCCAAGGTAATCTTACTACCCATTCAAGAACGCGCAGTGGAAAAAAGCCTTATCAATGTCCCTATTGTGACACAGGATGTTCTCACAAGAATAATCTTACTAGGCACCTTAGAACACATAGAGGAGAGAAACCCTTTAAGTGTTCCCACTGTAATAAAGGATTTTCTCAAAAGAATGACCTTACTAGCCACCTTAGAACACATACAGGAGAGAAACCTTTTAAGTGTTCCCACTGTAATAAAGGATTTTCTCAAAAGAATGACCTTACTAGGCAACTTAGAACACATACAGGAGAGAAACCTTTTAAGTGTTCCCACTGTAATAAAGGATTTTCTCAAAAGAATGACCTAACTAGGCACCTTAGAACACATACAGGAGAGAAACCCTTCAAGTGTCCCTATTGTGATATAGGATTTTCTGAAAAGACTAAGCTTACTATGCACCTTAAAACACATACAGGAGAGAAACCCTTTAATTGTTCCCAGTGTAATAAGGGATTTTCTCAAAAGAAAGAGCTTACTAGGCACCATAAAACACATACAGGAAAAAAAACCTTTAAATGTTCCCATTGTGAGAAGGGTTTTTCTTGCCAAAGTAATCTTACTACCCATTCAAGAATGCACAGTGGAGAAAAGCCTCATCGATGTTCCTATTGTGATACAGGATTTTCTCAAAAGAATAATCTTACTAGGCACCGTAGAACACATACAGGAGAGAAACCTTTTAAGTGTTCCCACTGTAATAAAGGATTTTCTGAAAAGAATAATCTTACTAGGCACCTTGGAACACATTTAGAAGAGAAACCTTTTAAGTGTTCCAACTGTAATAAAGGATTTTCTGAAAAGAATAGTCTTACTAGGCACTGTAGAACACATTCAGGAGAGAAACCCTTTAAGTGTTCCCACTGTAATAAAGGATTTTCTCAAAAGAATAATCTTACTAGGCACCTAATAACACATACAGGAGAGAAACCCTTTAAGTGTTCCTACTGTAATAAAGGTTTTTCTGAAAAGAATGACCTTACTAGGCACCTTAGAACACATACATGAGAGAAACCCTTTAAGTGTTCCCACTGTAATAAAGGATTTCCTTAAAAGAATAGTCTTACTAGGCACCTAATAACACATACAGGAGAGAAACCCTTTAAGTGTTCCTTTTGTGATAAAGGATTTTCACAATAGAATGAGCTTACTAGCCACATTAGAACAGATACAGAAGAGAAACCCTTTAAGTGTTCCCAATGTACGTGATAAGGGTTTTTCTTGCAAAAGTACTCTTATTAATCCTTTAAGAAAACACAGTGGTGAAAAGCCTTATAAATGTTTGTATTGTGATAAGGTCTTTTCTCATTGAAGTAACCTGAGAACCCATTCAAGAATGCACAGAGGAGAAAAGCCTTTTTAATGTTCCAATTGTATAGAGGGATTTTGTAGTAAAAGTCATCTTACTAAACATCTGAAAAACACATTGGACCATGATCGCTGTTCCCAATGTGATATGGAATTTTCTCAACAAAATAATGTTACCTTTCATATAATAAGAAAAAAAATGTCAGTAATGATTGATTTTTTTCTCATTTTATAATTCAATGATTTGTAATTAAGAGATGAACTATATTGACGCACTTCTAATGGTGATATACATGTACTTGATTTGAACATTGTATCTGACAAACCTTCAAAGAAATCACACATGGGAGAAAATCAGATCACAGAACCAAATATAGTAAAAGTCAATTGAAGAATCCAATAGCCATGTATGAGAACAATAAAGAACTTGCTAATTTTCCAATTGTGAAAATATTTCTAAAAAATCTAGTGTTGCAAAGCTTCTCAGGAAAATTACACAAATGAGAAAAGCCTACTGTTCCTGTTTTGATTTATCAACAAACCAATCTCTTTATCCATCTAGGCATACAGTGAAGAAAATCTTAATCTACTCCTCTTCTTATGACATCACCTCCCCATTATGGTTTGAGGTTTTATCTGTCACATTACCCTCACAACCATATACTGGTACTCTGTAGTTTTTTTTATTGACATTTGCGGTTGAAAAGCCAGACAATGTGTTTGATGAATTGAAATTCAATGCATGGACTCCGTTTCAAATGGGAGTGCATTTATTTAATGTCAAATTGTTATAATTCTTTATTCAATTTAGCTGATTGAAGTTTTCATGAATGAATAAAAAAATAGCTTTAAATCAAAGGTATGATTTGTAATTTGTTTTCACCACCTACAGCTCTGTATACACACAAAAAAGTTATATTTTATTTTATTGCAGTTCTTTGAAAGGCTCTTCAAAGTGGAGCTAATTTTATTTATAGGGGATATTTTCTCTTTTTCAATGTATTAGGAGCTAAATTGTTTTTAAAGGGTTACCGTTTTCTCCAAAGGTCTTTACAGGCTTCTGATGTTATATTTTTCGATAGAATCATTTGATATACACAAAATAATGTACATTCTTAAATACAAAGGAATACACACATAACAGGACAAAAAAGCAGGTGACAAAGGGGGGAATAAGATGATAAACCAGTATGTATGCAGAAGGGGGGGGGGGGGAGCAAAATTTCTTGGCAGGGTTTATCTTCAATATATTGATATCACATTGTAAGCATCTAATAACAAATTAAAAGGGGGGGACATTGGAATACATGTATTACCATTAATGAGCTACAAAGAAAATTGAATATTTAACAAGTATTTTTTCATTTTGTTTTAAAGCTTTGGAATGATACAGTTTGTAATGTCATTGGTTAATCCATTCCAGAGGAATTGCCCTCTATACCTCACACTTTTTTGTTGTCCTTGGTGTAGTTTATAGAATATAGAATGTAATTTATTTGAGCTTCTAATGTTATATATTTTTATATAATCGTTTGATATATACCAGTCACTATACCTTTGAAGCAGAGATCTGTTAAGATGCCTAAGCTCCCCCAATTGTAATTGACATAATTGATAGACAGTTTAAACACAATATTTGAGAATAATATTTGACGTATGTGCTATATTGTGTCTTAAATGGCACGCGTATGTAACAAAAAATATTCTGTTAACAAGAGAGATTTTGAAGCATTGGCCCACAGCATAATACTGGTACCTAACGATAAATGTGGTAAAATCATTAAATTACAAAATAAACAGAACATGTGAGGGTAAAACAAACTTCAGTTTGCACATTACACCAATGATTTGATCATTTGAACAATCAAACATAACTTATCAATATGTTTTGACCATTGGAGCTTTTTCGTCAATTGAAAGACCTGAAAATTGCACATGCATTATCTGAGTCAGATTATTTTAGACATTTACAACTTTCAAATTTCAAATTTTGTGTTTGGTGTAATAAAGTGCATATAAGTTGTAGAGGGTAAGACATTAACTTAAAACCAATCAAAAACCTTGATTATTTCAATATATTCATTTGATACATTAATGACTTCAAATCTGAGTCACTTAAAAAAACATTTGCGTCATCTGCAAAGATAACATGACAGTACCTCCAACACATTTGGAATATCATTAACATAAATGGGAATAAAAGAGAACCCAGAGAATACATTACGAAAAGCTCTCAAAGTGAGCACTGGGCCTGGGCCCCGCTATTTTATTGGGTTTCAAAATGATAGGAGAACAAAAAATATGCATTCCTCGTTTCTAAAAATATATTTACATTTCGATTTGTTTAAAAATCTAACAAGTTCAGGTTAAAATCTCTGAGTACATTTTTTTTTCATTGCACATTTTGGATAGTACTGCTGTTAGATAAGCACTGGGCCCTGTCTTATAAAGAGGTGGTATTAATCGCAACTTATTTGTTGATTTGAATTGAATTTCTTTATTGTTTTGCACAAAATAAAATGAAGGCATACAAATCGTCTTACAGCTCACATGTGTATAGAATATAACAATACATTAACATATCATAGACAAATAACTATAAATAACATAAATAACATAACCATGTAGTAGAATTTAATCTCTCTGTTGAAAGCCAGGGGAGTTATTTGATTATTTGTACTCCCCTGGCTCCCAATAGACAATACTAACTTAGATATATTCTAGAAAATGTACATGACAACAATCAATGTCATTTAAATATAACAAGTCACAGCCAAGATCTAAAATCGATTATTCATCAATTGTTAAAAATTTCAGATAAAAACTGTTTATTTTTTTTGGTGACAGACATAAACTAAACGTACATCATACTGGATGGCGAAGAGGAGAGACAAGAGAGAGGACGAACGGGAGAGAGAGAGAGATAGAGAATGAAAGAGAGGAACAGTTTAGTGTGAGAATATGATGCAATTTCATTCAGAACATTGCTTTGTAATAGACATTATTTTTATATCACCTGTGCTTAGAACTGTTACATATATGAAACACTGCTATGCATGCCAAGAAATAAAAATACAATTGTATACTAGTGTAAGGTTTTAATTTTACTGATCCAAGTTGTTATTTGTTTATTTTACACTGTACATTTAGCTTTCAACTCTATTACACTAGTACTATTACACTAGTACATGTACATATAGATGGTAGATACACTGTACAGTTGAAAGAAGAAAATTGATGTCAGATAGAAGTGGCGAGAAGAGAGACATGAAAGAAAGAGGAAAGAAAGAAGAAAGAAAGGAAAGAGAGGAAAAGGAGGAAAAGTGCAGTGTGAGATATTGAAAATTTGTTGGAATTGATAGGTCTACGTGTCACTCACAAACTACCAACCATAACAGCAGGAAGGACCCCCTTCCCCCTTGACCTCATAAAAGTTGACCCATCTTCATCACCCCCTGTACTTCCAGGATATGAAGAGAGAGAGAGACAGACAGAAAGAGATATAGAGAGAGAGAGAGAGATAAAATGAGAGGGTAGGGGATCATACTCGGGAGGTGAACAGGGTCATTCATCTACAGAAATTGTTGTTATACGCTTTCATTGCAATTGGGAGAAAGGACCTGCCGAACCTATCAGTTCTTATTCTAGGTAGCCTAATTCTTCCTGATCTATTAAAAACCACTTTATTATGCAGAGGGTGATTAGAATCCTTCATAATCTCTTGGAGCTCATAGCCAATAATGCCCTTTCTGCCTTTCTGATTGATATCGATCGCAGCTATGTATATAAGAGATAGGAGACTGCAACCTTGCGATTGATTGGAAGACTTGCGATTGATTCAGATCAATCATAGCTCTTTATAAGACAGGGGCCTGAGATAAAATAAAATCACTCTGTTTTTTTTACCCTTTTGTAATATTTCAATACAATGTAACTCTATATAATTTATGATTAAATACATTAAATCAATACATTCTTTTACAATGAACTTATTATTTGAATAATGAAGACACCAAATCCATAACCATGACTCTCTGGTTTTTGCCATAAAATATTTAATTAGGAAATGTTTTCCAAGGAATTCATGTCATCTGTAGTGTTAACCATGTTTCACTCAAAGCAATAACATCTAATTCTACTTTCAATAACTGAAGGTACACAGATAAAGCTTCATGGTTCTTATTCGAGCTTCTACAATTCATATGAACAAGTAAAATATTTCAAGAATTTTGAAAAATCAACGATCATATTAAAATTGTCAGGGAAATATATGGTGTACATGTATCTGTTTCACACACTCCATCAAAGTTATCATCAGGTATAATACATTCTTTCAATACATATAGACATACAGTAAATATAATTTTAAAGACATGTAAGAAAATTCTTTTAAAGAAAAGAAGGGAAAAGTCAAATATTCCTTTAAAAAAAGTAACATGTCAGATAAGAGATACCGGTATATGCCTAATTGGTGCAGTGTAAGATTACTCTTAGATTGCATCAAATAAGATAATTCAGTTACATTGTAGTAATGACTGTTAAATACCTCACTTAAGAAATCCAGCCATCTGATTGGTCAAAATTGCATTCATAAACTTTAACTATTCCTGTAAAATTCCCGGTAAAATTTCAGTTACCATGGTTACGGGGAAAATAGTTCAGTCTGGGTGAAATACCCATAGGTTCACATGTTAAAAACTTGTTTGAGCGATCGAGGATACCGTACGTGTGCCAAGAATTGGTCAGTAATTTCAATACGGCAAACAAGGCAAAAATGGCTAAAGAAACTCTTCTAAGATTTCAACTTCTTGATGATGATCAAATGCAAGACTTGCTGACAGCAAGAACACCAAAAAGAGTACATGAAATTATCCATAATTTTTTTTTTTAAATAGATCTAGTAGGCCTAGTTTCTAGTAGTGCTAAAATCCTTCTCGTAGAGATTGCACACATCCCTATCTCGCTATCAGCTATCTGCTATGCATTGGCCATTGCGCACTCATGCTAAATTGGTCGATGTTTTAATTACCAGAGATTCAAATTAATATTGCTCGTGATCCTGAAGGTGATACTCAATAAGTGAGGTGTCATATGAAAGCCAGGTTTTTCTCCATATTCCCCACAGGGCCGGCCCACCCCCAAAATTGTAAAAATATCTTGCTTAGACTAGAATCTAGATCTAGTCTACTCTCAAAGATACACTCATAAAAAATAACCGTGCAGATAAACTAGAGAAAGGCCAAGGTGGTGTCATAAGTTGACTTTTTTGGGGGGCATATAAAAGTATTAATGACTGCTTTAATATACGAGAAATAGTTGTTTTTATACTCTCTCGGGAAGGTTACAATTGGGCTATTGCCCTCGGCACGCCTCTGGCAATAGCACAATTCGTCCTTGTTTTCACGAAGTGACGGTAGTGAGGAAAATCGTAACGTAAAGTGAATGCAATTTTTTTTCACTACCGTCACTTCGTGAAAACAGCGACGAATTGTTACCTTCCCTTGAGCGTATAAAAACAACTATTTCTCTCAAAGCAGTCATTAATACTATACTATGAGATACATAGTTGTTTTTATACGCTAAAGGGGACGTTACATTGTGCTATCGCCCCAAGGCATGCCGAGGGGTGATATCACGATGTAACCTTCCCGAGAGCCTATACAAACAGCTACCGGATGCCTCGAATATGAAAGCAGTCATTATAACATTTATATACAGAAAAGGGTCATAGAATACATGTGCGACTTACCAATCATGGTAATCAAGTTTGTTTACGCTATCGAGACCTAGTCTTAATAGGGTGTCTGATCGTGCACCACTCAAGTTTATGTGCTAAAATCCTTCCCATTGAGATTGCACGCACATATCCCTATGCAGTCTAGATCTACGTGAATTAAGAAAGTTATTTTCAAATCGAGATCGGCTGTCGTCTGCGCTGTGTTTGTAGCAACCAATTTGATCGCACAAAAAAATGTATGGTAGTCGCGCTCCGCACAAACTCAGTTAATTAATACGCAAACCAAAGGGGATCGCAGTACTCATACCCGCCTACCAGTCAATAGTCTTTTGAAAAGTGCCCTTGACTGGTAGGTGGGGCATGGCACGACTCCTATTTCGACCGATCAGATGGCTAGATTTCTAAAGTGAGGTATATAATACAAATTAAGGTTGTGTCAAATCTTCTTTGCAGTTGATAAGTTTCCTGCTTTGGGTGCTGGTTTTGTTTGGGACCTATATAATAATTCTTTCATACGAAAACCATGCGCCCTGAACATTACCTTTATGGAAGAGTCTGTATGCTCCTTGAGGCAATTTTCAGTTTTTTCGGTAAGGCCTTCTTGGATTGTTCTTTAATTACCTTCCATTTTGTAACAACTCCTGTCTCTTGTGATATTAATAAAACTATAATTGGAACATCACATTGACGTGTTACTGAAGTAGGGTCGCCAACTCGATGGCGACGGTCTATATCTTGCTCCTGAAAATCAACTTTAATTCGCTTGGCTAATTGACAAAGTAGACTATTGGTGTTTTCTCCACGCTTCTCTATGAGACCAAAGATTCTTTTGCAGCTGCGTCAAGAATACTGCTCTAAGCAGTTACATTCACTTGGTGTTCTGGGTTTACAATTTTTGTTGAGGCTCGTATCCAGTTCATTTTGAAGATGTTTGATAACTGTCTCCCTCTCATTCACCTTCAGCTCAACATCCATCAAGGTTGATTTGGCCTTCTCTGATGAAGTTTGAAGGTACTGACATTTTGGTGCGAGTTCACCATAAACTTCAATTAATCTTCTGAGATCTTTTTCAATAGTTGTAAAGGGTTGATCATGATGATCAAGTTTCTACAAAATGTTATCAAGCTTATTTTAATAGCTGTGTCCAGTCAAATATTGGGTACATGAAAATATAACATGTTGTTATTTTCTGGAGGTCTGCAGAAGAGTTTAAAGGGAGTCATGAGAAATACTTGTTAATGCCATCTACGTCTTCTTTTGGACAACTGCACATAAACGAATGGACTTGATTAACTGGGTCAGCGCGAGCTAGCGTTTTCGAAGCAGACCGAAGTTCTCTTCACGCTTCAGTTTCGTGTATGTTGCACGCACGTGAATACGTGGGCCGACTGCGATCGCGTCGTCCATAGTCGTATCGTATTATACCCGGTTGTCCCCGAGTAGGGCCACGGGAAAGACACAAAGTCCCGTCATGCCACACTCCCTTTAAATTAACCAAGGCATTGGATAAAAACTAATATCAACTAAACTGCTGGCAAGTTCCAGAGTTATATTAGGGACATCATATGCTTAATCATTTTGACTTACACAGAAATCAAAGATCATATTTTGCTCGGTTCTGTTAAAGCTCATCTGCACTAGTTTGGCCAAAGGGATTAGACCACCGTGCTGGTCACTGACAGGTGGTTATTTTATCAACTCAGCTCTCGATTAACTAAGAAAAAGAGGATTATGGGGGACCAACGGGTACCGCTAGGGCATTATAGTCTATGAAGAGGGAGCAAGTAGCTACAAGTAGTTGGGGGGGGGGGGGGGCTTTAAGGTAAATTTTGGCGAAAGACAAATTTTCTTTTATTTACGAGTTATAAACAAATCAAAGATTTTACTGTATCCAGTCCAACTGTATCCTGTCAAAACTCAAAAGTGACTAATGTGAAGTTGACTGTATTGAAGGTTTTAGACCATTACATTATGGTCTGCAGCTAGGCAGTCTGGATATGCCTTTTGATGTCTCTTCACACTACAGTGATTTTAATTTTAATTTTGACACTTACCATAAGTATACCTTTTCTTTAAAGGGACTTGGTAACATTGTTCAGATGAGAGATAGTGGTGCTAAGGTAGTGACTTCAATACTAGATATACAATTAAAGATAATCTGACAATTTGAGTGAAAACGGACCATAATTATTCATAGTACAGATTGGGAAAAAACTGATCTGATTGATTGCTTAATTCTCCCAACTATATTATTACAATTTAATTACATTTTAGGTGAATACATTCCATTACAGACATTTAAGTGTTGACAGATTTTCTATGGCCTGTTTTATGTCTTTTTTTATGGAAAAACAGTTTGGAAAATTCAAGAATGGTTGGGAGAATTTACTGTAAATCACTGTTAAAGGGTGTCATACATCAACGCCTTCAAAGAAAACCATAGGTATCTTTGTGGTTTGAGAATTTTGTTAGAATTTTTTGCATGTCAGAGGGTTAGTACAGTATAGAAGGAATATAGTAAGTAACATTTTATACAAAAATTAAGCAATTTTTTCATCGACCTTCAACAATGTTACAAAGTATCTTTAATAGGGATGTAATTACTTTGTTTTCCTCCCCAGAATTGGACAATGGACAGGACAAAATACACTCACTTGTGACAGCATGCAGTGGAGAAAAGCTTCATCGATGTTCATGTTGTGATAAAAGATTTTCTGGAAAAAGTACGCTTACTAGGCACCTTAGAACACATTCAAAAGAGAAACCCTTTAAGTGTTCCCACTGTAATAAAGGATTTTCTCGAAATAATGACCTTACAAGGCACCTTGGAACACATTTAGAAGAAAAACCCTTTAACTGTTCCCACTGTAATAAAGGATTTTCTCGAAATAATGACCTTACAAGGCACCTTAGAACACATACAGGAGAGAAACCCTTTAAGTGTTCCCAGTGTGATCAGAGATTCGTTTGCAAAAGTAATCTTGTTACCCATTCAAGAACACACAGTGGATATATTCCTCACCGATGTTCCTTTTGTGATAAAGGATTTTCTCAAAAGAATGACCTTACAAGGCACTGTAGAACACATTCAGGAGAGAAACCTTTTAAGAGTTCCTACTGTAATAAAGGATTTTCTGAAAAGAATAGTCTTACTAGGCACTGTAGAACACATTCAGGAGAGAAACCCTTTAAGTGTTCCCACTGTAATAAAGGATTTTCTCAAAAGAATAATCTTACTAGGCACCTAATAACACATTTAGAAGAAAAACCCTTTAACTGTTCCCACTGTAATAAAGGATTTTCTCGAAATAATGACCTTACAAGGCACCTTGGAACACATTTAGAAGAGAAACCCTTTAAGTGTTCCAACTGTAATAAAGGATTTTGTGAAAAGAATAGTCTTACTAGGCACCTTAAAACACATACACGAGAGAAACCCTTTAAGTGTTCCCACTGTTATAAAGGATTTTCTGAAAAGAATAGTCTTACTAGGCACCTTGGAACACATTCAGAAGAGAAACCTTTTAAGTGTTCCCACTGTAATAAAGGATTTCCTGAAAAGAATAGTCTTACTAGGCACCTAAGAACACATACTGGAGAGAAACCCTTTAAGTGTTCCCACTGTAATAAAGGATTTTATGAAAAAAATGACCTAACTAGGCACCTCAGAACACATACAGGAGAGAAACCCTTTAAATGTTCCCACTGTAACAAGGGATTTTCTCAAAAGAATGGCCTTACTAGGCACCGTAGAACACATACAGGAGAGAAACCCTTTAAGTGTTCCCACTGTAATAAAGGATTTTCTGAAAAGAATAGTCTTACTAGGCACCTTGGAACACATTTAGAAGAGAAACCTTTTAAGTGTTCCAACTGTAATAAAGGATTTTCTGAAAAGAATAGTCTTACTAGGCACTGTAGAACACATTCAGGAGAGAAACCCTTTAAGAGTTCCCACTGTAATAAAGGATTTTCTCAAAAGAATAATCTTACTAGGCACCTAATAACACATACAGGAGAGAAACCCTTTAAGTGTTCCTACTGTAATAAAGGTTTTTCTGAAAAGAATGACCTTACTAGGCACCTTAGAACACATACATGAGAGAAACCCTTTAAGTGTTCCCACTGTAATAAAGGATTTCCTTAAAAGAATAGTCTTACTAGGCACCTAATAACACATACAGGAGAGAAACCCTTTAAGTGTTCCTTTTGTGATAAAGGATTTTCACAATAGAATGAGCTTACTAGCCACATTAGAACAGATACAGAAGAGAAACCCTTTAAGTGTTCCCAATGTACGTGATAAGGGTTTTTCTTGCAAAAGTACTCTTATTTATCCTTTAAGAAAACACAGTGGTGAGTGGTGAAAAGCCTTATAAATGTTTGTATTGTGATAAGGTCTTTTCTCATTGAAGTAACCTGAGAACCCATTCAAGAATGCACAGAGGAGAAAAGCCTTTTTAATGTTCCAATTGTATAGAGGGATTTTGTAGTAAAAGTCATCTTACTAAACATCTGAAAAACACATTGGACCATGATCGCTGTTCCCAATGTGATATGGAATTTTCTCAACAAAATGATGTTACCTTTCATATAATAAGAAAAAAAATGTCAGTAATGATTGATTTTTTTCTCATTTTATAATTCAAAGATTTGTAATTAAGAGATGAACTATATTGACACACTTCTAATGGTGATAAACATGTACTTGATTTGAACATTGTATCTGACGAACCTTCAAAGAAATCACACATGGGAGAAAATCAGATCACAGAACCAAATATAGTAAAAGTTAATTGAAGAATCCAATAGCCATGTATGAGAACAAGAAAGAACTTGATAATTTTCCAATTGTGAAAATATTTCTAAAAAATCTAGTCTTGCAAAGCTTCTCAGGAAAATTACACAAATGAGAAAAGCCTACTGTTCCTGTTTTGATTTATCAACAAACCAATCTGTTTATCCATCTAGGCATACAGTGAAGAAAATCTTAATCTACTCCTCTTCTTATGACATCACCTCCCCATTATGGTTTGAGGTTTTATCTGTCACATTACCCTCACAACCATATACTGGTACTCTGTAGTTTTTTTTTATTGACATTTGCGGTTGAAAAGCCAGACAATGTGTTTGATGAATTGAAATTCAATGCATGGACTCCGTTTCAAATGGGAGTGCATTTATTTAATGTCAAATTGTTATAATTCTTTATTCAATTTAGCTGATTGAAGTTTTCATGAATGAATAAAATAATAGCTTTAAATCAAAGGTATGATTTGTAATTTGTTTTCACCACCTACAGCTCTGTATACACACAAAAAAGTTATATTTTATTTTATTGCAGTTCTTTGAAAGGCTCTTCAAAGTGGAGCTAATTTTATTTATAGGGGATATTTTCTCTTTTTCAATGTATTAGGAGCTAAATTGTTTTTAAAGGGTTACCGTTTTCTCCAAAGGTCTTTACAGGCTTCTGATGTTATATTTTTCGATAGAATCATTTGATATACACAAAATAATGTACATTCTTAAATACAAAGGAATACACACATAACAGGAGAAAAAAGCAGGTGACAAAGGGGGGAATAAGATGATAAACCAGTATGTATGCAGAAGGGGGGGGGGAGCAAAATTTCTTTGCAGGGTTTATCTTCAATATATTGATATCACATTGTAAGCATCTAATAACAAATTAAAAGGGGGGGCATTGGAATACATGTATTACCATTAATGAGCTACAAAGAAAATTGAATATTTAACAAGTATTTTTTCATTTTGTTTTAAAGCTTTGGAATGATACAGTTTGTAATGTCATTGGTTAATCCATTCTAGAGGAATTGGCCTCTATACCTCACACTTTTTTGTTGTCCTTGGTGTAGTTTATAGAATATAGAATATAATTTATTTGAGCTTCTAATGTTATATATTTTTATATAATCGTTTGATATATACCAGTCACTATACCTTTGAAGCAGAGATCTGTTAAGATGCCTAAGCTCCCCCAATTGTAATTGACATAATTGATAGACAGTTTAAACACAATATTTGAGAATAATATTTGACGTATGTGCTATATTGTGTCTTAAATGGCACGCGTATGTAACAAAAAATATTCTGTTAACAAGAGAGATTTTGAAGCATTGGCCCACAGCATAATACAGGTACCTAACGATAAATGTGGTAAAATCATTAAATTACAAAATAAACAGAACATGTGAGGGTAAAACAAACTTCAGTTTGCACAATACACCAATGATTTGATCATTTGAAGAATCAAACATAACTTATCAATATGTTTTGACCATTGGAGCTTTTCGTCAATTGCAAGACCTAAAAATTGCACTTGCTTTATCTGAGTCAGAGTATTTTGGACTTTTACAACTTTTTAATTTCAAATTTTGTGTTTGGGGTAATAAAGTGCATAGAACTTGTAGAGGGTAAGACATTAACTTTAAACCAATCAAAAACCTTGATTATTTCAATATATTAATTTGATACATTAATGACTTCAAATCTGAGTCACTTAAAAAAACATTTGCGTCATCTGCAAAGATAACATGCTAGTACCTCCAACACATTTGGAATATCATTAACATAAATGAGAATGAAAGAGAGCCCAGAGAATGAGAGCACTCAAAGCTGCAATTTGCTAGGATGAATACCTTTATAATTTTCTATCCTTTAAACCATCTTAATCCAGTCAAATACTAATCCCCTAATTCCATAAAATCTGAGTTTGGCAAATAACAATTGATGATTAATGTAATCAAAAGATTATGAAATATTCAAGTACAAACCAACAGTATGTTTTTCTATCATCAAGATGTGTCACTTAAAGGTACCCCTCGTGTAATCATATGCTTTTGTAAATATATATGTTAATTCAGGTACCCTAATTTATATACAACCCTATGAACCGGGACCTACAAAATACAAGCTTTGCTTTTTAGTAGATTCCCCACTTTATTGATTGATTTATATGATTGTATCCTCTGTTATAACTATTATCATGTACATTATGTTTTCTATATTGTATGTTTAGTTATAATAATTACCATGTTTATTGTGTTCAATTGTGTTATCTTTGATAAAGTGAAATAAATAAAGTTGAACTTGAAACTTGAAGAGCATTCATCTCCTGATCTAAAAAGTCAGTTACTGCAAGCAGAGTTGAATGACCAGTTCTAAATCCATATTGAAAGCTATAGATAGCAAGTTATTTTTCTCTAGAATTATAACAAGCGCATATAAAATAAACGCTTAAGAGTTTTTGAAAACTCTGGTAGTATTGATATAGGACAGTCATTTACAAAATGATCAATATGACCCTTATTGAATATGGGAGATACCTTTGCCCAGACGCAGACAAAAAGATAAGTTAAATATATGATTAAAACATATTATAATTGATAAATCTATATTCTGTTTCATAATGGTAGTACTGATACTATCATGACCTGGGATCTTCTTTGGTTTTAACTTTCTATTTCAATAATTTCATGTTCTATGGGTTTTAGAAAAAAAATAGACTGAGAAATATGGCCTTTTAAGTAAATCAAACATCAATAAAAATCAATATTAAATGTATCAGAACCTTGGCTCCAGTACTTACAATGTATTGATTAAATTTATTTGCTATTTTATTGGAATCTGTAATAACAGAATTTTCATTTTCATCGAAACTGGATGAAATATCTAAATTTTGGTTCTTCCCAAAACTTTATTAATAGCACCCATAGTTTTGTACAATCAATCTTACTATCATTTATTAATTTAGTATAATAATATTGTTAGGAAGTTTGAATTGTATTTGTCTGAATATTGCTACATCTTTTATAATTTGTACCTTAGGTTTTTTTCATAATTTGTTTATTCAAGCATTTTTTTTTTTCTACATGATTTCAGAATGCCAGAAGTTATTTAGGCTTTCCTTTAAACAAATGGAAAAGAATTTTCAAAAATATTTTTGAAATGTGTAGAAATCTACCATATGCTATGTTACACTACATTCTAATACATTGTCCCATGATACATTACTGAGGCGATTTCAAAATTGTACATACGGTAATTATTTTCCTACATGTCAAAAATATATGTATTTTTAGATGATTAGATAATGGTTTGATATCTGCCTTAGTAATAGCAAAAATAAGTAAGGGATCACATATATCTGCAATCAATATACCATTATATCCCACATACTAAGAATCTTGCAATCCGATTGGTCTAATTGAGGTCACATGATAAAAGATCGATAAGTACTATCTACCTGAGATAGGTCTTTTGTAAGGGAACTTTTTGCTGCTGCCCCACTTGCCATTGAATATGCGTAACAAAGTAGGTTACGCGAAATGTCAATGTCAATGTCAAATGAGCGCGCATCGACTTTGTTACATTGTATGCATGTTGCGCTTTGTAGAATCTAGCTGAAGCTAAACTGTCTGCAGAATCAATTCTTTTAATTATGTAAAATTCACTTTAAATAGACCTTATTGCCGATGTGGGATATAAAACAAATGTTAACCTCCTTTACTCGGGCGATGGATACAAACTATCATCGCCTCTGTGATCTCGGGGCTACCATATCATCCCTCGCCTTGCGGCTCGAGATGATAGTAGCCCCCCGAGATCACCTCAGTTATGATAGTTTGTACCCTCGTAGTCGATTAATATTTGCTTACTATTTACAATCCAGTCCTTATCATTCATAAAATATTATCAAAGTAGCACCGGGCCCCGCTATTCTATTGGGTTTCAACATGTTAGGAAAAAAAATGTGCATTCCTCGTTTCTAAAAATATATTTACATTTCGATTTGTATAAAAATCTAGCAAGTTCAGATTAAAATCTCTGAGTACATATTTTTTTTTTCATTGCACATTTTGGATAGGACAGCTGTTAGATAAGCACTGGGCCCTGTCTTATAAAGAGGTAATATATGCGTGTTTCCAGCAACCCCCCCCCCCCCTTTTCAGCAAAAGTCTGGTGTGTAAAGTCAATATGGGTCGAACTTTTTCTTTTGTTATACAAGCCTTTTTCAGCAAAAGTCTGGTGTGTAAAACCAATACGGGTAGACCTTTTTCATGAAAAAAAAAATGGTGTACGGTACATGTATTTTTTTCACACACTATCAAAGTTCTCATCAGGTATGATACATTCATTCATTACATATAGACATACAGGGAATATAATTTTGAAGACATGTAAGCAAATTCCTTTAAAAAAAGAAAGAAAAGAAGGGAAAAGTCAATATATTCCTTTAAAAAAGTAAAATGTCAGATAAGAGATATGCCTTGGTGCAGTGTAAGATTACTCTTAGATTGCACCAATTAAGATAATTAAGTTACATTGTTATAGTACAAATCAAGGTTTTGTCAAATCTTCTTTGCAGTTGATGAGTTTCCGGTTTTGGGTGCTAGTTTTGTTTAGGACCTATCAAATAATTATTCCATCGGAAAACCATGCGCCCTGAACATTATGCGAAGTTGACTGTATTAAAGGTTTTAGACCATTACATGATAGTCTGCATCTAGGCAGTCTGAATATGCCTGATGGTGATATCTCTTCACTCGATCTACAGTGATTTTAATTTTAATTTTGACACTTACCAGAACTTGACCTTCTCTTTAATAGGGATGTAATTACTTCGTTTTCCTCCCCAGATTTGGACAATGGACAGGACAAAATACACTCACTTATGGCAGCATGCAGTGGAGAGAAGTCCCATCCATGTTTACATTGCAGTAAAACATTTACTGATGAGAACTGTGGTGAAAATCCTAATCAGTGTTCCCAGTGTGATATGGGATTTCCTCATAAAAGTACTCTTATTAGTCATTTAAGAACACACAGTGGAGAAAACCCTCATCAATGTTCCTATTGTGATACAGGGTGTTCTCAAAAGAATAAAATTACTAGGCACCTAAGAACACATACAGGAGAGAAACCCTTTAAGTGTTCCCATTGTGATAAGGTTTTATCTTGCAAAAGTAATCCCACTACCCATTCAAGAACGCACAGTGGAGAAAAACTTCATCGATGTTCCTATTGTGATGCAGGATTTTCTCAAAAGAATAATCTTACTAGGCACCTTAGAACACATACAGGAGAGAAACCCTTTAAGTGTTCCCAGTGTGATACAGGATTTTCTCAAAAGTCATATCTTAATAGCCACCTTAGAACACACACAGGAGAGAAACCCTTTATGTGTTCCCATTGTGATAAGGGTTTTTCTTGCCAAACTAATGTTACTACCCATTCAAGAACGCACTTTGGAGAAAAACTTCATCGATGTTCCTATTGTGATGCAGGATTTTCTCAAAAGAATAATCTTACTAGGCACCTTAGAACACATACAGGAGAAAAACCCTTTAAGTGTTCCCACTGTGATAAGGGTTTTGCTTGCCAAAGTAATCTAGCAAGGCATCTACTGACACATACTGGAGAGAAACCTTTTAAGTGTTGCTATTGTGATACAGGATTTTCTCATAAGTCATATCTTAATAGCCACCTTAGAACACATACAGGAGAGAAACCTTTCAAGTGTTCCCAGTGTGATAAGAGTTTTTCTCATAAAGATAATCTTATTATTCATTTAAGAACACACAATGGCAAAAAGCCTTATCGATGTTCCCATTGTGGTAAGGGATTTCTTCATAAAAGTACTATCATTAATCATTTAAGAAGACACAGTGGAGAAAAGCCTTATCAATGTTCCCAGTGTGATAAGAGTTTTTCTCATAAAGGTAATCTTGTTATTCATTTAAGAACACACAGTGGCAAACAGCCTTACCAATGTTCCCATTGTGATAAGGGATTTCCTCATAAAAGTACTCTTATTAATCATTTAAGAAGACACAGTGGAGAAAAACCACATCAATGTTCATATTGTGATTCAGGATTTTCTCAAAAGAATAATCTCACTAGGCACCTTAGAACACATACAGGAGAGAAACCCTTTAAGTGCTCCCATTGTAATAAGGGTTTTTCTTGCCAAAGTAATTTAGCAAAGCATCTATGGACACATAAAGGAGAGAAACCTTTTAAGTGTTCCCAGTGAGATTCAAGATTTTGTAATAGAAATACCCTGACCCGTCATTTGAGAATACACAGTGCTGAAAAGCCTTATAAATGTTTCCATTGTGATTGTGTGTTTTTTTCTTGGAAAAAAATAAACTTAATACCCATTCAAGAACGCACAGTGGAAAAAAGCTTATGTCCCTATTGTGATATAGCATTTTTGGAAAACACTAAGCTTGTGTTCCCAGCGTGATAAGGGATCTCCTTATAAAAGAATCATTTTACAACACAGTGAAGAAAAGCCTTATCCATCTACCTAATGTGATACAATATTTGTTCAAAAGTCTAATCTTACTAGCCACTTAAGAACAGATACTGGGTACAAGCCAGACACCCTTAAGTGTTCCCAGTGTGATAAGTGATTTTCTCATGAATGTAATCTTACTAGCTAGTCATCTAACGATACATACTGGAGAAAAGCCATTTAAATGTTTACTCTGTAATGTTTACTCTGTGTATGATCTTGCTTATTGCCTAATAACAAACAAGAAAAATGCTATATAAATGTTTCAAATGTAATAAGGGAGTCTGGTGTATAAGTGATCTTACTGCCAAAGGAAATTAGTGCCGCGGTGGGACTCGAACCGCAGACCTTGTGATCCACAGTCCGATGACATATCCACTCGACCAAGACACTTCTTAAAATGACACCTGGCTCAAATACTGCCCAGGGAGTGGAGCACGTTGAGATCAGCAATTGAATCCAATGACCAGGGTATCAATAAAGACAATGTAAAGTACATGTGTACTTTGAAACTTAGTATTAAGCACTATACCAATGCGACTATTAAAGGTGTATTATAAAGAGGTATACAATTGTGACTTTTATTATTATAAAGGTTTTTTGTTAATCTAGAAGAAATCCTTATTTCATAGCCTTGTTAGAACATATAGGAGAAAGCAGGGAATAAAGGCCATATCAACTTCTCAATGCAATAATGGAATTTCTCAAAAATGTCCACTTACTAGCCTTCTACATTGAAGAAACGTTTTATATTGTATTGTTCAATTAGGGGCTAGGAGTTTTTTTGGAAAGAATCTTTTTTATAGCAGATTTCCGGTTTTGAGAAAATGTCCTAAATAGTGTTGCTATTTCATGTGTAAGACTATATGTTCATGTACATTTATATATTTTCAGTGTCATGAATGTAGATTTTCATTTTTTTTTCAGTGTCATGAAAACAGTCATGAGTCCATGTAGCAATATTTTGTGTACTGTGAATTTATTACAAAACTCCAGGAGGGGGGCATTACAACACATGGCGTGCTTGACATAAGATTTCATTTTACAAGCTAAATAAATCCCAAATTTTGTTTGTACAAGTACTCTCAAATAATCAAGAAGCGATATATATCTTTTCTCGTATATGATGTTTATTCCCCAGGCAACCATTTAAAAGGATAGTATATGTATTTATTATTGTGTGTACAACATATACATGTGTGTGTTTACTCTGGAAAATATATTTCTAGATTGAATGTAACCTTGATATTGATATTTCTCTTTTGTATCTTTTATCAGATTTTAAAACGATTTACTCATATTTTTTATTTCTCTGCTCTCATTCAACACAACTTGGGAGGACTTTTATCCCTAATTGATCTCTGTTTCATAGACTGAACACTTTTACATAAAAGGTTTTTCCTCCTTCATTTGTTATGAAAGAACCACAGTATTATCATGTGTATTAATAGTGATTTTGTTTATTATTACATGTATCTGGAACTCGTGTTATTGTATTGTAAGCATACGGCACACTATAGGATTTCACTAGCATCCTATTTTCGATGAAGTTGCAAAATATGAACATTCTATTATGTAAATTGTTATGATTGTCTAAATTGTGGTATATCACCTTTATCATTCTATTAACCATCTCCTCCTGTCAATTTCTAATACATCTCATTTCATTCCATCCTCAACATCATTTTTGTATAAAGGAATTATTAAGTTTTATACAGCATTGCCACACCTTCAAGCTAAGCGTTAATATATGGCAATCCTTCTTTCTTATTCTGTCATGTTAATATTACGATGTAAGTGTTGTACTTTGATGTGTATTAATTATATGTTTATTATTGTGATTATGTTGTAATTAGTTTGTAATTTTGGAAAGAGCGATGAAGAGAAATGAATAAATCAAATTAAAATAAATCAATAAATTATTCATAGAATAAAATTTCCAGAATCTTGCAATCCTGCTTGTCGGAGGAAATTCAAATCAGCTCTGAATCCTAGTGATGTCTGAACAATCGTGCAACATTCTACAATTTGAAGCTGATTTTGCATTTACTTTATATAACGAGGAGATTATTTTTGTTTAAATTTCCATATATGATGTAAATGTGATTTATTGGAAAATCGGATCACAATGGAGTTACTCAAGGTTACTTTTAAATTTCTTAAGGGCTGAAAATGAAAGAAAATATATATATATATTTTTTTCTTTCTTACACTTCAAGTCAGTTCAATTTAGTAATAGTTTTATTTGAAAATGCCTTGCAACCATCTCTCAATCTCATTTCAATTAAAAATTGCATTTAAGATCAAGTGAAAATATTGAAGAAAATCTGATAAATTAATCAGAAAACACCAATTGGTATCTCCTTGAATGGCCTTTTTGAGCATCTCTCCCATCTGCTTTATACTAAAATTTCATGAGTTTCCATTTAATTTTCTGGGTTGTTGATGAAAGAAAAAATTAAACATGTATTTCATATAGCAGGTTTGTGTAACCATAAGTGCAATACACCTGTTGTTAAATCTAGGGTGTATTTATAAGTAAGCCTTTTCTGTAGAGAAAATTAAAATTAAAATTTGTTGGTCGTGAGCAAAATGGAGAGGTCATCGTAAGGTGTGTGATGGAGGTTGTTAGATCAACTACAACTTTTAAGATTCGTAACATAAATTTCCCCTGATTTCATTTAAAAAAAAAAATTCTTCTGCTGTCAGGGTGGACCCCCCCCCTTTTTTTTTTAAAGTATTATATCAGGTGTACGATCTAGGGCTAGCATTGGGAATGGGTAGGTAAGGTTGAGTACTGGCTCTGTGAGGGATTACATTATAAAATAAAAATTCTATAATAAGTTATTGTAATCTGCTACTTTATGATTTAATTGGGGGGGGGGGGTGGAAGGTTGCCCTGATGTAAAAGCTAGACTTCATGAACTATGAGAAAAGGGGAATACATGTATTAATTTGTAACGCATATCCGCTGTGCCTTCTCTCCCCTTCTCTCTCTCTCTAGAATATACACTAGTCAGTCCCATGTGATGGAAAGGTGATTGAACCACCTGCCTATGGAAACCAGGTGGTTTTCTAAGACCCATGGGGATGGGGCAATTCAGTATGATGATAATAATAATAATATATTTCTATACCACAAATTGAATGATGCCTCTAAGCGGTTCAGAAGGAAACTAGTTTATAAGTAAAGGAAATAGAATTTGCATTACAAATTACATCAAATCATCAAATATAGGTCAGAGGGCTATTCAGGAACAAGACTTAAAGAGTTGTGTTTTTAGCATTGTTTTAATTGTATTTAAAGAAATGGCATAGCGAATTTGAAGGGGAAGATTCTTCCAAAGATATGTAGCTGCATAAACGAAAGAGCGTTGACCGTATTGTTTGTAAGATATAGTGTGAGACCGAGAGAGGAGAGATAATCATTGAGAAGCAGATCGCAAAGTCCGGACAGGAGTGAATCGATGAAGGAGTTCAGAAAGATATGAAGTAGCGAAACCATGGTTAACTCTTGAAAGTAAAGAGGAGAATTTTGTAAGTGATGCGAGAAGTGAAGCCAGTGAAGGTTTTGAAGAACAGGGGTAATGTGAAAAGTACGAGGAACACAAGAAACAAGACGAGCTGCTGTGGTTTGGCTGGAGCTTTGAGGTTATTTTGGCAGGAAGACCAAATAGAGAAGGGAATTGTAACAATAGCCTAGATGTGACGGAAGCATGGATAAGGCGATGGGCTGTATTCTGGTCGAGAAACCTACGATTTAGTTTTCCTATTTTCCTTATAGCTACAAAAGCAGATTTACAAATGGCATCAGCATTTTGAGACAAAGTACGTGAAGAATCCATAACAACACCATAACAACACTAAGATTACGGGCCATATATGATGGCTTAATTACAGACTGCCCAATTCTTAAACTGATTTGTGGGACATGAGAATAAAAAACAAAAAATGATGACAGAATCATGAAACTCTGATGTAGAAAACTCCCTCGGATCATACAAATATCTTGTTTTACTTGGGATAAAGTCAAGAGGATAAATGACCTGGGACTGAAATACTTAACTCTCAAGAAAAATTTGTTATTAAAATCAGTGCTCTTTGTGATAAGGCTCCACTAAATATACGTGAACTACAAAATGTGACTTTCTGCGTCTTTTTCTGTAAACATTGTTAAATGAACCTATACCTCTAAAGAGAATGAGTTGGTTAATACATCACCTTTCAATCCCTCACATTGATAATACAAGCATATATAGACAGGTGGAGAACAAAAACTAGAAAGAACAGAGCTAGGATTGTTTGGCGAATTTCCAGCCCCGATATTCCATTTTGCAACAGTGTCTTGTACAATGTTAATCCCAGCCAGATTGCTTAAACAGTGAATTTTGGGAACTCAAAGGTGAAGTTCTTTCCAGTCAGTTTGTTGTATATGGCAGCGTGGGTCTTCGTCTGAAAATATCACAATAATAAAATTAGTTATAACTTAAGTCAGAGTTAATTTAGGAGAGAAGTGAGCATTAGTCATACATATCCTGTAAGGCCGTTTTTAATCAGTTAATTGGGCACTGACCAAGTATGAAAAGGGGCACTTATGAGAATGAAAAAAGGAGCACCTATAATAAAGGAAAATGTGCATTACTTAGTTGAAAGAAAAGGGTTACCGATCAGATTTGAATAGGGGCATTCAATTTATCGGAGGTGAAAGGGGGCTTTTAATTATGAAAAGGGGGAAGAGGCTCTTATCAAAAATAAAAAGAGGCATGTGATAAAATAAACGGGGCGCTTATCAGAGATGAAGAGGGGTAATTATGAAAAGGGGAAGGGGCATTTATTAGAATAAAAGGAAGCGGGGCACGAGTAAAAATAAAAGGGGTAATTATGAGAGGTAAAAAGAGCACTTAAAAGTAAATTTTGAATAGGGGCAATTATCGGAGGTGAATGGGACACTTATCAAAGGTTAAAAGGAGTAATTTTTCATACCTAAAAAGGGTCACTGTATTACCAGAGATGAAAAGGGGCATTTTTTAGGAGAATTATGGGGCTCTTTTTTTAAATGGGGGCACTTATAAGAAAGGAAAGGGGGAGACGTATAAGGTGCGCTTATCCAAGTTAAAAAGGGGGTAATAAAAGGCAGACGCGGATCCAGGATTTCTTGGGGAGGCCCAAATTTGAAATTATGGGTCCCCCAAAAATCGCAACGACTCAGCCAGCCGCTGAATAAGCGGGGGGGGGGGGGGGGACTTTTTTTTCGACTTTTTTTTGGGGGGGGGGGGGCCTCCACTGCCCCCTGGCTACGCGCCTGCGGTCAGATGAACATATTTTGATACCTTGTCCGCCCCCGGAATTTCAGGGGTTTAAGGCAATAAATTACGGTCAGATAAGCATTCAGGGTCTCGCCTAAGGGCCCCTGGTGGGGTCGAGGGTGCGGAAACCCCGGAATCTCAGGGGTTTTAGGCATTTGTTTACGGTCAGATGAACATATTTTTATACCTTATTTGTGACACTGGCAGGACACTGATTGGCGTGAGGTCCAGCGGGCGGAGAGGTAAAAAGAGCACTTAAAAGTAAATTTTGAATAGGGGCAATTATCGGAGGTGAATGGGACACTAATCAAAGGTTAAAAGGAGTAACTTCTCATACCTGAAAAGGGTCACTGTATTACCAGAGATGAAAAGGGACATTTTTTAGAAGGAGAATTATGAGGCTCTTTTTTTAAATGGGGGCACTTATGAGAAAGGAAAGGGGGAGACGTATAAGGTGCGCTTATCAAAGTTAAAAAGGGGGTAATAAAAGGCAGGCGCGGAACCAGAATTTCTTAGGGGGGGGGGCCCAAATTTGAAATTATGGGTCCCCAAATAATCGCAACGACTCAGCCAGCCGCTGAATAAAGCGGGGGGGGGGGGGGGGGGGGGGGTTAAGAGGACATATATTTTTTTTGGGGTGGGGGTCCCGAAATTTGAAATTTTGACCCATCGACATTCCGTTCCGTTGGGGGGGGGGGGGGGTAAGGTCATCTTTTTAGGTAATCTTTAAAGGTAAAGACCAGTATTGGAAACGCCCCAAATTCAAAAAATGAAATGGAAGCTCTCATTACCAATCATGTGAAAGAATATGTTTTGACTAATACATGATGATAAAAAATTTGCCGGGAAACCACCTACTAATTCATATATTTGGTAAATTTGTTTCTCTCATGGTCTGTGAGAGATATAGGGTAGTCCCATATACATCTTTCTGTGTATAGTGCTTGTAACTTTACGAAGAATGGGCCAAATTTCTTGTCATTTTGATGATTCCAGAACCTTGCAGACGCTAGATGCTAGATGATCAACCTTTTCTGATCGATTCCACAACGTTTCTTTCACAATGCAATCGCATGACCATAACTGGTCTTTACCTTTAAGGATTTTTTTTAATTAAAAAAAAAAAAAAATTATTACAAAAAAGAAAAAAAGAAAAAAAAAGTAAATCAAAATCAAAAGGGGAGGGGGGGGGGGTTTCCCCAAAAACATACATAAAACATACACATAAAAAAAAACTCAAGGGGGGGGAGTTAACCTCAACCCCCTCCCTCAAATAATCCTCGTCTGAATACAGTTCCCCCCCCCCTTTCCCTAGCGAAGCGTGGAAGCTTTTACGTTTAATTAAATCATTAGAGAAAAAAGACAATTCATTGCACCGTTCTCGACTCTTAATCCTTGTCTAAATTCAGTTCCCCCACCTCCTACGTGAAGCGCGGAACTTTGTACGCTTCATTAAATTAGAGAAAGAAGCCGATTCGTATTATCATTCTCGACTCTTAACCTTGTCTCAATTCAGTTCCCCCCCCCCCTCCCGCGCGAAAGCTTTGACGCTTCATTTAAATGATTTAAGAAAAAAAGACGATTCGCTGTAACGTTCTTGTCTCTTAATCCTTGTCTCATTTCAGTCCCCCCCCCCCTCCGCCTCCTGCGCGAAGGCTTTGACATTTCATTAAATTATTAGAGAAAGAAGACGATCGTCGTACTGCTTTCGACTTTTAATCCTTGTCTGAATTTCAAAAATGTTTTTTGTCTGCTCTTTTTTCTTCCTACGTCCTTTCCCTTTTCTATCCTCTCTTTTTTTGGCCGGCTTTTTATTTATTTATTTTTTTGGGAGGGGGGGCCTCCACTGCCCCCTGGCTATGCGCCTGCGGTTAGATGAACATATTTTGATACCTTGTCCGCCTCCGGAATTTCAGGGGTTTAAGGCAATAAATTACGGTCAGATAAGCATTCAGGGTCTGGCCTATGGGCCCCTGGTGGGGTCGAGGGTCCGGAAACCCCGGAATCTCAGAGGTTTTAGGCATTTGTTTATGGTCAGATGAACATATTTTTATACCTTATTTGTGACACTGGCAGGACACTGATTGGCGTGAGGTCCAGCGAGCGGAGCTCCCAGAAGCTCAAGGGTTTTAGGCACTAAATTACGGTCAGATGAGTATCAAGGGGCCCGCCTTAGGGCCCTTAGTTGGGTCCCGGGGGCAGAGCCCCCGTAAGCTCAGGGGTTTTAGGCGTTTAATTACGGTCAGATGAGCATTTTTGATTATTTTGATTTGATTTTTTTTTTAGCTTATTTTGTTGTGGCACTGGCAGTTAACTATTCTTTCTTTCTTGCTCTCTTTCTTTCTATTTCTCTTTAATATTATTTTCCAAAAAATTCGGGGGGGGGGGGGAGGGACCTGGAAGCTCCCGATCCCCCCCCCCCCCCCCCCCCCCCCCGTTCAGCAGGCCCTGACATGTAGGCATCTCAAGAGGCATTTTTCTTGCCTAGTTGTAAATTTAGGAATTTGTCATTTTACAACAAACGCATAAAAAAGTATAATTTAATAAAAAATGAGAAAAAATCTCAGAAAATTATTTCAGTATTATGTGTTAACCGCCGTTATGGAATTAGAAATAAACCACGATTAAATATTATTTCCCTCGGCCCCCCCCCCCCCCCCCCCCCCCCCCCCCCCCGGTCTACATTTTGTTGGCGGAAAAATCGCAACTGATCTCCCCTACCATTCTTCTTTCCCTTTCTCTCCTCTTTCCCTTTACCTTCCCTTCCTTTTCTCTCTTTTAGGTTTGCGGGGGGGGGGGGGGGGGGGGGGGGGGGGGTAGCAAGGTCCTTTCGGCCCCCACTCTTTTACACACGTTGTTGGCAGGATTAACCGCAAATGATACCCCCTCTCCTTTTGTCCTTTTCCTTCTCTCTTTTTTTTAGCGGGGGCGGGGGGAAGCAAGGGCCTTTTGCCCCACCCCCACCCACAACTTCTTGGCGGGAAAATTGCAACTAATCCCCCTTCTTTTCTTTTCTTCTTCCCCAATTTCCTTCCCTTTATCTCCTCTTTTCTTTCCATTTCCTTCCTTCTCTCTTATTTTTTTGATTGGGAAGGGGGGGAGGCAACAGCCTGGGAGGCGAGCCCCCCCCCCCCCCCCCCCCGTTCTCCTTCCTTCTTTTCTTTTCTTCTTTCTTCCCCTTTCTCTCCTCTTTCCCTTCTTTCTCTCTCTCTCTCTCTTTTCCCCCCCTTTTTTTTCCCTCTTTTTTTTTTTTCCTTCTTTCCCCCCCTTTTTTTCCCAGGGGGGGGGGGGGGGGCGGGCCACTGGTACAAAGGTTTGCAAAATAAAGACAGCTAGAAGGGAGATTCCAAGACGTACAGAATCGGAAAAGGCTGTAATTTATTGTATGAAAAAACAAACACATCTGTTACATGGATAAATACAATCTACATGCATGAGTTTGATGATGAACATGATGTCTTGATTCTACAGTGAAAACACCCTATAAAACAATTCTTGGCATACAAATCCGATTCTTGGAAAGACATATGCATGCACCTGAGAATGTGCAATACAAACAATATGTACACGTAGTACATTACACATGGCTACAAACATAATTCATTGCTGATTTTTAACAAATTTTCTCATTCAATGTACACATATATTTTTAAGTAAATATAAGTTGTCACTTGATCTTAAATGCAATATATTATTAAATCAAACCATTACTGAATTGAACTGACTTGAAGTGTAAGGGAAAAAAAGATGAAATAAGATTTATTTTTATTTTCATCCACTATGAAATTTAAGCGTAACCTTGAGTAACTCCTATTAGTCTGTGTGATACTGTTTATTTTTTCGCTACGTTTCATTTTTATTTTTATCCCTGATAAAATGTAAGTTTCAAAATAATTACAAGGCAAATTTTCTTAATCACAAAGAATTTTGTATAATAACAAGGTTCAGCTTTACTCCAATGGTTGTACATATGAAGTACTCATGAAAATAAATACCACTTACATGAATTTGGTTGAAAAATATAAATATGAGCATTTTCCAAGAAATCCATACAGATCAGGACATTCTCACAAGAATTTTCAGGATCTTGTAACCCTGGCCAACAGTCAACGGCTCACACACAATGAATGAACGACTCCACTGTGATCCGGTTTTCTAATAAATCACATTTACATCGTATATGGAAATTTAAACAAAAAAAATCTTCTATTTACAGTAAATGCAAAATCAGCTTCAAATTGTAGAATGTTGCATGATTGTTTGGACATCACTAGGATTCAGAGCTGATTCGACTTTCCTTCGACAAGAAGGATTGCAAGATCCTGAAAATTTTATTCTACAAATTATTAATCCATTCAAATCTCGTCATCGTCTCTTCCCAAAATAACAAACTAATTACAACATAATCATGATAATAAACAAATCGTATGATTGATACATCATCAAAGTAAAATACTTACATCATAATATTAACATGACATAATGATGATTGAGTTGATGACAAAGTTGATTTTATATGTACATTGTAAATATTTATAACCTGTTTATTGTGTTTTTTATGGAATTTGAAATAAAATGTATCAATCAATCAAAAAATGAATTATAAGAGTACCTTTATGAGAAAAATCCTTATCACACCAGGAACACTTAAAAGGTTTCTCTCCTGTATGTGTTCTAAGGTGGCTAGTAAGCTCACACTTTTTATGAAATCCTTTATCACAATAGGAACACTAATAAGGCTTTTCTCCACTGTGCGTTCTTGAATGGGTTCTAAGATAACTATTGCTAGAAAACGACTTATCACAATGGGAACATTTATAAGGCTTTTCACCACTGTGTGTTCTTAAATGATTCATAAGAGTACCTCTTTGAGAAAAACCTTGTCACACCGGGAACACTTGAAGGGTTTCTCTCCTGTATGTGTTCTAAGATGGCTAGTAAGTATAGACTTTTCAGAAAATCCTTTATCACAATAGGAACACCTATAGGGTGTCTCTCCTGTATGTGTTCTAAGGTGGTTAGTAAGCTTAGTCTTTTCAGAATATCTTTTTTCACAATTGGGACACTGATAAGGCTTTTCACCACTGTGTATTCTTAAATGAAGAATAAGAGAACCTTTATGAGAAAAACCCTTATCACATTGTACACACTTAAAGGGTTTCTCTCCTGTATGTGATCTAAGGTGCCTAATAAAAGTACTTTTATGAGAAAAACCCTTATTACACTGGGAACACTTAAAGGATTTCTCTCCTGTATGTGTTCTAAGGTGCCTAGTAAGCTTAGTCTCTTCAGAAAATCTTCTTTCACAATTGGGACACTGATAAAGCTTTTCTCCACTGTGTGTTCTGAAATGACGGTTCAGGTGACCACTGTGATGAAATCTTTGATCGCACTGGGAACACTTATAGAATTTCTCTCCTGCATGTACTGTTCTAAGGTGGCTTGTAAGCTTATTCCTTTCAGAAAATCTTGTATCACAACAGGGACACTGATAAAGATTTTCACCGATATATGTCCATAGATGCTTTGCTAGATTACTTTGGCAAGAAAAACCCTTATCACAATAGGAAAATGGATAAGGCTTTTCTCCACATTTCTCATCAGTCAATGTCTTACTGCAATGTAAACATGGATGGGACTTCTCTCCACTGCATGCTGTTATAGGTGAGTGTATCTTGTCCTGTCCATTGTCCAAATCTGGGGAGGAAAAGAAAGTACTGGTATTAAAGTCATGTTTCTGCCGTATGATTATGTGGTTAATTTTCTCTTAGTAGCCATGTTGAAAGGATGCTTACAACGAGCAGAGCAAGTGTACAAGCAAGTATTCAGGGAGGCTGCAAAGATGAGGACACAGTAATTATGTGATCAGATTTTTTACCCGAAACAACTCACAGATGGCAAAAATGCTTTGTCATCAAGTTTTTCAAATACACGAAGGACCTACTCAAATGTTTACAACCTTAAAGGTATTACAAAGTTTTGGTATGGGGTCTTGATGATTTTGGTTCAAATAAACATATTGGAAGCATATGCGATCCTACAATAGTAAGTGTTCGCGGTCGCGGTTGAAATAGAGTCTAAAGTTATACGATTGTAAATAATATACTTTTTATGTTGTATAGCTCCATCTCAAGGCCAAGATATTAATTAAGCTATAAAACAATGTTTCTGGACTAATATCGACCATTTTTATTATTCCCGTTTGGAAATTATATATCACAACTACATATTCTGAGATTTTCATGGTCGCAGCTACCATTGTACGGCCGTAGGGGCTATTTGAAATTTATAAAAATTTACCGGGAGCACCGGTAAATTTATATTTAATTTTTCTCGAAAGCAGAAGTGTTTTAGGGGCTAAATTTTCTAGTGCTCATAATACATCCACAGGAGCATCCAAATATATCAAAATTGTAAAGAATCACTATCCACCCCAATTTTCAAAATGTCCCAAAACTTTGTATTACCTTTAAAGCCTGTCTACACTAGTTTGGCCAGAAGAGATTAGACCTCCCTGCAAGGTCACTGACAGGTGGTTATCCCATCAAATCAGCTCTCAATTAACATAAGAAAAAGACGATCATGGGGGACCAAAGGGCACCGCTTAGGCATTGTTTGCTCTATAGAGGGCGCAAGTAGCTACAAGTAGTGCAGTCCCGCTTAATAGCATTGTTTTAATTTGAGCCTGTAAAAATAGACTTTTGGAGAAAATGGTTACCCATTTAAAAACAATTAAAAATTAGAGAAAATTCCCCTATTAACAAAATCAGCTCCACTTTGAAGAACCTTTCAATGAACTGCAATAAAAATTCAAAAAATATACACTGTATACATCTTGCATGTATACAGTGCTGTAGGTTGTGAAAATAAATTACAATCTATTACACCTTCAATTTAAATGTAATATTGTATTCATTCATGAAAATTCTATCAGCCACATTGAATAAAGCATTATAACAACTTGAAATTCAAATATACACTCCCATTGGTAATGGAGTCCATGCAGTGAATTTTATATTGTAAAAAAGAATATCTGATTTTTCAAAACTCAAATTTCATTAAAAAAATACAGAGTATAGATAAAGTCGAATATTTCAAACAGTTTGATTGAGGTTGCAAATCTCTACCCAAGCCACTTTTGATTTTAAAAATTCCTTCTTGGGCATTTGCAAGATTTCTGATTTGAAGGGAGATTAACAAGGCAATATGACAGAGAGAGAAGGGGAGGGGTGGAGAGAGAGGGAGAGACAGCGCAGAGATAAGGAAAGAGTGTACACCAGCAGTCTAGTTCGATTTGGGGGGTGTAAATTTAATAGTTTCTTTGGAACTGCTCTGGAAAATTGACTTAGTCAATTACCGTATTTGCGGGCGTAAAGGCCACAGTACTTTTGGAAGAAAAAATATCAAAAAGTCTGGGTGCGACCTATGCGCCACTAGAATAAGAGAATCGCAAGTCAAAACAATGAAAACAGCTTTGCATGCAAGGCACACGCATATTATACACTGCACATTTGTGTATGTGCTGTGTGTTCATGTATGCCTTGTCTGTGTTTGTCAGTAGTGATGTGACTAACTCTACTGATGACTCTACTGATGACCAATCAGAAAGTGACGCAGCATAAATTAAAGTTCAGTGGCTGCTGGCACAGTAGAACAGATGATTCATAAATTATGAAGTTTGTTGACCTGATAATGGGGGGCAAATTCACATGTGTATGTGAAAGTGGAGGTGGAGGCTGAGCTGGGATAAAGTCTGCAGAGATTCAAAGAGTAATTTCATCGCCAAATTACTTCTTGACAAGCGGGTGAATTAGCAAACAATACATAAGCTAATTCATTATCTCAGGCTGAAGATAATTATTGGGGTCCATCCTCTCTCTTATTATTCCACTGTCTCTTTCCCTTGATTCTTTAAATTTCTTTTACAAACAGTGTACGCCCTGATTAGAAGAAGAAAACAAAGGATAAGTGGGTGTTATGTTGATAGTCTTAAGAGATGAGAAGGAAAAAGGAGTAATCTTCATTATCATTCTTCCTTCCATCTCTCCCTTATTTTCCCTATTCTACTTATTTATTTTCCGAATAGTTTTTGGACTTATTTTCCACCTCAAATATTTAATGCAGTTTTTTTGCATGTTTTCTTTTCTTTCATTTTGTCTCTTGATCCCTCCCCAAAAATTCATTCACATATCTTTATCTCTGTCCCTGTTGACTTTCGCTCATTTTCGATTCCCCCATTGCATAAAAAACAAAACACAGATGAAAGATTGATAAATGCAAGACAGACATCTGTTGCCCAGCTGAGTGTAACATTACACCGCGATTTCTCTGACCAGGGTTCAAAGGTTCAAATGTTCAATAGGGCTTTTGTTTAGTTTGTTATCGCTACCAGCTTCCAATGCATGCAAATCTCAGTTGCGCGCATAGCAAGTGCTTGTTTTTAATTGACAGACAAATGGACCAATCATAGTAGAGCATGTGGGATGGAACCTCTGATAGGGACATCCATGTGACTGCCTAGCCTTTTGCTCTATCTTAGGGAGTGGTCTAGACTAAGGGAAGATAATGTATGTTGACCTGGGACTTATTAGGGACTTTTAGATTTGCGTGAACTGATACGTGTGCTGTCCATTCAAGGCAGTGCATTCAAAGGACGTCAATCGTAGCAATCCCCATTGTCTTCGTGCGAATCTAAAAGTCCCTATTGTAACTGACTTGAATCCTGTCTGGAGGTTGGGGCACGTGGCATGTCTAGACCACAGCAGGATAAAAAAAAAAAAGATCAGTAGGTCACACAAGATGTTTTACTTGTACATGTAGTAGCCTTTTAATAGCCTTCTTAAAAATCAATATTATTTCAGTGCAACTCCGTTTGGGTTACTGGACCATTCCGGGTTTTTTTGTCTACGAAATGTCGAAATCGGGGATGCGGCCTATACCGCGCTGCGGCCTTAATGCAAAAGGTAATACGGTCATGTGGCCTTGATGACGCATTTGACGTCTTTGTGGGCATGTTCGATTTGTCCTACAACTAAGGATTTTACATTAGGAATGACATATTGTCAGAAATGTACTGGGATTATCAAGTGCATATTATTTTTCGGATAAACATCTTTTTTTCCCTAATTAATATTATAGTTTGCCTTTTTAAAGGCATTTTAATGCCTAAATCACCCTCCTTTTCACCGGAGAGACGCCTGCAGTCTTTTTCTGAGGTACAGATAGGTCTTCCAATACAGTGTTTATCTAAAAAGTATACCCAACTTTGGTAGCTTTTGATTGATTGGCAGGATATAACCTGTGTAACTTTGACTATTTCTAATGATATTTTACTCGTACATGATTACTGTGCTGCCATAAAAGGCTGAGCAGCAGGCTTTTCAAAGAGTATTGTCAAAATCTTCTAGTGTAAAATTTGGGGTGCAGCAGCATATTTGGGTCTAAAGCCATCATGCATCTGCTAGCTCATTCCAAAAGCAATGGGTGACTTAAAGGGCCCATGACATCAAAATACAAGTGTATTCCTGTTGGTGTGCAGTCCTGCATACATCTCATATTTTAATATGTAAACTTCTGAATTTGTTTCATAGATTTTTAAATATTTTTTTAAACATTTGTTTTTCAAACTTGTTAAGCTCATCTGTTAGAGCGCATAAGAGACATATGACCTTTGACCCTATACAAGACGGAACAATGAGGGCAGGATCGCGCCAAAAAGTAGATGTGTAGATTGTACCAAGTTGCATTTCCATACAAAATTTAAAAGAATATCCTTCATGAAATATGACCTGCGAGTGCACACAAGACATCTACCAAAATATGACCTTTGACCCTATAAAAGACGAAACACTAGGCTTGTAAATTATACCAAGATACACCTTTATACACAATTTGAAAGAAATCTGTCGAGGAATGTGGCAGTAAGACGACACACAAGAATATGACAGCGTCAGAGGCTGCGCGACGCTACTGAATCCAAATTATCCACTGGTATACTGACGGGGAATACAATAAGAAAGTTATGAATTATTGAAGGTGCAATCAACACAAATTTGCAACACTGTGATGTAACTTGTGAGCTTTCTTCCCATTTGCCCTGTACTATAAAACTTCAATAATACATACTTTCAATAGAAAATTCATCAATCATACATTCACCCTTACCAGGTAATATAATTATTAAAAATATGTTTCTATACAGGCACTGTATGAAACGAATCTATACTGACATCAAGAACTAAGAAAATGAAAGTTCATGAATTTTCTGTAGAGTAAATTGAAGAGATGATTGGAAGATACATCATAGTATTGCAAATTTGTGTTTCATTGATGTTAACTTTCAAAAATCATAACTTTCCTATTTTTAATCGGATTTTGCTCAAACTTTCATTAATTTGTTTATCTCATTTTCTACTTTTATTAAAACCACTTAAATATAAGGACGGACTTCCCCTTTACAGATTTGATTTGCCTTGAAGATGAAAGAATGTTAGTCTTACCTTCAGGAATTGATTGCCCAGTTTCTCCTCCTCCTTCACCTTGAGTTGTAATAGGTTCAAATATCTCTCCCTCATCTTCTTGCTTTATGGTGGCACAGACCGTTTCTATAGATGAGGGAAATCAAGAAGAAATCTTCCTCATTTTTCTTTTTAATAGCTGTGCATATGCTAATTATTTGAGGATTTCAAACTACTATTAATAGTAGTTGTATTCTCTGTGTTAATTCCTTTTATGTGATTATATTTCTAGTCATTCATGCTTGTACAGCGCATAAAGAAACTTATGTTTATTATTTGCTTAATAAATATTGTATTTTTAAATTTTTTAAATCACTTTATCTATTTTTCAGACCATGTTGACTCTTGTTGTGCAACTTGATGTTCAAGATATTTACCGGTCAGGCCTTCTAAGGCCCCCCCCCCCCCAACCCAATGATCTCGGGCGTGAAAGGACTGAACGCCGCGAAAAATTTACATGCATGTCAAGTGAAGTGTATAGATTACTACGGTAATCACAATTATAAAAATAATTGAAAACTTCACTCATTTGCATATTTAATAATGTAATAAAATTCACATTTGTACCCATAAATCATATATTCTTCATATTAAAACATTACTTTTCACTACCTATATTCTTTAGACCATTTGGGATAATAACGTCAACAACAACAATTAGAAGAGCCAGGTTATTCCTTATGTTATCTATTGTTTTGATAATTTCTTATGTATATCTGTCTTTTTTTAACTTACCGGTATGGTATATTATTGTTTTTGTTGTTTTATTTCATTTCTAACTATAATTCAACTATTTTGAACCCCAAATTAACCACCTTAACTATAAACAAGACCAAATAATCAATGCTTGATCTCTTATTTGGAAAAATGAGATTTACATATGTTTTGTACACAAATCACGAAAATGAGTGACTATCGGGCTGACATGCAAAGACAAAAGGTCAGGTGACTTTAGGTAACGGTAGGTCCAAATTTCAAAAAATGATTTCAAAAGATGCGCAAGACTCGAAAGAAAAAATTTATACATTTTCAGAGCAAGATTCTTTTGCATTAAAAAATTACTGCAAAAAATGTCAGGGTTAAGGGAGACACCCAATGAAATTCACTACAACTGATAATCATGGGCAAATTACCGGTATATATGGATGGAAAGATTTTCTCTTGAAAAACATGAATAATTTGCTGAAAAATCATATAGATATCATGGAAAGACGTAAAATGCAATTTTTCAAGACCCTTCTCTGACCCCTGATCGTAAGCCAAACCACGAGCATAGATCTGAATCGTGAAGTCACATCCTAGACAAACACACAGCCCCTGCAGCCAGCTAGCTATAGACTAGCACTCGTTCATGTAGGATATCTAAAGGCTATTTGCTCTTCATTATTTGTCACTCTTTCGCATCATTTGACAATTCATTCAGGAGTGTGTCATCCCGCAAACATTATAGAAAACATTTGCGGGATTATTTACTCTGTATGAAGGAATTATAGGCTATAAACGTTGTTAAGAATAAGTTCAGACTATATATGCGTGTTTAACAACTCCAGCCATAGCGGGGCCTGTGCAGCTCAGTGCCGGGGTTGCTCCGGGGAGCTGATGTTGCACGTTTCGTTGCCTTCTCTACAACTTACAGCACTTGTTCACAACTGTGACCATACTTTGGACCCTTAACTCTGGAGTGAAGATACCTTACTATTAAACACCAAAAATCATATAAGTCTTCAAAAAATGTTCAAATAACGGGCATGACTTGAGTCGCCCGCTCCTCACCACCGGTATGCACTTGTATTGAGCAGCGGTTTTCCGTGAAACTTGTGCGAAAGTGTATACTAATGTCTTTATTTTCAGGAAAAATACCCCCAAAATGAAAAGAAAATTGAAACGAAACAGGTAACAAAGATAACGACTTTTAAATCATGCCGTTTAATAGCTTGATTTCCTCGCCTAGAGCCGCAATTTTTATCTCAAGATTCTGCTTCGAAAATTTACAAAAAAGCTGCGTGACTCGTGTGTATTTACAATGCATTATGATACGCACGCGTGTGTAGCAGCAAGCTTCATGGCGTGGCTAGCCGTGTCTCGCATGTGACTTCACAAATCTGGACACTCTACGGAGGACAGCTGAAGGTAGAAAAGATGGATCTCAAAATTAACATTTTTGAGAGATGATTACTGCTGGCCTCAAACATCTTTTGAAGAGGGAAGTTGTTATATTTGATCAGTAAGGCTTCCCCTTCACAATGATATAAATTTGGATCTATTAAAAACACTTTTGATACTTTGGGTGAGTCCTTTAACTAATTGACTTCCTTGTCGGGTCCACAAGGGGCTTTAACAAATTCAGAAACAGATTAATGTTCATTATCACCGAAAATCATTCAATAATATGAGGTACAAAATGTGTTTAAAATGCTTCGAAAAAAGGATCACATTGCACCAGAGTGCATCTATAAACCCTATAGCACTCAAGCTAACCTTAGAGCCCATCCACATTGGAGTTCATGAATTGCATACATCAGTACATACTCCTTTCACGTTCCAATTTTACATTTTGGTTTATTTTTTGTTTGTTGTTGACCACCCCGAGTGTCATTCTACAATAGAATTCTCTTCATAACTTCATGATACCTTGTTCATTCGATGGGTCTTGTCCTTCTGTACTTGAGTGGGATTCAAACATGTCTGTGTCAACTTCTTGTTTGATGGTGAAGACCATACCTGTTATGAACAAAGTAAAAAGATATTTTCATATTATCTGAGAAGTAAAATTGGATCTGGTTACCTATTATTGGATACAAAGACAAGAACGAATGTTATAACCAAATAAAAAATAGTATGCCAATAACTCACAAGAATGAATGTCATTGTATGAAACAGAGGGAAAAGAACATTAAAGGACATCTACAGATGTATTAAGTTAGTTCTATAATAGGATATTTTCAGTTTTTGATTGGACTTTGCAAGCAGGAGTGTGCCCCAAAGATGCATCCTCCCTATTCACAACAAACATTCATATTTTCTGGTTGGCTCAATCAATTTAACGTTTGATTTTCCTTTTATGAGATATTCAACTCCGATAGCAAACTATTCTAAAAGAAAGCAGAAATATCTCAGAAGCAGACGGGTGAAAGTTTGGGCACTTCAATTTGGCTGAATCTGTAAAGTCACTATGACAAACTGCTGGACAACTTTCCCATTTGTTCCAATGTACAAAATGACTAAAATATAATTTTTCAAAATCTTTGGCCCAGGAGTGTCTTTTCTTTTTAGAGAACCTTTAATATTATGTTATACAAAATACATTTTTAGAGAAATACTGAAATTTATGTATTTTTGTAAACCGAAAAGGGGAGTTTTCTGCGAATACGTCACAATCCAGTAACCAAATCGCCGATTTTGAGATTTGCATAGACTTAGTGACATCATATTTTAATTTTTAAACACTTGTAACTTTCTAATTATTGGTATGACTTGTTCTTACTTTCACCAATCCACTTATTTTGTTGTTTTCTGTCGATGTTGCTTTCTAAATGTTGTTGATTTGCTATCAAAGTCTGATTTTTCCTTCAAGGACCTATAGCATACCGTCTTGAGTTACAAGCTGGCCCTCATATCTCAATCCATCTGAACCTGGAATAGAAAGACACGTCTCCTTCTCAACTTCTCCTTCCTCCTTGATGCAGATGTTTCCTGTTTCATGTAAAAATAAAAATCATTAAATTTCATGATCACTCTAGACTTATCATTTCTATGATACAGAGTGAATATGAAAATTGCGTTTTTAAATATCTATGTATTACCATATGCATCTGTTTAGAGGTTGTATTGGTGCAAATAAACATTCTTGATTCTGAGCTAGTGGATTGACTTGTTTGGAATAAATCTTACTTATTTTTTCTTCTTCATGATTTGATGTGTGGTGTACGGTGAGAGAATGAAGGTTGTTAAAGATGCATTGTAGCGGGCTCTCACTAGGGAATTGGACACCATTTGGGCGCGTTTACCAATAATAAGTGTTGTCAATCACCAGGATTAGCCTCCAGTTTTATGACCTACAGGCCTTATACTATCGTTCCCTGTTTTTGCACAATTTGTGTACTAGAGGTACCATCTATAAGGTCCAACTCCTTTTTATGGTTTTTAAAGTTTTTCAGACTTGCAATAGGTCTACCATAAATTTCCGTGTATAAGGCGCACTTTTTACCGGTACTCTTCATATGTTTGTATGTCATTTTTATGTGTAATGTTATACTTACTGAATGAATGCAAATTTCAATCTCACAGCAACACAAACAAAAGAGGATGTGATTTGCCTTAAAGATGAAAGAATGTTGATCATACCTTCAGGAATTGATTGCTCAGTTTCTCCTCCTCCTTCACCTCCAGTTGTAGTAGGTTCAAATGTCTCTTTCTCATCTTCTTGCTTTATGGTGGCATAGACCATTTCTATAAGAAAGGGAAATCATGAAGAAATGTTCAACATATTTCTTTTTAATAGCTGTGCATGTGCTAATTATTTTAGAATTTTAAACTATTTTTAATCAATTTATCTACTTTCAGACCATGTCAATTATTGTGGTGCAACTTGATGTTCAAGGTATTTAGCTACAACATAGAGAAAATGTTACTTAACTATTAGATTGTTCCCTTCCTTCTGAATATAGTTATCATGCTTTACATTTGAGTCTTTTTCAAGCCAATGCCCCCCCCCCCAACATCCAAATGAAATCTTACCCTAATGCTATTATGACCATGTTATAGTAGAGCTGCCAACCTTGTGCAATCAAAAAAAGGAACCATGATGGCAAAAAAAAGGGATTTCAAGCAAAAAAAGGATTTCATTTAAACAAAATTTACAACCAAGTATGACACACTTCCAATGCAGAAATTTCTATTCCTCATGCTGCAACAACAGTCAAAAATTGGCGGTCTAAACAACACGTATTTGTACATATGGGCCTACAATGACTATATCAGTTAATGTACAATGGTACAGGACATTCTAGAGTAACTCCACACATCTAACCGACAATTTTATTTGCACATGAAGACGAAAAAAAAACTTCATAACTTATTTTTCAAACAAAATCTACCAGTAGATCTAGATCTAAGTTCGTGCCATTGCATCGCTAAAAGAAGGGACCGTTACGGAGATACTGCGCATCCAGACGAAGTCTGCACCAAGTCTATTTTCTTTGTACCCATTTCAGGCAATTTCGCAGTACATTGTGGTAGGGGTATATATAGGATACCAAATCTGGCTGTGATACGGTACTAGCTTCAAAATCGATGAAGATTTGCCAAATTACGATCACTTTTTAGGTAAACTTCGTTTTTTCTGTAATATTGATGAATTTGGTATCAGTTTGTAGAAAAAATACTATTCTACAAGAAAATTAAGATGATTTTGTTTGGTCCGTTTGGTTTTTCTTTTTCTTCTACGAAATGTCAAAGTTGGGTGTGCGTCCATATTTCCCGGTAAATACGGTATTTCCATATTTAGTTATTTACAAGTAGGTAGTTTTAGTTGTGTTTGGGGGGGTATTATCGGCGTTTGATTTTGAAAACAATTTCGCCTTTTTGTTTTTTGTTTACTATTTGTAAATTCATACTCTTCATGAATCTCTATTGATTTTTTTAATTTTAGTAGTGATCAACAGTTTAGGGCATTTGGTTAGCGCGGTATGTGGCAAAAAAAAAAAAATTGGTAAAAAAAAAAAAAAAAAAATTATAAAGAAAAACGTACTACCGTAATTTTGATTAAAAAACAGAATAATTCTGGTTAAAACGTAATGGTTGGCAACCCTGTTATTATAGTTTTATATAGTTATATTTTTAAAGTTATAGTTCTCAATGTTTTGATTGTCAGACAAAACAATATATTAATTAATTAATTCAAAGTTAATTACTGGCAGTAAATAAATAGAGTGGTCCGGCACATGCTCTGATATCAATTACTCCAAGTTCTGGATTAGGGTTAGGGTTGCAATTAAATTTCAGGTGAGTTAAGATTTAGGGCAAGGGTTAGGTACAGTGTTTGGTCAAAGATTGAAGTTTAGTTCGTTGTAATAAAAACAATGTTGGCCCCTGGGCAATTAAAACAAATTGTCATCATCAACCTAGCATACAATCTTTTTGAAATATTCCAGAGTCCACATCTTCAATCTAAAATTCTTACTAAATACATGTAAAACATGACCTTCAACGACATTGAATTACTAATTCATTCAAATCAGAAAACAGGGCAACGTTTCACAAAACTGTAATAAGTAGAAGTTTGTAGACAACCCATTAAAATGCTTGTGTTGAATACTTACAAGTATTTCAATGGGATGTCGGTGAACTTGTACTCTTGACGGTTTTAAAGGAGTCATGCAAGGGGCTTTCACAAATTCAGTAACAGACTAATCTTCATTCCCACCCAAATTCATTCAATAATATGAGGGATTGAGGTACAACATTTGCTTGAAATGCTTCAAAGTGAGGATCACATTGCACCAGAGTGCATCTATAAACCCTAGAGCCCTCAAACTAACTACCGGTATAGAGCCCAGCCACATTGGACTTCATGCATTGCATGCATCAGTACATACTAATTTCATGTTCCAATTTTACATTGTTTTATTTTTTGTTTGTTGTTGACCACCCAGAGCGCCATTGTAATATAGAATTCTCTTCATAACTTCATGATACCTTGATCAGTCGATGGGTCTTGTCCTTCTGTACTTGAGAGCGATTCAAACATGTCTGTGTCAACTTCTTGTTTGATGGTGAAGACCAGACCTGTTAAGAACAAAGTAAAGATATTTTCATATTATTTGAGAAGTAAAATTTGATATGGTTACCTAACCTATTACTGGCTACAAAAAGAAGAATGCATTGTATAACCAAATAAAATATGATATGCCCATAACTCACAAGAATGAATGTTGTTGCATGCAACGGAGGGAAAAGAACATTGAAAGACATCTTTAGATGTATGCAATTAGATCTATAATATAGATATTTTCAGTTTTTGATTGGACTTTGCAAGCAGGAGTGTGCCCCAAAGATGCATCCTCCCTATTCACAACAAACATTCATATGATATTTCTTTTAAGGGATATTCAACTATGATAGCAAACTACTCTAAAAGAAAGCAGAAATATCTCAGAAGCAGACGGGTGAAAGTTTAGGCACTTCAAATTGGTTGAATCTGTAAAGTCACTATGACGAACTGCTGAAAAATGTCATGTATGTTTCAACACACAAACTGATCAATCGATTTTTCAAAATCTATGGCTCAGGAGTGTCTTTTATTTTTAGAGAACCTTTCAAAAAAAGTTATACACCATTTTTTTTTAGAGAAAAACTGAAATTTATGGTATTTTTGTACAAACTGGAGAGTTATCTGCGACTGTGTCACAATCCAGTAACACTAACCAAATTGCTGAGTTTGAGATTTGCATAGACTTTAGTGATATCACATTTTAAACACTCATAACTTTCTTATTTTGTGTATGATTTTGTTTTAACCTTCACCAATCCACTTATATTGTTGTTTTCTCAATGTTGTTGATTTTCCTTCAAGAACCTATAGCATACCATCTTGAGTAACAAGCTGACCCTCATCTATCAATGTATGATTTTCGTTTAAGAACCTATAGCATACCGTCTTGAGTAACAAGCTGACCCTCATCTATCAATCCATCTGAACCTGGAATGGAAAGACACGTCTCCTTTTCTACTTCTCCTTCCTCCTTGATGCAGATGTTTCCTGTACATGTAAAAATAAAAATCTTTAAAATTCTTGATCACTATAGACTTATCATTTCTATATACTTCATATGTTTGTATAATAATTTGTATGTGTAATGTTATACTTACTGAATGAAAGCAAATTTCCTTCTCACAGCAACACAAACAAAAACAAAAGATATCACAATCAGAGCAAATATTTTGAGATAGATGAGAGGGAGCATATACTGAACTTATATTGTCATTACTCATCAGAAACATTACCAAACACAGCAGAACACATTGAAACACTCCATACCTTCATCATGTTCATGTGATGACTGAAGAGTTCCATCTCCTACTCCATCTGTACTTGAGAGAGACGTCCAACGATCGATTCCTTGCTTCATCGCCATGTTATCTGTGAAACAATATGGGACAATACTTGTTAATATGTTTTGCCTTCTTATGAAAAATCATTGTCATCGAGAGTGTACAAACACACTTGCGTGTAAAATCTTTGGGGAGGTGGAATCCTCCATAGGCATCACATGAAATGAACCCCTACGTACAGAGTGAATGAGCAGTGGCTTATTTCACAACATGCCATAGTAAGTTCATTGTTCCACTGACTGGACTTGCAAAAAGTTTACCAGGCACAGAGCCACTAAGGTTAGCTAGGCAGAAGCCCAAATAAAGGTAGAGGGTTGTCAGGTTCCATGTGCAGAAGGCCATAACTTGCTGACACTAGACTTGGTGGATAATGGTCATTATTATAGTAAACGAAGGCGCATGCACAGAGTTCTCTCAATTTAGCTAACTACCTGCACAATTAAGCGCCCTCTTACACTAGCCATTATTATCGTAAAGTAAGTTTCAGATGGGCAAACCAAAAAAGTTTTTAATGTGTACACTGCATCAAACTCATGATAGTCAAACCTTGATTTTGTCAGATTTTTTCAGCATCCTTAAAAAGTCACATTATTTTACATACCGTTAAGTTACTTAAATTGGAAAAATTCTCATTTTCATCATATTTAAGGGTCTAACAAACTTGCAAGTTGTACTGAAATGTCCGTTGATTTGCTATATGCGTCAGTTATGTGTGAAGTGCGTCATCTGTTTAAAGCTATGTGACATGTTAGTGTGTTTAGTACGATTTGGTATTGGTATTGCCATTACGCTCTCTGCTTAAGCGGGCAACCAGCAACTTGCTGACACTAGAGTTGGTGGATATTGGATAACGGCGATTATTATAGTAAATAAAGGCGCATGCACGGAGTTCTCTAAATTTAGCTAATACAGGCGCGTAGCCAGGGGGGAGGTGGTGGGGGCAGTTGCCCCCCCCCCAAAAAAAAAAATGCCGGCCAAAAAAGAAAAAAAAAAAGGATTAAGAGTCGAGAACAGTACAACGAATCGTCTTCTTTCTCCGATGATTTAATGAAAGGTCAAAGCTTCGGCGCTATGCGCGGAGGAAGGAAAACTTGATTCAAACAAGGATTAAGAGTAGAGAACGGTCCTACGATTCGTCTTCTTTCTCTAATAATTTAATGAAACGTCAAAAGAAACTGAATTTAGACAAGGATTAAGAGTCGAGAACGGCCGTCCAACGAATCTTCTTCTTTCTCTAATAATTTAATGAAATGTCAAAAGAAACTGCATTTAGACAAGGTTTAAGAGTTGAGAACGGTCCAACGAATCGTCTTCTTTCTCTAATAATTTAATGAAACGTCAAAGCTCCCTCCCTCCCTGCAAAGACCCCCCTAGGAAGCACGCTCTGTAAGTGATATGCATGCTTTGCGTGCTCACTACCGCCCCCCCCCCCTAAAATAAAATCCTGGCTATGCGCTTGAGCTAACTACCTGCACAAGTACCCTCTTACAGGCGCGCCGGCAGTTTGGGATTGGGGGGGGGGGGGAAATTCCAGGGGGCTCACTTTCCAGGGGCAGTGATGTAATGAGTAAAAACGTTTGGAAGGGGGGAGGGGGCAGACGAAAAATCTGCATCACCACCAGTCTTACACGTTACGTGAAGGTCCCGCGGAAGGTTTTTCAAAGTGGAGTATTAACGATCAGGTAGAGCGTAAATTGGCGTGGGGTCCAGGGCATGAGCCTCGGCAGGGGTTCAAGGGGCTGAGCCGCCGGAAGCTCATGAGTTTTAGGTATTTAATTACGGTTAGATGAGCATCCAGGGGCCCTCTTTAAGGCCATTGACGTGTTCGGGGGGGGGGGGGGGGGGGGATAGAGCCCCCCGGAAGCTCAGGGGGTTTAGGTATTTTATTACGGTCCGATGAGCATCCAGGAGCCCGCCTTAGGGCCCTTGGTGGGGTCCAGGGGGCAGAGTTAATTGGGGGGAGGGGGCAACTGCCCCCACTTCCGGCGCCTATGCCCTCTTACACTCGGTCCTTCACAACCTCGTGCAAATTTAGCATTTTCGAGTGAACGGCGCTCTATATAGATCTAGACTAGACTCTAACAGTTAGAGAGTAAAGCTTTAGTAAAGGAGGGAGTTTTCAGCCACTAAATCCTATTTCTGGACTCTTTACTTCTTAAAATCTATTTATTAACATGTCTTGTTCAAATCATGAAGCAAATACTATTACTATTAAAACAAAAAAAAGAATCTCAGAAAAAAAAAAAGGAATTGCCATGACAATATTCTTTTTCATGTACCGGTAGATCTACACTGTTTCGGAGGTAGTTTTCGGCCTAGCTCTAGCAAGGCAGTTTTCGGCCGCATGAACGTACGTAGTCAGTATGGAGCGCTGCGTCCTTTCTCCGGCGCGGCTGATGCTATAACACGGGCTCGCTGTGTTAGTCTAAATGTGCGGGGTATTCTGTGTTTGTAGCTCAATCTTTTACCTTTCCAGGAGTAGATATTGATAAAAACTCTTCTGGATGCCATTGAGTCTGAATACAGTACGTTTCATTTGCACTTACCTGCTCTCTCCAGGCATTCTTGTTTATTTTTTAAAGGAAATAGATCTACGTCCTGAAATTCACGAAGAAAGAGACGTCCTCGTCCGTGTAACGCATCATAGTCTACTTTCCAGACGTTACAAATTCTATAAGAAAGGAAAAACCTTCAAGTTCAACAACAACAAAGAACGCAACTTAACTTTATGTGGTCACCGACCACACAAAGAGTTCTCTATTTATATGATTTATGATACGTAGTAGATCCATGCTCACATACCTCCTCACGCTCCTCATTGAATGTAACCAGTATACAGTTATTTACTTCTGGTCTAAAATTGTTATTAGATTCTTTTGTAATTCGTGTATATATAGCTTTTCTTTTGTAAACAGTACATTTAAGGAGAAAGTTATACTGTCAGTTGTTATACATGTATATATATATGTATTTTTGTTACCTTTTAATTCTTTTTCCAGTGTTCTACTGCTTGTGTAATTTTTGTTTTATCTTTAATTTCCACTCTATTTCCCTCTTCCACTGTTTTTCTTTTTCTTGCCAATTTTTCTCTCACTTTTTTCCGTGTTTTATCCTGTTCTTCCTATGCCTATAAACTGCATATTTTTGAGTATACTCAACCGTTTTTGTTGTATATATTTCCTTTTCTTTTGAACGTAGTATATAGGCTGCCTTTATCTGTAAATTATGAATACAAATGATGATAATTATATCCCACATACTAGAATCTTGCTCTTCGATTGGTCAAAAGTAAATCACGTGAGAAAAGATAGTTGGCCCATTATTGATGGGAGGAGCAAAATGTTTGTTACACTGTGTAGATAGTGAAGGCAAAGACGCTGTCACGAGTCACTGTAATTATTGTACAGAAAGCCATATTCTCTCAAAACTGGGTAGGCCCAATTCTCGTGATAACAAGCTTTTTTTTCTACAATTTAATGTTCGTAAGGAATGCAAGCAAACTGATAAATTAAGTGTATTTTTGCGATTATAGGCAGTGGCGGATCTAGGGAGGGGGGCACATGCCCCCTGGCCCCCCACCCCCCCCCCCAAAAAAAAATTAATGCTCATCCCCCCCCCCCCCCCACCCCGTCAATGAGCGAATTTTCGGCCGGCGTGATTTTCACATTTGCAGGAGCAAGAAAAAAAAAAAAGGTTTGTCTGACCACTTTCCAGTATATGCGAGTATAAGTCTTTTGGTAGGAATATCTGTATACTTAGTAATAGATATGTTCGAAAAAGTAATCCTACCAGTATTGCTAAATTGAGAGATGAGTTGTTATCAACTGATTGGAGAGAAGTATTACGTGATTATGATGTTGATAGCTCGGAGCCGGATTCTATATTTCCTATGACAAGACTGAGATTTACTAATAGTACAACTTATTTTTCCTCTTTATTGACCTCAATATAGAGAGGTTGTTCGACGGTTTCTATATACTATTACATTTACATAAAGGTAAATTTTTATCATACAGCAAAAAGAATGTATTCAAGAATTTATCATATAAGAAAAAATAAGTTGTACTATAAGTATAAGATTAGTAAATCTCAGTCTTCTCATAGGAAATATGACTATTTATCGGAATACTCTTACTTCAATCCTATGGCTGCTAAGTAGCAGTATTACTTTGCTCAATTTCAGGCGACACATAATGATAATAAAAGGAAATGGAAAGTGATTAGGAATGTTTTTAAGCCAAAGCAGAAAGCGTCTGATGTAAGTAAATTACACATTGATGGGAATGCAGTTGATGATCCAGAAGTTATTGTAAATAAACTTAATGAATATGTTTGTAATGTTGGGAGTAGTGAGCACATTTTTTTTTTTTGGTCCTCGAAAATTAAAAAATTTGCACCCCCCCCCATGGTAAAAATACACGTGTTTTTACATGCTTTTTTTTCTCAAGGGGGGGGGGGCCCTGGCCCCTGGCCCCCCCCCCCCTGGATTCGCCATTGGTGCCTTTGATGCACGCATGCATATAGTTGGTGTCTTCTTAGCCTATATACTCTAAAGCGTTTACTGTAAATCATGTTTTAATAGATAACCTGTGCCATTATGGTGTAAGGGGAATAGCATTAGATTGGTTTACAGGATTTGCAGGACGTCACTTGTGGGGTCACACAGGGATCCCTTCTATGCCCGCTTTTGTTTATTGTGTATATTAATGATTTTCAACTTTCCGCAAAGATGTTATCATTCATTTTATTTGTAGATGACTCGAGTGTATTTTTTTCTCACAGAAATCCACAAACTCTTTTGCAGACTGTAAACTCTGAGTTGACTAATGTGACTTTGTGGATTCAGGCAAACAAGTTGTCTTTAAATCTTTAGTAATTCCCCGAGTATGCCTGGAAATTTAATGTTCAATGGTGTTGAGATTGAAAGCAGTATCTACATTTAAATTTCTTGGCTTGCATATTGATGAACATTTAAATTGGAAGTACCATATTAGTAATCCTGGCATATTATTGTCAAAAAATACTGGTGTAATTTATGAATTGAAATCTGTGTTCCCACAGAATATTTTACGTATGTTGTACGCAACTTTAATTTTGCCACATTTGCACTATACAGGGTGAGTCAGAAAAAAATGTCCCATTTTTTAAAAGTTTTTATTGTTTGAATTTCAATGACTATTTAATCAGGGGTTTATGATATGTCTTGATAGAGTTATCCTCCCAGTACATTTAGGTACCATTTTCATTTGAATCCCTTCACGCATGACTGAACATCAGACAATCTTTACAAGACTGCCAATTATTTCACTTGCGCCAACTTACTGGGTGAGGAATTAAAGTGCATTGAACAAAGACAGTCAGACAGACAGATGCAGACACACACACACACACATACAAATTAGTGCTCGTTCCCCCCCCCCCCCCCCCCCCCCCCCCCCCCCGCCATGGAGCGAAATATTGGCCAGCACGATTTTCAAATTTCAGCACACTAAATTTCAAATTGATTTCAAATTTGGGCCCCACCCCCTAAGAAATCCTGGATCCGCGCCTGCCCTCTCATCATTCTCTCTACCTCTCGCAGTCTTCTCTATCCTTCTCTCTCCCGTGCTATCTCTTTCCCATATGTACCTTCTCCACATTCTCTCTCTCTCATCCTCATTTTTCTCCCCTTTTCTCTATATTACCAGCCTCTTGTTGTATGCCTATATATACTCAGATATGAGTCACCTATGGATCCAAAGGACAAAGATACTTCATATAAAAATACACAGGTACGTTTTATGCTGCGCAAAGATTCAATTATATTACTCAATTGTGGTGGGGGGGGGGGGATCTGGATTTAGATTTGAAGTGCCCATGTGTCCCGGGTACCCGTTAGTGTTGAGCCTTTTTAGTTTAAAAGGGTGGCCTTCCCCTTCAAGAAGACATATGAGGTGAGTACCTGCAGTTGTAAAGTGAAATAATGAGATTACAAAAAAACGAAAATTTGACAAATAAAGACAGAAGAGAGATTCCAAGACATACAGAAATAAAAGGCTGTAATTTATTGTAAGAAAAAACAAACACCGGGTACACAGATAAATACAATATACAGGCATGAGATTGATGTTGAACATGATAGTCTTGATTCTACAATGAAAACATGCCTATATATAACAATTCTTGGCATACAAATCAAATTCTTAGAAAGACATCTGCATAGAATATGCAATACAAACAATATGTACACATAGTACATTACACATGGATACAAAAATAAATCAGTTTACATCTATTCAATTGATACATATTTCATCTTTTTAATTTTTGTTATTGATAGCTAGTATATATGAACAATAAAGAGTGTCCACTTTCTCTTTTTGCTGATTTTTAACACATTTCTCAGTCATCCTTTGAAGAAATGTCTCCGTCAAGTGGATATGTCACCGGACTGTGGATCACAAGGTCCGCGGTTAGGGCCCCTGTGGCGATTTGGCAAGACATTAATCTACATTTGCCACACTCGACCAAGGTGAGGTAAATGGGTACCTCGTAGGATTATTTCTTGAAATGCCATGTGCGCTGATAACGGCTGCCGAAGGTTAAGCTAGGGTAATAATTATGTAATATTTATGTAAAGCGCACTGATATGTCTAAGGACAGGAACTGCGCTATATAAGTGGTACGTATTATTATTTACAAATGAGTGCACACATGCCACTTCAACAACAGCCACATTTGCATGCTACCAGGTACCCATTTAACATCTGGGTGGAGAGTGGCGAATGTATAGATTTAACATCTTTGCCAAAGGACATTAGTGCTGCAGTAGGACCTAAACAGCGAAACATGTGATTCAGTCAGTATTCAATAGACCACAGCACCTCTACAGACCACTACACATGTCCTGGGCCTGTCTTACAAACAGTTGATATTAATCACAACTTATTTGTGATTTATATCAATTGCAACTTTGTACACAAGGGACTGCAAACTTGCGATTTAATTTTAAGACTTAATTGCGATTGATTTGGATCAATCGCAACTCTTTGTAAGACAGGGCCCAGACCATTATTACAATGGATACATTACTGAGTCTTTTTCCCTGCATGTGCTCTTCATGGCTAATACAATACAATGGGAACTGTGATTTTCTTACCCATTTAAATGTGTGTGTGTGTGTGTGTGTGTGTATGTTCTTTGATGAATGTTCAGATACATGTATCAATTTAGGTTCAGTCCATCAAAATCTGAATGGTTTCTTGCCTACACACCAATGACTTTTAGACTAGAAACAATTTATTAATTACAGTGTTAATAATTAGATTGCCTTTCTGTACGGCAGACGCGGATCCAGGATTTCTTAGGGGAGGGGGCCCAATTTTTTTTTTTTTTTGCTCCCGAAAATTTGAAAATCGCGCCGGCCGAAAAGTCGCTCAGTGGGGGGGGGGGGGGGGGGGGGGGGGGGGGGTACAGAGCACAATTTTTTTTTTTTTTTTTTTTTTTGCTCCCGAAAATTTGAAAAACGCGCCGGCCAAAAAGTCGCTCAGTGGGGGGGGGGGGGGGTAGTGAGCACATTTTTTTTTTTTTTTGATCCTCAAAAAAATTTCAATTTGCACCCCCCCCCCTTGAGCGTCAGGGGGGGGGGGGGCCAACCCCAAAAAAAGATAAAAAATCACGTGATTTTACATGATTTTTTTCTCAAGGGG